AAGGTTCAATCTAGGTTCGTCCGAAAATTTTGATTTTTATATAGAAGACATAGTTTCATATACATAATTAAATTTTCAAACAAATTTGATCATACCATTTATTAAGCAGGATAGTATATTAATTACCATCAGTATAAAAATATAAAAATGATTATATTTAATTATTGCATAATTTAGTCAAAGAGTTATAAGCCTCAAGTGATCGTTATCACCTTCAATGCACGTATACTTTATTGATTCATAGATATTTAATCTATGTTTGACATGTTGTTGTCGTCATTCGTTTTGTTCCCATTCTTCCTAAGTTAGAATTAGAGAATACACCATCCACATCATCTAATTTGGTCCTCAGCGATAGATTGGTTCATTTTGGAGGAGTCCCATCAGACAGTTTTCGAGCACCAAATATCAAATTTTAATGTATACAAATCTTTAGTGATTTATCTCTTTTATGATGAGTAAAAGGTTTCTGCTCATCAACATTTGATTTCCGACATATATGATTTCTAATTGCAATTATTTACTTTCTTTTTATAATCTAACTCTGTGACTCATACCATAAATTAATTATTGGAAAGTGTCAATATGTTTGGCACAACGAATGGCGGAAGATACCAAACCATGCAGGGAATATGATACGTTTAAGATCTCCGAACTTTTTTTCCAAAAATTTTCTATCGTTGCCCTACCTCTTTGTATAAACTGTTCCATAAAATTTCTGATAATTGAAAATTTTGTATGATCGGCAGTTTTCAATAAAGATTTAAATCAAAAATGAGTCATGCGTGGCTAACTATACAAAGGTACATTCACTAGGCAATAACAGTAAAATGGGATGAAAATAGGATAAATAGCATCCCTATATAGTGCCTAACAATATTTATACGGGCCAAAAAAAATTTGGCTAGAGATTTGGCGAGTTATAAAACTTAGAAAATTGAGAGGGATTTTTATTTTTGAATTTTTTTTGGAAAGTTAAAATTGCGATTAAAAATCGATTTCCAGGAGAACTAAGCATCTCATCATATATTTAAATCGATAAAAATATTAAATAATAGTTGAATAGTATAACAACGTGAAATTATGGCTGAATCTACAGAAAAAATGAACATATTTGACATTTTTGAAAATTCATACGTTAGATGGTGACAGACTCATAAACTATACTTTAGCTAAGATTGATATATGGTTTCAACAACACATGGTTAAAATCGTAAAAATATTTTAGATTTCAAAAAGATATATATGGTAATATAATGGAACAAAGTCAACAAATAGCATGTTAAATATGTTATAATTAACTTTTTATTAGATCCAATAGTAGATATCGAATGGTTTCCAGCTTTATGGTTAAATATTTTCTTTTCGAGCTTCTCTTTAACTGTTGTATTAAGGTTGTAAATTTTTGATGCTAGAAACTATGGAATCTTCTTTGCTGCTGCATTTTTCTTGAGAGTTCTTGCAATTTCGAATAGATCTGCGCATTGTATGAAATGGAGGCTTTAAAATATCTTGAAAACAGAATAGGACTGCTTTTCCAAAGGAATGCTTACTTGTAAATCAGAGAGTTTCAAAATTGACAGCAAGATTATCATCATAACTGTCGATTTTGCTGCGAAAAAGGAAGACAAGTAATTAACAAATCATTTACTGTTGTTCATCAAAAGAAGAAAACTTTGATAACAACTAATGATGATAAAATCAAGCTATCTTTTAATATTTTAAATTGATAAGACATTCAAAATATTTGAATGGTTTAAAATATTTTCTTTTAATTTCTATAAGATATTATCATGATTATATAATAAAATTTAAATTTTTATTCAAAAAGGCAATATTTCAAACTTTTAATTTCAAAAATCTTAATTCTGCAATAAGTGTATTTAATTGTAGCAAATTTAATGATCCTTCGTCATGCTTAGCAATTTGGAACTCATAAATTAATGATTTCTTCAAGTAAAATTCTGCATTATTTCAAAAGTCAATAATTCTCTAGTAACTTTTCTTCAAACCTTAACCATTATATTATATGTATAATGGAGAATAATTGCAAAGAAAGATAGCCGAATTTACTGGGTAGTTCTTGTGATGCGAAATAATTGCAAATTAACACCTAGTTTTAACAGCATCAATCTCTTTTTGCTCTCATTTAAATGCATTCGCACACTTTAATTTTGAAATATAAGAGTTTTGGAAATTATCAAATTTATCTGCTCAAATACTATAGATCTTCATAAGTGTTAATAGAATCATTAGCCTTACATATAGTGTTTAATATAATGATGCACATTATACTGGGATTCATTCCTTATTCATCTAGTTATTATAAGATTTACAACCCCATGAAAATTTAAAATTTTGTCAAAAATAGTGAATGTACCTTTCTCAAAACTTAAGATATCCTCCGAGTTCAAAGATTTAAAAAAACACAAAAAAATTAACTTTACTCTTTTGAGATCCTTATCAGATGTGCAACAATTTGATGCAGTATCGCAATTCGAATCCGATTTTTTAATGTAGATGTACTCTAACATTCTTGAAAAAATGCAAAATGATATTAATTAAGCTTTTCATTTCTTTATCATACACGAAACAAAATCATTCATTATACTAAAATTTATCAAAGTTTGAATAACGAAAAAAATAATATCTAAATTTTTACATTGAGTCGGCTATTGATATGGTCAATATTAAATCGTTTAAAAATGGGCATTGGCCAGAATAATACCCACTAAAATAAAGGTAGGTCAACAAAATCGTAACGATGCTTTCTTGATTTTGGTAATGGATTTAGACTATGTAGGTACTCGGTGACTAATAGACGAAGAATGGAAGAAAACTGCAAGAGGGATTTCGAGGAAATATTATTAAAATTAACATTTGATTCTTTGACTTGCAAATAAACATATTTGTACTATTAATCGGTTTTACAGAATAGATCTTGCGTTATTGTATGTTTTGAAAAAGTATCTAGAATTTTTCCTAAGATACTCATTTTGCGAGATAAAATGATATACCATCTACTAGACATTTGTGCATTGCTTCCTATATGTAGCTAGTAACTACAGAAATTGTAGTTTCAGGAAATTTGAATACATTTGGAATTCTAAGAAAGACATTGTAATATTGAGCATCTCCTATTTCAATATACCATATTGATGAAAATATAAATTCATGTAATCTGTCCTTAAATATGCTATCTAAACTTGTGATAGAAACTCAATTTCACCAGAAAATATGAGAAAATTCCAAATTGTGAAATAAAACGAACATATTCACATATGAGATAACAACCATCTATATTAGGTTTCTCAATTCTTCATTCAAAATTCCAAAAAAAATTCAAAAATTTGAAAATGAAGAGAAGAAATATGAATTTTCCATGAAAATTTGCAAAATGAAAAAATTTTGGAATTACAAATATTATTTATTTTTGATGCTTGTTCCAAAATATGTCTTTTTTCCCATATCTGATATGAATATTTTGGATTATTATTATAATTTATATTTATTGACATATTTCATGATATTCATATAATGGTTTGTTTTAGGGAATGAATGAGAATATATTTATTTAAAAAAAGAGAAAAGGTATTAGAATAGATTTTTATTTGAGCGTATTTAAAAGGTTCTACTTCAAAAACTTTATGTAGTTTACTTTTGTAAGCAACGTAAAACAATATCTTTAAGTTATTTGTTGCAATTCGGGATTAATCGTGAATTTTTGTTGTATATTAGTTAAAAATTAGTTTTTAGTAGATAAATTCGTCATGTTCCCGTTTGTAACTCATTTTGTTTTTGCTTTATTGATGAAATTTCAATTTGTTGAGTGAATATCGACAAATTTGTTAAATCTTGTTTTAAGCGCAGCAGCAATATTTGGAGTCTATTAACTATATCTAGACTTTCAGTATTTTGCATTATTTTTATTGTTGAGGTTAGAACAATCGCCTAACTAAGTAACGCATGTATGTAAAATGACTTTTTCGCGAAAACGGTCTTGCAGATTTTTACGAGAGTAAGATATCAATATATACAACAATTGAGGATTAATTTTATTGCAGTGGTTTACGATTTTCATCGTTCAAAGTATCGGGGCAGATTATTAAATTTTAAGCTATACAATTTCCATTGTAGAGCTTTATATTTTGAAAGAATAGAACAATTGGACATATTATTATTAAGTATAAATGGAATCGATTTTAAATTGCATATATGTCAACACTGTTTCTGACATTAATGTAAATACAAAGTACTAAACTACTATGCATGAAGAAAACTTCAATTTCTCTCCACAATTAAGAGAAGTTTGGAGTTTTATTACTGAGAAAAATCCGCTTGAAGTTGTTCATGAGAATTTAAAAAATTGCAAACAATTTCTTTAATCGTTCGGACATCAAAATTGAAATAAAAATTGTTGCACCTTTTTCGACAGTAAATGATAATAAAAAAAGAATTTTCAGAGGTGTAAAAAATAAACTTCTCAAATAGAAGGACCATGCTAAATGGAATGCGTCGCATACCCACCCAGTAAAAGTATTTGTGAAGCCATCCAGAGGAGTTAGGGCTTCTCCGTGCGTCATTGTTATGCCTCAAAACCAGAAACGAAGAGAGGAGACGAAATTTCCAAATTAATTTTGGAATCCCGGCCCAAATCAAAAATTTAACCATATTTCCCAGTAGAGTGGAAGAAACTACTTATTATAAACAATCTTTATTAAAGAATAAACACCCACATCTCTGTAAAATTCTTTTTTTATATTTACTGTCAGAAAAAGTGCAAACAATTTTTTTTCTTTCAATTTTGATTTGCGAACGATTTTTTTTCTTGCGAAATAACGTACTAAAATACACTTTTTTAAAATTTTATCAATTTGTTATGGTATATCTTTATGATAATGAATAAAATGCTTATTTTTCATAAGTAAATACATAATTTATGCTGAAACACAAAAAATAACACGAAAATTTCTCTACAAACATAGTATAAATTGAAGTTACTAAAATTCATGAGGTGGTGAATTCAAGTAACTTGGTTCATGAAAATGAACAACAACATCTTCCATTGTTGTCCAATGTCTTGCATTAACGGCATCAACTACTCTCTGTGTGTATTTCACCATTGCAGGAACATCCACAGGATAAACGTCGGGGCCTTTATGTGGAGTTTTAGGATGGATAACTCCAATTAAGAAAAATCTTAAATTCGCGCAAAGCTGAAGATTTGGTTCATCTACCTGAGTAGTGAACATTAAACACATTCCACACTTTTCATGCATAAATATTGAGTTATAAATACCAGATCCGCAAGGAGCAACAAGAACTTTCAATGATTGCCAAAACTTAACAATTGTTTCTACAGAACTTGAGAATTGAGAATCAGCTATTTCCCATTTACAGCCTTCATCAATCTTTGTACCACTACTTATGGCTTCATAAAGCTTATTAACATCATCGAAATTTCTTCCACTTCCCTTTGGTCTGTCATTGATCACAAACCTTGTAGGTTTGATTTTATTAAAGTTGACTTTTGTTTTTATCAGCTTTCGTAGCCTGTCAAGGCCTCCTGCAGTGTAGCCGTGAGCATATTCTAAACTATTTATCAGCCAAAGGGAGTGAACATATATTTGTTGTGACAAATCTACAAACGTCACTTTATATCCTAAAAAGTTTAAGATTTCTTGAGTAATTTCTCGATACATCGGAGGGGAATTAACCATGAAGCCTCTTGAAACCAAATCTTGTGGAACAAGCATCATTGCACAAAGGAAATCATGAATATTGTGGCCATACATATTAAAATACTGAATATAATAAACTAATTCAAATAATTCTCCAGTTGTCTGCATCATTGTGTGACCGCCATGGTCCTGATAAATTGTCTTAAAACTTCGCTTTTCATCTGAGATCTGACCTTTCGAAACAAAAACGTCTTTAAATAATGTAACATAAACCATACTATGAGTTATGTAATTGCTCGGAACTATTGCTCGTTCTGTATATGTTCGACCTGATATCAGGGCATAGTTAATCACTTTCGGATCATTTTGATAAAAAACCTTATCCATTTGAACATAGGGACATTGATACCACCATGTTTTATGGTTAATGTTTTCTTGTGTTTTCGGTCCTATTATTCTGACGCTGAAGCGAATTAAAGAATCTTCATATCTATAATTCGAAAAAATGGTCAAGAAGGAAGAAAAAGCAATAAAGAAGTTTATAAATATTGCATTAGGTTGCATTGAAGAGCTTGCTTTGTCTGTTAATGATGTCTGGGATTCCGTAAGGAGTTCTGCTGCAAAAAAATGATGAATGGATTAAACTCTGATAACACCCAATTTATATATAATCCATTGTGGTGGTCTTTTTAAAAAACGAGTCCTTTTTTTCTGAGATTTCTGATCGCTTCCTTTCTGCTCGTCATGCCCGAAATGGAAGAAATGATTGATATAGCCGAACTTATTACTCTAATTGGCAATTATCTTGTATAATACAATTAGTTGCATTGTCAGTTATTCTCAAGCATTATCGAATTTAAATTCAGCATCGCTAATTTGCATTGTATTGCAACAGCACATGTGTGTTGAGATAACAATAATATTACACCAGCTAAAATCACACAATAAAAATCGAAATTTTGCATCTCGAAAAAACAACAACAGAATTCTTCGTAATCTTGGGTATTTACATACATTGTGATACATATTCGAATGACCTGAATGTATGGGAAGTTACTAAAATTTGAGGAATTTATTGCAATAAAATAAACAAAGGTCATCCTTATTATATAAATTTGTAAAGAATAGCGAAGACCTTTACAATGTATGCACAGTCCCGCATATTAACTTTGAATATTTCTGATTTCATTTTGAAACATTTTGACTAGAGTATTGATAACTCAAATTTCCGATATAGTTACTACATTAATGCTAATGTAGTAAGTTTCCATTCATCTATTTACTTGATGTTATTGAAATAAAATCAATTTTATTTAACTATCCTTAAATAATATTTTTGTTGTGGAAACAATATATCTAACGATGGTTATGGTATCTGACTAACTCTGGAATGAATGTTTATCAAATATGATATCAAAATCAAAAAAATAAATGTGTTTAATGATTAAAAACTAGTTAAATTGAATGTTTGACTAATTGTCCAGTACTTTGATTATCCAAATTTTTTTCGAAATTGATTTTTTCAAGAGAAACATTTAAATTTTGAATTTCATTTTTGAATTTTCGAATTTTTTTTGGAGTCTTAAACTGATAAATTAAGCATAATTTGTAATGCCATCGCTTTATGTACAACATATGGTGATGAAATGAAGGCGGATTTTAAAAACTTATTTTAAATCAAAAATATTTTCCTCATTATCATTAATTCTAAATTGATATATACAATACACAGATAAGGCGTGAACTAAATTAGAAATATACTTGAATAAGAAGAGTAAAAGTCAAGTTTTTATTCATTTTATAATTGATTTAAACAAAAAATTACTTCATTTTAATATTCTAGTCGCTAGATGAGATTTTGCTCGTATTTGTTTACAGAGCCATATCATTTCTTGCAATTGAATTTGTTATGGAAAGAGGTATGGAAAAAGTTTTTCGTAGAGAATACAATATCTCATATAACAAACGTGAGATATTGTTGTAAAAATCCGTAATTTAGTCAATCCAACATACTTTACAATATGAAAATTGAATTCGATATTTTTTTTGCCAAACAGTCTTTGGCTAATAATTTTTAAGGTTACCAGTATGAAATACCATGTATACTTTATATGTTTGTAACAAGGTCAGCGTTATTTCTTGTTAATTAGTTTTGCCTTATTCTTAAGGAGGTTTTCCGATCAAACCGTTTGTATCGTCAATCAGTTCACATTTTGTGCAAAGCCTGTGCTTTTTTTCATCTCGAAAACAAAAAATTTCGAAAAAATACAACTTGGGTTCATTTAAACCCATTGTCCAAGTCAATCATTTGTGCGAAGTCTCGGGCTCGGATTCTAACTTCTTGGTCGGCATTAAATCTCATCGCGAATAAATTATACTGAAACCTTAGTATTTGACCAGAAGATATTCTCAATAATCGAGTGTGCATGAAAAGTTACTAAGCTTTGAGGTGTTTGGATAATGCTTTGGCAAAATTATTATTGTAAACTTATATTTATAAATTTTCAAATCATGCGAGATTCTTTCAATTCAAGCATCTTTTCTGAACATTCAATATATTTCCACAGAAGAAAAAGAAATATCCGGCTTCAAGAGATAATGATTTGCTTGCTCATTTATCTATTACTTAATAATCTCAATACTGGAAATATTGGCTTTATTGTTAAACAGACTGCAAATATTTCATTTCCAACTTATGTATTTAGTAAATCTGCCATCGCTGATCAGTTACCACCAAGCGAAAGACATTTAATACATGCGAAATTAATACCAAGCAAAGTTAATCCGATTGAATACAAGCCAGGCGAACGCATAAGCATTACTAAATATATTCACCCTCTTGATTTTCCAGGTGGTGAAGTAATGGAATTAAATTTACAAATACCCGTGCATGACCAACGTGTTCTCAAAGGGATTTTGCCAACAAACTATCAGATTGTATTCTTCTCAAGTGCCGCTATCAGAGAATTTACTCGACTTTACCATTTCAAAAATGCTTTGGTGACTTCAAGAGGAGTTTTCTGCAGAGATTGCCAAGTGAAATTCCCTAATGATCATGTTGGCGTGGACACATCTTCAATAACTGTATCAGACAAAGTGATTGAACACCTTATTATTGGAAAAGCTACATTTATTCCATGGGGTCATTTTATGACTGAATCTCCAATTTCTGGCTTAATATATTTTCCAGAAGAAGTTGTAAATAAATCTCAGATTTATTTCTACCAGGGGAGCTACTTCTACTCAAGCAACTTAAATGCATTTGGATGGGGACATATAAAGCATGCAAGTATATCATGGGATGCAACATTGGTCAAGAATCTATATATGTCTGTTCCAAATGATTTTGTTAATGGACAAACATTCTTCTATAGACTCCTAAGAGAAAGATTGATGAAGCGCTACAATTCTAAAAATGTTAAACCAACTCAAGGTATTATATCAAATAAACCTCAATCGAGTTCCAGATTCATTAAAAATTTTGATCCATGGGTTAAAAGCATAAAAGATAAATATCCAGATATTCCATGGACAGTAATAACTGATGACCAAATAACAAATACAGGCGATGCAATCAAAGTACTAGCTGCAACAAAGTATTTTATCACTCCTTGCGGCTCAGCTGCATTTAAGATAGTTTACATGCATGAAAACACAGGTATTTGCATTGTTGGAATGGCTATTACTGATTGGGCAAATTTAGGTGTATGTCAAGCAATGGGAGTATGGTGTACTTACTCCTACAACCCAGGTTTACCATGGATTTTTAAAGGTACTGGTATTATTGATATTGAAATGAATTTGAGATTTGCTTCATACCTTATTTATGCAGTTGATCACCAGAAATGGCCATCAGTCACAGAAGATAAAGTTGAGTTTCTATTTGAGCAAAATATTCATAGAAAGATCCTAGATATTGATCCTGCATCTTCCATCCAAGTTCCATGTGATATTGACAGTTATTATTATAATTTAACTAATAATATATCACAGCCGAAGAGATGCGAATCAATTAAATCTCTGTACTTCGGAAATAACATTCCAATGCGATAACTTAAGATATTTCTAAAATAGTGTTAATGTTTAATATTACGCAAAATAGTACATTTTTGAAATCTAGAGATATAGACGGTTTAGCCAGAGATTCATATTTTTCTCGTGTAAACATCTCAATTTTCTCATTTTTTTGAGAGACAGATTATTATAAAAATGCATATCAATTATGAAAATTTAGAAATTCATGGTTTTCAATACAAAACAATATGCAACACAGAAATCATTCCACTATTAAAACCATTCTGTGCTATAGAGGATTTAATTTGGAGTATTAATAAGGAAAATATAGAGCAAGTTGTTACCAATCTCACAGATATGCTGAATAACGATTTTGTTCCATTAACTTTCATCAAACACATATTGAAAGTAATGAAAAAGTCCCGAATTGCTAACAAATTTAATGAAATTTTATTTTCATCCGCTTTAAATCAAATAAGTAAAGTACAAAATGGCAAAAATGATAAAAGTAAGCAGCAACACATTCAAAATTCGACTATCAACCCAATAGAAATGACAATTTTCGAAGATAATCTTGAACAATTCCAAGAAAAACTCCAACAAAACGATCTTAGATACAGATATGGATCTTGGAGTAGTACACCACATATTGATTTAGCCGCAGCTTGCGGTAGTATTAATATTTTTAACTTTTTACTTTTAAATAATTCCCAAATTACAAATAAAACGGCAAAGCGTGCGATAGAAGGCGGAAACATAGATATAATAAAGATATTGCAAAACAAAAACATCAGTTTTGACCATTGCTTACGGAAGTCAATTAAAGCTCATCGAAATACAATTAGTGACTGGCTTCTCAGTAATTTTTCTTGCGAGAAAATCGATCTAATCTACTGTCTTGTCAAAGGTAACACACAAGCTGCTAATTTTCTCATTCAAAATCAAATAATAATTCTTGAAAATCCTAAATACGCCATAGATTTGACTTCTCTCGGTGTAATTCGCGGAAATTTAGATCTTGTTAACTACTTCTACAGCCTGCAGCACGAAACAGTTTCGAGCGACATCGAAGTCATTGTCGACCAAAAAGAAGTGGAAGAGATGGAGTCAGAGCTTAAGAAGAGAGAGGAAGAGAGGAAACTTCTTGAAGAAGAAGTCAAACGCCAGCAGGAGATCAACAGACTGAAACAAATTCATGCTCAAAACGAGCAGAGACTCAAACTTTTGCAGAATATGAAACAAGGAAAACAAATTTTGAATCCTAACGAACCTATTTACGTCGGAAGTTCCACATCAGAGGAAGAAAAAGAAGAAGAACAAGAAAAAGAGGAGGAAGAAGAAGATCTTAGCGAAATGTACTTCAGATGGAAACACGACAGATACTACAGATACTACCATGAAGAAGAAGAAGAGGAAGAGGAAGAAGAAGAAAGGGAGGAAGATAAACACATTGTTCATCCACCAATTACTTATTCCGTTGTCAACAATTTCTTTGAAATAACAAAGTTTTTGGTTGAAAAAGGAGAAGATGTGAATTACAAACCAAAATTCCACTCTGAATGCGATTTTACAGACTATATTAAGGGAAGTAACTCTCTTTTATCAATAGCTATCAAAAAGAAAAACACGGAAATAGCGAAACTTCTCATTGAAAACGGTGCTGACGTAAACTATGAATGCGAAAAAGATGGAATAACATGGCCTATGCTTGCTTACTCAATCAAAAAGCATCTATTTGAGATATCTAAACTTCTGATTGAAAAAGGAGCCCTTCCTTACAGATCAGTGAAGAGACAGCATAGATTTTATTCAGTAGACAGGTTGTGGACACCACTAATTTTGGCTGTAAAAGAGGATTCTCTCGAATTGGTCAAAATTATTGTTGAAAGAGGCGCTTATATAGATTTCTATGTCGAAGAACATTTCGGTGTTAATACTGCAATGACAATGGCTGTGCAGTGCAGGAGATTTGAGATGCTAGACTATCTTATATCTAGGGGTGGAAATGTCAATGAATTCCACACAATTACACCTCTTTTTGTTGCAGTTAAAAATAATGATGCTGAAATGATAAAGTTTTTGGCTGCAAGAAAGGTCGACTTGAATAAAGAATTATACATAGAAAGAAGACATCTAACTCCTCTTGCTTACGCAGCTTACCTTGGAAAGACAGACGCTGCCAGAGCTCTGATTGAAGTTGGTGCCGACACTAAGTTGAGAAATCCACTAGGGCAGGCCCAGAGACAGAAACACATGGATATAGTTGGTTTGCTTTCTAAAGGTGTATGAATGATATATTTGATTATAGTAGTGTGAAATATACATGTGAAATTTATACGTGTAAATTCAAATCTGATTATTGTGAAAAACAATTATTATTTAAAAACATTAATAAAAATACCAGATTATAGGTTTAAGTCCATCAAAAGTTATACATGCATGGAAAATCTGACATGGTGAGCGCATCCTTAAATTGAATTCTCCAAATATTAAGCATTATTGTGAAATTTAGATCAAGCATATTGTGATACTGATAGTATAGAATGATGTATACTCTAAATACTAAATATATTATACTATCATCGAAATTAGATTATGATTTCCATACAACTTAGTTTAATTCTCGATTTAATCACAGCTTCAGCTAGTCATACTAGTATGCATTATACCCTTCTTGTTACATTGATTAACACCCAATATCCAGTGTGGAACCACTTCTGAAGACCCACTGTATCTATTCTTCGATTAATTGTTACATTGATTAACAGCCAAAATTGAACAGTTGTAAACTAAGGCTGTGATCCATTAATTTATTCAAAATCAAAAGAGAGAGGGAAAAAGATTGGGACGATTACATCCTCTCAATTTCATTCTTTCAACTTTTCAAATATCAGCGCAAGATCTGGATATAAATAATGTTTTTTGCGAAATTAGACATTAGATTATAGTGAAAAAAATCGTATATTTGGAGGTTAATATTAAACCTTCTAAATTCATTATGCTGAATTTTCAAATCTTTATCGCTTCACACTGGGAAGAATATTTTGGAAAGGGTAGTTTTGTTACAATAAGCTACAGTAGTTCAAAACAGAAGATACACCATCCAGCTAATTATGCAATTAAAAATTGCGAATTCTTAAAAATCGATAATCATGCTGTTGAATTTAAATATGCTACTTATGATACGCATGTTCTAGTAGAATTATGCTCATTCTATAATTGTACAAGTCTAAATTCAGTCGGGGGATCGTTTTACTATGGAGATTCCGGAAGTTGCATTACAAAATCATCAAACTTTGTCGGATCAAAGGGATTTGGCGGCATTGCGTTCTACATTACGACGGATTCCGATGGATTAAATATTGTAGACGGAATAAACGTATTGAGTTGCGGAACGAGTACTAAAGAAGGAAATTGCACACTATACTTTGGGAACTGCGTAAACAAATTCCAAAACTCAAACGTTTCCAACAATAATTGTGAAGAATTTGTTGGAATTTATCTCAAGGCAAGCAATATACAAAGCGAGTTTCAATATTCTACATTTATTAACAATACACAGGAGAAGAGTATTCTAATATATTATGAAGGAGAAAGTATGATTTCTTTCGCTTATTGCAGTTTCATACAGAATGTTCAAAACTTGGCATCAAATGACTCACTTATTTATATAAAATCAGGCAACCTTACCCTCTATGACTGCATTTTCCATGAAAACGTTGCATCAAAACCCTACGACTGCAGAGACTGCTTTTTATGGGATGTAAGACATGATAAAGAGATGTACGATACAATCACAAGGATAGTTAATCCTTCCTAGAAATAATTACCCAAATTTTGATGCAAAAATTATTCTTTTAAAATTCATTAATTTATTTTGTAATAAATAGTTATTTTTATGAACGCAACATCTTACACTTTCCTTTCCATTGATCATGCCGAATCATAAAATAATTATCGCTACTACAGTGTATTAATATTAAATCAATATCAAGACATGCAACACCAATTCTTGCTAGTACAGATGAAGATTGAGGCTGTATCACAAGATCTTTTGTATAAAAAAGTGACAAAATTATGAATTTTTTCAAACCAAAGAGTTTTATTCAGGATATGGCTATTCCTGATAAATATCTGCGGTTTGTAACTTTTGAGGACATGCTTTTTGAAACTACTCCTCTTGATTTTGACCAAATTATTGAATTTGCTACAAAAAATTTTAAAGAGTATGAATTTGAATACGTTTTCAGATGTATTTTATCAGCTCCACTTAAATTACCAAAGAAATTACTCGAATTTTACAATTTATACATAAAACTTTCAGAATGCACAGGAATTAAAGTTTCAGCTGACCAAGCATGCTTTTCCCATCTTCATATAGCCAGGTTAATGTTCCTTGATAGTTTATTTACAGTTGATGATTTCAAAATTCTCAAATATTTTGAACCAGAGAACCTTGCAATATTTAACAAGATATTTGGTATTAATTCAGATTTCTCTGATGGAATTAGCAGATTTGTCTGCATACACGGCTATGAAAAAAATACTTTACAATATATTCTTAAATACGACTTAATTGATGAATTTATTGAAGAAACAGCCCAGATAAACTTCGATATTAACCAAAAGCTACCAGTTAATCGATATGATTTCAATAAAATCGATGAAAAATTAAGTTTAATCCAAATGAGCGCTTTTTATGGTAGTATCAACTGTTTCAAGTATTTGATGCTCAACAATGCTGAAATCGACCCATTGTTATTCATTTTTGCTATTATTGGTGGAAATTTAGAAATTTTACATATTGTCAAGGGAGAACTTGATAAAATGTCCATTCCTAATGATAATCCATTATTTCTAGAACTAAAGCAGCGTGCCAGTCAAGAATCTCTCCAGATTGCCGGAAGTTATTCCAGATATAACATTTTTGACTGGTTAATTTCGAAAAACTACAACAACGACCTTGTCTCATATGTCTACAACTCCAAGAACCTCAACACCCGCATGACCCTGTACTACAAGCAAGAGGATCCCTCCTTCAACAAAGAGGAATTCGACAAACTTTGGCCAGTCCACATTGTATCAATCGACGGCCTTTACCCACAGTTGCTCATTCTCCTGGACAGCGGCGCCGACCCAAACATGACGACAAGCATCGACATGTCTCCCGCGTTGACATCCCTGTCTATTGCGATCAACTCATACAACGAGGCAATAATAAAACTCCTCCTAGAACTCGGGGCAAATCCAAACTGGACAAATCCGACGAAACTGAACTGGGGACCTCTTCACTTCGCTGCATTCTCAAACAGCTACTTGTGCGTGAGGGCACTGATCGAACATGGAGCTGATCCATTCGCTGTCTCTGTTTTTAGAAAGGGGAGGACGTATTTGGACGAAGCTGTGAGACAGAACAAAAGAGAAATTGCAAAAATTCTGAAAGAATACGGAGCAATGGAAACAAAACCTTGTTCAAAAGAAGAGTTTCTACCTATAGAACTCGCAAAGACTGAAAATATTAAAGAATATCTCTCGGAAGTGATGAGTTCTATCAAATAAAAAATTATTTGTTATTGTAAATATACATGTTATTAAATTGAAATAATATACAATATTTGTTTTTTATTTCTTGAGTGATTTAAGCAATGAATTACAAGCATCTTTTAGAGGTGAAACAGATGCAATTGATGCCTTTTTGAGTGCGTTAATAAGTGTAGAAGATCCTTTCAATCTCAGTTTCATTGCTTGTGATTTTTCGCAACTATTTTCAAGAGTAGAAACTACATTTGCGAGCATTTCCAAATGTTCTGGTTTCTTGTATCCGTTTGTCAACACGATCGAGAAAGGACCAAACGCAGAGTCAATCAGAATATCATTGTTTTGCGCTGTCAAAGGAGTGAATATTCTTATCATCAAAACGAAACAGTCCGCACTAATTTGGTTGTCGAGAAGTGTTGCAGCACAAACTGGGCATTTCGCAGCGAGGGATGAAATGCTTTTGATGACTTTCTTTTGGTTCTTTGGATCTCCATTAATTGTTTTTTCGCAGTTTTCCAGAAGAACTTTGAGAAGTTCCACAGCTCCTGTTGTTTTATCTATTGTCTGCATGATGCACGGGATGATTCTTGCGCTGACTAACGCGTCGAGGGATATCTCTGTCTTCTGTATTATCTGCGTCGCGAGGTCTAGAGCGGAAACATTGTCACTGCAGCGTTGGAATATTATAGACAGAGTCGTGACTTTCGTAAGTGAATTCAAAATGTTTGGACTTAGAGAAGAAACTTTTGATAAAAGTTTGATTGTTTGGTCGGAAATAACTGTTGCATCTTGTAGAAGAGAGGAAGTCAGTGGTAGAATTGCGGCGTCAATGAATGCCATCAATTTGTCAGATATGATAGGAACATTCTCAAAAGTGTCAGAAATTATTTTTATTGCGTTGAATCTGACTGATTCTTTTGGAGAAATGAGAGGTCTTTTGAGGTCACAGATGATCGCTGCATCACATGAATTAGTTGTGACTCCGTGATGTATGATTTGCAATATTAATTCACAGTTAGGTGAAGTGAAATTGTTTTCTTTCAATAATTTTGTCACTTTTTTAACAAAATTCGAATTCCAAATTTTTGATTGAAAAGTTTTGCAAGAAACACAGTCACAAATTATCTGAAGTATATCTAATGAATGACCATTGATCGCCTTGTCCAGTATCTCTTCGGCTTTAGATATAAAAAACAAAACAATTGTGTCAAAAATTTCAAAATTATCTGTTTGTAATTTTTCAATAGTTGTAAAGTATTTTGAAGAAACATCTAACAATTCCAAAGGGTTTTCGCAAATGATAGATACTGCCATAAGGAGCTTAGTCCGTAAATCTCCAGTCGATGACTTGAAAAGTTTAAAAATGTCACTTTTTATCGATAAAAGTGACAAAGTATTTGCAGCCAAAATAATTCCAAGGATATTCAGAGTAGGATTTGATCGGACTATTAGTTCTTTGCAGACAGATGAAGTGAAATCGTTTGATTTTTCTTTCTTTTTAGAGTAAAAACCATTTACCAAAACAGCAAAAGTTTCCAAAAGGTTGTTATCGACAATTTTGTACTCTTGCAGCAGTGACTGGAATGACTTGTCATCGAACACCTCGTTGAACCTGTCAGTGAACACAAGGTTGGCCATGATCCTGAGGGAGTAGTGCCTCTCTATTTCGTCGTTGCTCCTGTAGCTGTCGACCAGAACTCTCTGCGTGAACATTGGAAATTTGTACTCATTTGAGTCCTGTTTCGAAATGAAGTCAACTAACTCTCCAAGGCAGCAGAGAGATCTCCTTCGAATTAAATCACTGCCCGACTTGATGAATGTCTCGAGGCCGCCCATTTTGTCCATTGATATCATTTGTGACGGGATATCTGTTGCATTGTGTATCAAAACAGAAAAAAGTAGGAGTAAACACGACTGAACTTGTGTTTGCTTTGATTGAGAAGTGAACATCAGAAGCTGCAAAAGGAAGTTGTGCTTGATGAAGTTGTTGCAAATCAAAGGAGACTTCCTTGCATTCTGTATCAGAAAGTTGGCCAAAGGCAGTTTCGATTTGATCGTGTCTATTCCTTCGAAAACATCTTTGATCTTCATGCAGATCTTGCTGAGTTCTTCTTGGTCGGATGTGTTCAATGAGTCAGAATCAAAGGGAATTTGGCCACTTTCGTTGGAGTTGAGCTGGATTGTCTCAATCGAGGCGTTGAAAACTATTTGCGATGGTTTGAGAAGTTCACTTTTTGTGAGGTAATCATTGATTTTTTCTATGTCAGATTTTTCTGATTTCTTTTCTTCTTCTTTTGCCTTCTGGATGATCTGCTTCATGTTCATTGAGTACCTCACACTTGATGTCACTGAGTCTGAGACATTTATCCTGTACATCGAGAGAGATTCTGTAGTTTTCCTCTTGGATTCGAAATTCTTTTGCTTTGGAAAGACTTTGTATGCAATTCTGTCAAAGGATTCTGAATCAAGGCAGCCTTTCCAAAACGGATGCTCTGCAACTTCAGGCCAAGTTGGACGTTTGTATGGATCTTTGTTAAGAAGCGAAAGAACAAGGTCATTGAATTCGTCTGAGCAGATTCTGATCTTCATCGGCTCTAAATTAGTGATTCGATCAAGGATGTCTGCTTGATCTGACTTTTCATCGTCAAATGGAGTAGAGCCAGTGGCCATTCTGTAGAGTAGACATCCAAACGAGTATAAGTCAGATGCAAATGAAGGAACTCCTTCATCAGTAAGTAATTCTGGAGCCAAATAACACAAAGCTTCTGTGTGAATATGAGAGAAATCAAATCCTTGGTCAATTTGACTAGCTCCAGTAAAATCATTAAGCTTAATAATGCCGTTTTCATCCAAAAGAATGTTTCGTGGGTCGAAATCGATAAATAAAAACGAATTTAAATGAATGAAAAGAAGTGCATTAAGTATGTCAGAAACGAATATTCGTATTACTGTCTCTGGAAGATAAACATCTCTTTCCAAAAGCTCTAAAAGAGTTCCTCCAGGACAATATTCAAGAAATACGAAGAGTTTTGAATCATTTTGAGACCAATTATAAAATTTAGTGATGTTTTCGTGTTGTAATTGATGTTGAATCTCCAAGCCGTGAGTTTGTTCTTCAATTCGATTTTTATCAACGACTTTTGCGGCAACAAATTCAATAGTATTGTTTATTCGACCTTTATAAGTAACAGTAGTTTGATATTGCGCATATTCACGACCATTACCAATCTCTTTATAAAATTCTACATTTGCCATTGAAAATAAAAAAAAAATTATAACCTATGTGAGGAGTGGAAGAATCTAAAACCCCAATACAATATATTGCCTACATTCATATATTAAACTTATTATTCTGGATCCTTTAAGAAGAATATTTAACACAATTAAAGCAAAATTAACCTTTGTAAGGGCATTAAAACATATTCATAAAGTAAAAATAAAACACACAATAAATATTTATAAAACAACAAATAAAACTAATTCTTTCCTTTTCCTTTATTGGAGAGTCTGAGAACAAATTTCTCTCCAGTTATATCCTGTATAATTAAAACTTGTTTCTCGAATACGTCAATGATTCTTGAAATAGGATTATCCATCTTAAACTGCGTCTTCAAATTCAAAGAAAGAGATCTTGAATCAAGTTCGAAAATACAAATTTTTGTGTTTTCAGAGACAACAACATTAAAGAAACACTGTCCGATGTTGTAAGACGAAACATTCGTGATTCTTCCAATGAAAGAATCGAATTTCTTTTGGCAGACAAATATGCCATTCAGTGTGTAGATTCTCATTGATGAATTCGTTGTAATCCACATCAAATCCAACTGTTCGTCCAAAGAGATCCCAACGATTTTCTCATTTACTTTGATTTCTCTGTGGAAACTTCCTCTGATTGCGTCCCAAACAACGACGGAATTCTTTCGGACTGAGCAAACCATCATTGATCTACTGCATGGAAATGATTTCGAAATGTCACTTGAATTGAAAACTCCAAGTTGAATAATTTGCGTCATTTTGTTTGCTTTGGAGTAACAGAGTAAATACGCAGAAGAAAATCCATAAATAAAATCAACAACTAGCAATGCTCCATCAGATGAATAATTGTAGAAATTAACACCAGAAAACAAAGTGTTTCTATAGACAAAGTTGCCGTAACACAAACTGTAATTGGAGCTGTCAATGACCAAATAATTCAAATTGGAAAATTCATTCGTCATTTTTTCAAATTCTAGAGAAACTTTCTTTGGATTGAAATTTCTTTCCTGATGGTTTTTCTTGAACAGTTGAATTGGGCATTGTCCCCAGTGCTCCAGTCTCAGTGCCAGTGTTGATATTTCATCTATATCATCCTCTCTTATTGTGTCGATATAACTGTGGTAACTTTCAGGCAGAAAAATGTTTTTGGACTGAGTTGCCAACTGTCCTTGCTGCGAAACACCGAAAATCAGGTCAATCCACTGTCCGATGCTTGCTTCATTCAGCTCTTCTCTGTTGACTAATATAAAGTGTACGGCGCTCTTGCACCACTTCGGCAATTTGACTTCTTCAATCAGGTTCAAATTGCAAACATTGAGAAACAATTCTGGAAGAGAAAACAACTCTGGAATCAGTTCTTTGACGTCATTCGTGTTCAGTTCGCTGGAACTCTGCCAACTGTACTTGATGTCAAAGAATATCCTGGATAAGTTGTCGTATCCAGTGTGCAAATCCCAGTCGTAGAAAGTGAATGGAGGAGTCCGCAAAAGAAAGAAATGAACACTCGCGCCCATCGAATAGTGAGCACCGTAAAGGAACTGGCCGTTGAATGTGGAGTCAAACATTTTGCTCCTTTCTTCTGTCTGCTGGCCCATCGGAAGATTGATTTTCCTATGAGAAGTGAAGTGACCACAATCATCAGAATCGTAATCGGAAATGATCCAAGGAAAAACAGGGTACTGCGTCAAATCAGCGAATGAGCGACTTCCCAACGAGTTTATCACAAGGAGGTAGTCGTATGTGCTGAGCATTCCGCTCTGCCAGAGAGATAAAGCTGAGGAAGAGTTGAGTTGGAAAAGTTTTTTCGTTCCGAAATTTATGTTTTTGGAAACTAAAATTTCTTTCACGAATGAATCAGGCAACTTTTGGTTGTCGACAGGAGAAATAATAAGTGTCCCTGTGTTGTATAGTTTGAACTCTATGGCAGTGAGTTTGTGGAGATTCATGTGCATCTTTGAGAAAATGATTTTCTTGAACGGAAAAATCAGAACAAAATGGCCGCAAAACAAACTGAACTCCCCATAAAATCCAAGTAAAATGTCATTGGAAAGAGACCTGAAATTGATTGGTGCCTCTGTTTTCGTCAATTCTAAATCAAAATTGTCGACAATCTTGGAGTTAATCAGCACCAAAAAGTGGTTTTCAAATACAAAAGTTACAGAATTTTGTTGTTCAGGCATTCTCCTCAATTTGCATGGAAAAGAATAACTCACATTTCCATACTTTTCTGAATAAGTTGCAGCAAAAGAGTTATACAGAAACTGACCATTTGGAATGACAGCAAATCTGTAATTCAGTGGGTTTACGAATTTTCCTTTCATTTCTATATAAAAACAGTTACTCAAATCTTGGTAATTTTTGATTAAATTTGTTTCATTTGTCTCTACATCCAATTTGTACTTTTCGATGTCGTTTTCTCCTGATGGCAATGATAAGTCAGAAGGAACTAAAATGTGAGGAGTTTCAATCGGCCAAACTAAAGGAGAAATAGTGAAATAGTTATAGTTTTCCGTTTGTAACTCAAATTTGTGGAGAAAATGCCAAATTTTTGATGATTGCTGCTCCATTTTTCTCAATAGATTTGACTTGGCCAAGTTAATTATCTGCTTCAAGTACATGTCAGTGTAATTCCTGTATTTCATCAGATAAACGTAGGACAGAGAGAGATTCGTTGTGATTTGGTCTTCAGTCAAATGATGTGCAGCCGAACAAGGAGTGTACGGTTCAATCCTCGTTGTGTACTCTGCAAGGAAAGCTAATGTATCTGTGAAGTTCTTGGTGATCTTCCCTTTTAAGTTCGACTTGATTCCTGATATGAAATTTTCAATCGGAATGTCAGTTTTTGTTTGCCAAATCTGTCTGAATTCCTCATTCATCAAGTATTTGATCGACAGCTCCGTTGTCTGCTTGATGTAGTACTCTTTGACCATCGGATGCTGTATAAGCTTAAACAAGAACTGGCAGGAGAAATCGAAGTCAAACAAACCAGAATTTTTGAAAAGAAAATGAGAAATCGAATTAACAATGTCAAACAACTGTGGAACATCGTCTAAAGAAACTTCAAATATATGAATCAATATGGATCTAAGTGAATTTAAAGTCCTCTCATCACTGGATAATAAAGTGAGGTGAGGTGATTGATACAACGATCCTAAAATTGGCAAAAGTGAACTGAACAAAAGACACAAATCAGTAAAATATCCGTTGTAAGTTGCCACAGCGAGGAAGTCAAACAACTCGACGAAAACACCCAAAGGAGCAGAGTATGTTTCCACGCGAGCCAAAATCACAACAATGACATTCAACGCTAGATCGCCGACCAAAATTTCTTGACGACTGCCGTGTTGTGCCAAAAGTGAAATAAAAGATTTTTTGAAAGCATTTTCATCAGCCATGAAAGAGGCGAGGATTTGCGAGTACAAATTGATCAAATCGGATGATTTTGCGAACAGATTTATCGATTCAACATTCTTGTGTTCGTAAAAAGTACCTTCCAAGCCATTTTTCGTCATGAAACCAATCAGTAAATCAGCGTAACTCACGTAGTTGATTGAGGAAGTTCTTCCTGACTTGTTTACATAACTGATATCGACGTAGAAAACACCGGAAATCTCTTTCAGAATTGATTTGTCGTCAGTGATAGATGCAGTCGATACTTTTAAAACAGCTTTCGGATCGAAAACGAACTGCGAAAAGAAGACAATCGAATCCAAAACTCTGATGTCGCAGAGGGAGTCGAATTCTGCTTTTGGAAGTTTTGTAAATCTCCTTATGAAAATAAAGGTTTTCTCCTCAAAAATTTGGAGAGATTTCGGTGGAGAAGAAACTAAAACAGTCAAACATTGGAACAAAAATGAAATAACTGATGCAACTGTTTCAGGTCTCTCTATTTTCGTCAAATTGCCACAGTTTTCAAATGTCTTTCCCATCAACAAACACTCTAGAGATTTGAAAGTCGTCATTTCGTTGTAGGACTTGAACAAAGCGAAACTTACAATGTCGTTGTGGACGAAGTAGTCATCAAACATTGCGTTGAAGTCAATTAAAACATTAATCAATCGCTGGTTTACGATGTCAGATGAATTCATTATCTGCAGCGAAATTTCGAAAGGAGTGAAAACGTTTTTTGAAACAGAATTCAGGTCCAAAACACTTAAAATTCTCACTTTCGTCGAATCATCGCAGACTTTGAAGTAAGACAAAATTGTTTTGTACAGGTCCAGTGATTTGGATCTCCTCGCAATTTCGCAAATGTCCTCTACAATGTAGATGTCGGAAAACATTTGAATTGAAACAGGAATTGACTTGAAAACAGTTTGTGTATCAGTGTATTTCGACAAAACTCTGAACAGTGTCACACCGTACTTCTGCACAATCTCTATGTCTTCTAGGAATACGTTGATTTTGTTGAGAAGAAGGACTTTTTCGAAAAGATTTGACAGAATTTCTTCTGAAAAATCAAATTTTTTCATTGGAATCAGAAGTAATTCGATGTCCAAGTCATGGAAAGTCACGAACAGCTTCACCATTGCGTTGAAATACATCTCAGTGTTTTTGTTTTCCATGATCAAATTGAACAATCTATAGATGTTGCATTGCTGGGACAAAAACCAAGGAAATCCTGTTCCTTTCATCAGAACAACGTCTTTTAAAACAAGATCAGTATCAAATGGAGTGATGAAATCTGTTTTAGAACCGTCCAAGTAATTAAATCCCCTTCTGAAGACATCTTTCACATCGAAATTTTCTGAAAAAAGAGAAATTTGTGATGAAATATACCAAAAATTGGTGTTTTCTCTCTCTTTCGAGCCAATGACTAAGTCATCCAAGCAGTCAATGTGCCCTTTCATGTGGACAATCTGAACCAAATCATTGATTCCAAAAATTGCAGAATTCTCTGTCAAATTTAGTTGAAAAGTGACTAAAAACCACTTTTTGTTGTCAATTTGGATGTGAAACGATTCCTCATTGACGAAGAATGTGAACAGTCCTGATACAAGTTCTCCCCTCACTGACTTACTTGAGAAAATTTCGCAAAACAGCTTATCCCTGTCGCTTTTCATCCAAAACGAGAATCCTAAACACTTTTTTTGTATGGAAATGAAGGATTTCATGCCTCCTCTGAACTCAAACATGGGGAATGATATGTTCTCGTCGATCATCCTTGACAAATCTTTGTGATTTTCAAGAAGATTTACGAAATTTCCGTAATTTAGATTCAAATTCGCCATTTTGTCTAAAAGAGGGGATTCGTATATTCCTAGTTTGATAAATGAAGTAACACCATCCTCTGATGCTAAATATAAATCTGCATTGGCAAAATTAATGTCACTTTTTGCAAAAGGAAGTAAACTTGGAATTCTTATTCGATTTTCAGTGATACAGAGCTCGTTTAGTAGGGAACTGTCCATCTTGAGCAGTTTGTGAGTCAATGGGATGCTCTGGACCCAGTTATTCGCGTCTTTTTCTGAAAGATTATTCAATGATACCTTTAAAAGCTTCGAATACAGCTCGGGATCAATCGATGGGAAGACGTCAAGCCATGCAAATCCACCATACCTCCAGAAGATGGATGCGCACTCTTGCGACGCTTGAAATGCAAAATATAAAATTTCAATTTTGTCATTAAAGCGTTTCTGCATGATCTGCATCACTTCCTGCATCGTATTTATACTTATTTCAAGTGCAAATGTCCTACCAATCAGTTCTGAACTGGCATTTCTCAAAAATAAAATCACAATAATTTGGACTTTGAATTGAGTTTTGTCCGCAATGCAGTATAGGTGTTTTATCAAGCCTTGGAATGATTGAATCTGCAGAAGATTGTCAAAATTTTGGGCTTCTTTAAGAAAATTTAAAATTTCGTCTGAAATCGATTCAAAATTACTTCTATCGATTGAAAAAATCAATAAATCAAAGAACAATGTTTGTGTTTTTGTCTCAACAAACTCTTTATCAATGAATTTGAAAAATAATATCGAAAATTGAAGACATTTTTCGTATTTTCTGTATGAAATCCATAAGAGACAGTCTACTAAACATTTGACTAGTTGAGAATTATCAATATCTACACAGAAAATGTCCAAAATATTCCAATATTTGTCAATGTATGAAATATTCGAGTCTTCGTTCATAAACAGTATTTTGAAGGCTTCAGCGTATATCATTCGATCATTATTTTGCATGTAATTTGCTTTGATGAAGTCTAAAATTTGATTTTTTTCTGTATCTGACATATAAACAAGAGTTGCTAAGCATAATGAGAACATTTCTTTGTTGCAGTGCTTAGAAAGTATTGTTATTCCCGAATTATTCAAAAAATACGAAATTGGATCTGGATCTCGAAATAATTTTGAGAAAGAAACGAAGAATTTGATGGCAAACCCAATGTTATTCGATGGTATTTCCCCTTGTGATATGCATGAGATGAAGATAAGCGTAATTGAAGCTAATTCTGAGTACGAAAAGTTGATGTTTCTGGTAAAAACCGAAAATTGGCCAATAAACCAGACCAAACCGCTGACGTACGTGTCTTTCGTAAATAGAGAGGAAATTATGAAACTAAAAAAATCGACATTTGCTAATTCCTGTATAAATTGACGGGATCTGAGGTATAAAACTAGGATACGATCGATCAACTCAGCATTTTCGGATTTAATAGAGTATAAAATAATCAAAGCGCTGATGGAATTCGAGACATTATTTATTTCAGGAGGAATTTCAAGCATAAACGTGATATTATATATGCAATTTAAGATGATTTGTATTTCGTTTGATTTTGAAAGTAATATCTGCAAAGAATCGAATAAAGGATTAATTAAATCGACAATCACATCTAATTCTTTGCTTTTTGGTTTATTTTCGGTCTTTACATTTGCAATGATATAATTAATTCTTGATGAAACTTGTAATAAAACTTTAATATTAATAGATTTTGGAGTATTAGGGATATATGACTGTAAAACTTCATTAGTGTACTGAAGAATCAATTTATCCCTATATATGACTCTTTCTGTCTGGTGGTTATCGTTTTCTCCTCGCTCAAATTTATTCGAAAACCATCCTTTCATTTTTCAAAAAGTGACATGGAAGATTAAAGAAATGCTACATTTTCTAATCATCAACTATTATTTGATTTATTAAACAAATTTCCGTATTATTTCTTCTTTCCAACAAGGAATATCAAAGTTATAATCCGAAATGAGAAATGTCCAAAATACCAAGATAAAATCCTCATAGAACACGCTGCTTCAATGAACACATTAATGACTTACGTATGCTTTCTGAATATTTATCAGATATTTCTAAAATTATTTTGAAATTCTTGTTAAGTTTTAAATTATAATATAAATCTATTTATTAACAAAAAATAAAACAAATAATCCTTATTCGAAGAAAGGTCTGAAGAAGTGAATCGCGTGAAGCCCGCATTGATACTTTTGCATATAGAAATGGAAAGATTTAGCGATATTTTCCTTATTCTGGTTGTCAATCAATGAATCCAGGTTCTTTTCTATGACTCCTTTGAAATTATCGTCATAAGAATCAACAATCGCTTTGAAACAGTCCTTCACGAACTGTTCATCGTGTTTGTTCATGTAAGGAATCAGTGGATAGCCACAAAATAACTCAGTCTGGTTTGAATTAATTAAAGCGTTCAAAATGTAGACGAAATGAGGTCTTAACATAATAATTGTGTCATGATTAAGATCTAAATGAATAATCTCTTCAATAATGCTCCATGCGCTGGTGTACATTTCCTGATTTGAGTCATTAAAAGGAGATTGAGTGAAAGAAATGGAAATTTTGAGGTTCTCCTCCTTTGTGAACTCATCTGGACAATTTATTGATACGGATTTCAGCGCTTTCAGTAAGTAACTGTTGACTTTCGTGTTGTCATAAAATGATTTATGATTTGAAAGCACCAAAAAGAACTTGCTGAGTATTGCATTGATGGAGAAGTCGTTGTAGTGCTTCATCACACCGTAGTTGGCCGTTCTCGATGTCAAACAACTGTTGAAAATTCTTGAAATAATTATCAAAATTTCAAAATTCGGTAGAAGCGAAAACAGCTGTTCTATGATCTTTGACGACGTTTGGAGCATGAATATGCCAAGCCCTGTGTCAGTGAGTACTTGCGGAGAGTTCTGGCACTTAGTAGTGCTATAGAAAATGTTGTACAACTTAATTATGGCTTTGAGAACCAGTGGTTCACTTTCGTACACTGAAATGAAGCTGAGTGTGTCCTCTAGATGGTTGTTGCAGAACCACATCATGAGTTTCTCAAGAAAAGAAGGATTTCTCAGTCCGTTTGCCACTCCTGTCAAATCTCGGTACAAAGTCACGACATTTATTGGATCAGGTGTATTCCTTGCTATGTATTCGAACCTTTCATCGAAGAATCCGAGAAATGAAATGAGATATCTTCGACTCTGAATGCAATTCGCGTATAAATAGTACAAGGTAGTTCTTGGACGCTTTAAAATCTTCATGTTTTCAATATTGTAGTTGATTTCAATCGTTCTTTCTGTAATATGATTCATAAACCCTGTGGAAATCATCAGATCTCTTAGTTTATCATTGTTGCATGCTACATTTATAAGAAGTATCAGCTGAATGATGACTGTTGATGAATTTTCCAGATTTGAATTTGTCAAATTCGAAATTCCGACAAAAATGTGATTCATTAGTGATCCGAACATTCCAGACTTATTCTCCATCACTCTAATTCTTACAGCATCAGCAAAACTGAGTTTCAACTGCAAATTTTCGTTCAAATCTTCGAAATTTTTTTCTTCTGATTCCTGTTCTTTGGCCTGCTTTGCTTTCTCCATTTCCTGGTCTAACAATATTTTGTCCATGAACTCGAAAAATTTTGGCCAAATTTGAGGGAAAAATTCTGACAAAAATAAACAAATTTCTTTTTCGACTTCTACAATGATCTCGTCGATATTAGAACCGGAGTTTTCGAGAACAGTGGTCATTGTGCAAATCAGATCGATGATTTTGGAGTAAAAGTCGTTGAAATATACGTGAAATTTTGGATCGTTCTGTTTGTATTGTTTTACTGAACTTGCGCGCGATCTAGCTAGTTTCATGAAGAATATGAGTCTCAGAAATGTCGCCGGAGTCTGATTTGTCTCTAATTCTTTCTGAATATTATTTAAATTTTCAAGAATTACTTCGGAAACGTCTTTAAGTGATAGTTTTGAAATGCTCCATATCAAACTAAAGTAGTCTGATCCAGCATCTTTAAAAAATTCATAGCAATTTTCTGGATTTCTATTTATGGCGTTCAGAATGCAATTAATGGCATTATGAGTGAACGTAAATACTATATGTGATATCTGGTTCATCCCATCCTCTGGAACATTACCGAAATCCCATGTCAAAACAATTGACCAAATTCTGGCCGTATCTTCAATAATTTCGATATTTTCTTGAAGCAATACTGTTGTAAACCCGCTAATAGCATTAATTATCTCCATATTATCATCAGAAACTGCTGGCTCAATTGTAAATTTCAATTGGCAAATTAAAGCGACGATGTGGCAGCAGTATTGCGCCAATTGGCTGTTGACGCAAGACTCCATGACGGGGATAATCTGTTTCAATGCTGCGTGAAGAAAATCGTATCTGAGCTGATTTGAGGTAAAACAAGTGTTGTGAGGCCGTAAATACGCATCTAATATTTCTAAGACCTGGTGCTGTATACTTGGCTTATCGATGTTGAATAAACTAAAGAAAAATTGAAAATAATCTAAATCGAATAAAAATTGTAAACTTAGAGGGAACTGAACGAGATTTGTAATGTTGTCTGATGTATCTTGTTTGCAAAACGCGAAACATTTGTTAATTATGGTTATTGACTGTGGAATGAGTTTTTCGTTGTTTAATTCCTCTAGTGCGATGTTTATTAGATTCACTAGGTACGTGTCTTTGAAATTTGATATGGTCTGAGCGTTGTCATAGTAATTGGAGTATTTATGGCACTGAAGGAATGTTTCTGGGATAAATTCCATGATTGATAATGACATTATTTCCCCACTTTCACCTGAATCGAATACGTTTTTGATAATATCTAAAAATGGATCAATAGATTTTTCAATTTCGAAGTATAACTTCATTAAAAATGCACAAACTTCTGAGATTTTGATTAGTAATGGCTTATTTTCAAGTATAAGTTCGATGTGCTCGAAAAATTGCTGCATTGTTAGGTTTAATAAATCAATAAGAGACTGAGAATTAAGTAAAGAGCCGCGAAGATCAAGAATTGAATATAAACTTTGATATGTAAAGAATATTATACGATAATCTTCTTCATTTTGCTGAATTAATTGAAATAATTGCGGAATATTATCTGTCCTCATATAAATCGACTCGATTTCAGGATTGTAGTATATGCACTCGTCATTAGTACCTCCATACGCTTGTTTAATAAAGTCAACTAGCGATTGGAGTCCATTGGGCATAATCAAATTAGTGAGAATTTTCTTATATGGAACAAAAGCATTTCATCTCTCATTTTTAAGCTTATAAATTCAATATATGCTGCATCATGGCATAAATTTGTAATTATTGGGATGATAAATTAACTTTTATTTCAGTGTTAATTTTTCAAAGTATTTAATCATTAATATCACATACAAAAGTCATGATAATACAAATCATTGCTACAAAAATGTTGAATGTGATTATTTACGCATCAAAATAATACTAGACATCGATTTCACATATTTTTTCTGTAGAATTTGCTTTGAACATAATGTTATTGTAATTTCTTCGGGTTTACGAATAAAATCAATAATGTACGTTTATAAAAAAAGATCATTTATGCCAAAGAAGGCAAAAAAGCCACGTCCAAAGAAACCATGGCAAAAACTATTGGATTTTGTCGAATTGTACAAAGCACAATGCGTTCTCTTTGATGTACCGAAAATTGATGAAGTCGAAGAATTATATAATCCAATTATTGAAAAGAAAGGTAAAAAGATACCTCAAATCATTCAATTTGCAGATATGAAGATCCAGCCGATTCAGTTACGTCCTCTGATTGAAGCATACAAAAAGAGTGAATTTAGAGTCAAAATTTTCTCACTTTTAAATACAGAGACAGGAGATGAAGGTCTTCATGTCTTAGAACACATATTTGATGAACCAATGGAAGTTGTTGGCTTTGCTTATCATGCTAATAAGACCGGACCAAGTGGATGTCGCGCATTAGCAAGAGGTTTTGTTCGATCTAAGTTCTTATCAATTCTAGAACTTGATTTCAATCCAACAATTGGAGATGAAGGAATTGCAGGTTTAACTTATTATGGCCATTGCCCGACATTAAGTCGACTTAGTCTCAAATTCTGTGATATTGGAGATGCAGGTGCAACATTTCTTGGCCGTTGGATTGCTGATGGAAATTGCAAAATTAAAGAACTATATTTGAATGGAAACAAGATAGGTCCTATTGGTGCAATTGCATTTGCAGAAGAACTTGGAAGGAATAATAGTCTAAATCGGGTTGAATTGAATGACAATGTGTTTGGATATTCACTTGATGCAATGAATGCATTGCATGATGGAATTGCTTCATGTCCAACACTTCAATATGTCAGCCTTCTCAATAATTTCGAAGTTCCAGAAGGAATCCCTGAAAAATTCTGTGAATTAGTTCAAAGTAAGCCACTAGGTGAATGTGTATTAACAGTCAAGATGGATACATTCTTCTTCCAAAACATGAAGGCTTATTCTCTCACAAACAAGAGGAAGATGGTCAAAGAAGCGAAAAGACTCGCAAGGGAAGCCAGGAAGAACAAAGGAACATCTACAGCTCCACCAACTCAACCCGAAGGAACAACAGCTCCTGCATCAGCAAATGCAACTCAGCCTACAACACAGACTCCGTCACAACAGCCAACAGAAGCCCCTTCAGGCTCAACTTCTGCAAGACCTACATCACCAGCACCATCATCATCTCTTTCAACAAGAGCTCAACTCGGAACTCCAAACTTACAAGAAGCAGAGGAAGGACCAAAGAATTAATTCCTTCTTATAAATTTTTGTTGATTGTTGTTTTATTAAAAAATAATTTTCCTTGTTCATTATTTTCCTCCTCTGGCTAGCCTTGAGTTTTCGTTTTGTATTGATTGCATTATCATATTTTCTCTAATTTGCTTTATCTACGATTATTCATTTTTTTAATTCCATCTATTGTTCATTTTCCCATATTTTTGAAGTAAGAAACTTTTTAGATCAAATTTTATGATTCAAAACTTCAGTTCATGGAATGCAAAGACTAATCAATATTTTTATTTTATATTACTAAAGAATATTTGATTTGATAAGGAAAAACGTAGTGTCATTAATTGTTATAATTAATTACAATAAGTAGATTTATTACTTAAGAATATACAATCAAATTCGAAAATGGCAATAGAATTATCTTTAGCATCCTGGGAATTATCATCAAAATTGGGTGTAAAAAATGGATCAGTAAGGGATCCAGCTCGAAATTGGGTATTTTTGCTTGATGGAGTTTTGATATCTGATGTTTCTTCCCGGTCTGGCTCGCTTGGATCGTTTGGAGGCTCGTTATTATTCGATGGCTTGTTATTACTCATCTCAAGTAAAAAATATGACACCTTTCTTCAAACTAAAGTAACATTATGAAATTCGAGTCATAAGGCTATGTCAGGATATTTTTCGATATTGATGTAAAACGAACGATAAAAATTTTTAGCGGTTTTTTATAAATGTTGGGAAAAAAAATTCTGAAGGCTCGATAATTATTTAGCTGCCGGTTTCTAATTATGCATCTAGCTACTGTTCGTTATGAACAGAATAATTGTAGCAACGTTAGAAAGTTTTAAATTTTGTTACTCGAAATAGATGAATTTCGAAGCAATTGCTAGTTGAAAAGTGCACTTATTTGTTATTTATCAATCAACAATCGATATGAATTGAAGAAACGTAAAATTATCGACAACGTTATAATTGTTTTTCAGTGAATATATCGATATAAACTCTTTAAAAGTAATTTACTGCTTTTTCATACTTGTCATGTCGAAATTTTGTTTTAAAAATGAAATAATCTTCCGAATTTCATCGTAAAGTTACGGCTAAAACAGCATTATCATCTTTTGTATTGGTTTTTAATTCCTTTACAGCTTGTTTTATAGATCCTTTTAGCTCTGTCAAAGCTATCAAGAAACTTATCAAGAATTAATGTAAACTATTCAATTTTCATCGGTCCGGCTTCTCGACCATGGTTCAAAAAACAACTAAACATTTAATTTGAAACGAACATTTTATAATTTTTTTAATATAATCAAGAAATAGATAATTTTAAACACCACCATATCTTGTAATTAATTTCTTCATTTCGGAAGATTTCGCAATAGAAAGAGGGGTTCCTATCAAACTAGAAGCCGGATTCATATACGCATCTCTCTTCTTTAATTCTGTCACAATTTTAATCATATCCTGTTCAGCTGCGAAGTGCAAAGCAGTTTTATCTTGTTTGTTCTTCAAATTCACGTCAGCTCCTCTAGACATCAGATAAATAGCGACATCTTCGTGTTTAGACTGGATTGCTGTCATGAGCGGTGTAGTTCCGTTGCAGTCCTTCTCATTGATGTTTGAGAACTCTTTAACAAGTTGCTTAACAACATCCAACTGCCCTGTTTCGCATGCTTTCAACAGAAGAGTCCTTCCGAAAAAGTCTTTCGCTTTCACATCATAAGGTTGTTGCAAAACAACTTGTTCTGAAGGAGGAACAACAATCGAATGGTCTGGATTTGTTGTAGGTACATCATATGCACCATGATCTTTCAAGAATTGCACCAACTCTTGGTTGCCTTGCTGTGTTGCCAGAGCTAACGGAGAAACAAGATCTGCTCTTGTGTTTACTTCGCCTCCTTTTTCAACAATTTTCATTGCAAGCTTTGTCAAACCTTTCGAAACAGCGACAGCGAGCGGTGATGTCGCTCTTCCATCCAGAGTTTTGATGTTCACATCCGCACCAAGTTCAATCATCCTCAGAGCGAGCTTTTCCTGCGATTTGGAGATAGCAACTGTCAAAGGAGACCTTTCCTTGCCATCATTCGATTTCGTGTTTGGATCTGCGTGCAAATCAAGAAGTAGCCGTGCAACTCTGAAGTTGTTGTTCAATACAGCGATGTGGAAAACGCTGTGCCCAGTGCTTGTCAACGCATTCACATCAGCGCCTCGATCCACAAGCATTTTGATGATTTCCGTGTTGTCATTCCTTGCTGCATTGTGAAGTGGAGTCCATCCTTTTGGATTTGACTCTGTCACTGAACATCCCTTATCAATGAGATATTTAACTGTGTCTGTTCGGCCAAGCTGTGCTGCTGTGTGTATGATCAAATCTCCAAATTTGTTTTTGATGGTCGGATTTGCGCCGTTTTCTATTAGCAACCGGAGCATCAGGTCGTGGCCGCGCTCTGCAGCCCTGTGGATGGGAGGACGTGGCAGATCTTCGCCGTCTTTGATATTTCCGCCACTCGTAAGGAACAAAATCGCTGTCAGGAGGTTGCCAGATTTGGCGATCACTTCTAATGATGGCAATTTGTCTGTATAGGCCTCGGCATTGGATATGAGCCAGTCAAAGACATGGTTCTGGTAACAATGGACCGCTATGTCTAAACAGCCTTCAAATGTGCCGCCATGTTGCTTGCAGAGCTCTAGAATTTCGATGTTGCCGCCTCGGACAGCACATTTACATACTGTTTCTGTAATGGTTTGGTTTATCTTAAGAAGCTGCTTGAAACAAGAGTAATTTCCGAAAAATGCGGCAATTGCAAGTAAAGAAAACTTAGGACGCTCTGGAAAGAAGTTTTCTTTGTAGCCTGTGAATGGGCAAAATGGTGTGTCTGTGTACATCTGTTGTATATCGAAATCTGAAGAATTTATATAATTTTGGAAAGCGTTTTGATCATTAAGCTCAATGTATGTTTGTACAGTATCTCTATCAAATCCGTATTGTAGCCATTCTTTGTATTTCTGGAAGTCGTTCAGCGAAAACTGTTTCATCAGTTTTTCGAAGTTAACTAAAGAAGCAGCATGCAATATATATTTAGGAATTGTTAGCTCTGGAACAAAGTATATGTAGTCGTATTCATCTTTTTCGCATTTTGCTTGAATTTGTTCATTTGAAAATAAACTTCGTTCAAAAAGCCTGCGTAATAGAAGGCCATGACTTGCTTGGAGAATATATGATGAAAAATTGGGAATTTCAACGGCAAGACGATACGCAAGTTGAGATATGATATCAAGTTGCTTAAAACGATTGAATGCATATGAGTTAATGGTTTGTGCGAGTGGTTGGAAGTATTTGGAATCTTTGAATATATTTTTTATCTTGAGAATTGTTGAATCAAGTGTTAAATCATCGAGATTTTGAAGTGAATTCTGAAGCTCAATAATTTCTTTAACACCATCAGGAATAACAAGATCTAATTTATTCGGTTGTTGTGGATTTGGCTCCTGATTTGATGCTTCAGTCATTATTTCGAAATAAATAAAAAAAAATTCTATGCGGCTAAAAAAATGAAAAAAGAAATGAGAGCTCAAAAATATTTAATAATATTTTTCTCATTAATTTAATGTAAGGCCCTGTAGCGAAATGGATATCGTGTGTCCCTCCTAAGGATAAGATTGGGGGTTCGAGTCCCCCCTGGGCCTTTTTTTTTGATAATCTTTCTTTTTGTTTGAAATGTCGAGTCAATTTTTGAAAGATTTAAATGATGAGTGTATCTTTATATGTACTATATTTATTGACCGAAAATTCAACAATACTTCGCATTTTCGTACATTTTGGAAATTCAATGAGTTCTATCAAATCATTTCTATCTTTTCTTTGTCATTTGATTGAATGTCCTCTAACCAAAATTCACCCTTTTTTGGCGCAAGGGAACTAAAAGTGGTATTAATTGGAGATGCTTCAGTTGGTAAGACATCTCTTTTAACAAGATATATAACAGGTTCTCACACAAGCAACATATCACCCACACTCGGTGCTGCTTTTACAACAAAATTAGTAGAGTCGGATGGAGAAAATGTTAAACTACAGATTTGGGATACTTCTGGCGAGGAAAGATACAGATCAATGGCACCATTATACTATCGTGGTGCCGCTGTAGTTGTTCTAGTATATGATTTGACAATAGAAAGTACGTATAGTAGCATTGATCACTGGCTGGAAGCATTACGCCAGCATGTTAACATGCAAACTACATTAATCTTATTAGTTGGTAACAAATTAGATCTTTTGAATACAAATAAGAGGGTTGTTTCACAGGAAGATGCCAAAAGGCACGCATAAGAAATAAATGCAGTATATTTCGAATCTAGTGCGGTTACCGGAGAAAATGTTGATGCAATTTTCCAAACAATCGCAAGACATTGCCCGAAGAATGTGCAAAGTAAAAAAGGTTCCAAGGAACTCTCAGGGGCTGAATCAAAAAAGAGAGGCTGCTGTTAAACAACCTTATAACACTATTTCAATCCTTATATTAAATCTTTTACCATTATTGCTTTAGTTAATTTCTCTTGGTTTTTAAAAATTTTATATGAAATGTTTTCTATGATACAAAATTTGTCTTAAACTGAGATAATACTGTATCTATGGATTTCAATGTTATCGTCTGATTGGTTGTTTTTTCAGATTATTTCAATCCGAAGAGTATTGTGATGTAAAAAGCTGAAATCGCATTATTTGTGATGATTGACAAGATGAGAGAAGTGCATAATCGTATAGAAATTTTAATCAAAATTTTTTTTGATGTTGAAAATTAATGCTGTAAATCCGATTACTCCGAATGAAATCATCGATCTTGTGCTAAGACCACTGTCGATTGTTGGTGATATCAAAAAGCAAATCGGTGAAAATATTCAGACAAATCCAAAATTTATTAAAATTATTTACCAAGGAAGGATATTAATTGATGAATTAACTCTTGACTCGTATGGCATACAAGATAATGCAACAGTTTATTATACAGTCTCTAAAAAAGCACTCGAAGCAGAGGAAAAGAAAGAAAAAGTTAAAAAACCAGAGGATTACGAAACAGAAACACTCATGGATAAGATCGCAAACAGTCAACTGGGTAAGAAGATGATGGAATCTATTGACGAAAACCCAGAACTCATTCAAAATCTCTTCAATCAAATTCCAAATTTCGATAAGGCAATAGACGATAACCCTGACATTGCGTATGCCATGAAAGATAACGATTTTATTACAGATATGTTCAGGCAAACCACAGCAAAAGGCAACAAAAGAGTCGCGGCCCTGCAAATGGACAATATCGTCAATCAGGTCGAGCTTCATCCCGAGCAAATATCTCTTTCTAGGCTGAATGGTATGGTTGATCGCTTCTACGAACCTCTAGCTGATGGAATGTTTTCAGAACCTCCGATTAAACTCGTAATTCCAACCGAAAAACCAGAAACTCCTTCTGTGCTGCCTATATCATACACAGGAGCAGCTGCATCTGCAATAAATAACGTTAAAAATGAAATACAGGAAGGAATGTCAAAAATTAACAGGGGAATTCTGGTTTTAAGGAAGAGAAATGTCTCTGTTTCCAAGAAATGCTACGAAACATTCAAGAGCTGTGTAATTCAGAGGCAAAATGAACCATTTAGAAACGCGTTCCCTTCTCAGCTTCAATTCCTAAAGGCAAGGGGATTCATCAACGAAGATAATGATATAATGGCTCTTGTTAAAGCAAACGGAAACATTCAAAAAGCAATTTCGTATTTGTGCGAAATTGAAGGTTCCCAAAACTAAAACCAATGTTACTTCGGAGGTTCTGATTATATTATATTGTATTTGACCATTTCTTCATGAATTTTTTTTCTAATTTGACGAGAAATTTTTATTTATTTGTTTATTTTCAAAATAAAGCAACAGTATAAATTAATGAAATGATCTGATTTTTGCATTGATGTTGATTTTAGAAGAAACGAAGTAATGAGACTGTTTTTGCACGTGAATATCAGTTATGATTAAAAATTTACCACCAATGGAAATCCAATCAATTTCAAATGGTTTACAATAAGATTGTTCCTGTTATTAAGTGTGTTTTACTGTTTTTTAAATTATTAAAGGTTCTTTTTTATTTCACTCCATATCAACTAGAAAATCTAGATTAGTCATGCATGAGTTCAGAAAAAATATATTTAAGGATACCCTTACGTGTCAGATTTTTTGCGCATACGAAGAAGTCATGCTAGACATGAGCTATAAACCTGAAATTTTAGCAACATATTTAAAACTTTTTAAACTACAATACACTTTAATATTCAAGAACAAAAATATTCTTTTTAGAAATTACATAATTATTTTATGTGAAATCTATATAAAAACATATTTTGCGAGCGTAACTTTTTTCTTTATAAGCACCTTATATGACTGATAAACTGTGAAGGCACATAATTGTTAATTCATAGAGTTGATATGTTTCCAAAATTGAGAGGAAATTTGAAAATTGAATACCCTTTCAATTCAATTTTCAAAAGATATCAGCTCCTTCAATAATTGAAGGACGATTTTGATCATTTGCTCTTAAAACAAGCATGCCATGGAGAAAAAAGTTACGCTCGCAAATCTGAAATATAACTATCATATAAAAAAATTAAATTTCTAATTTTTTACTCTATAGATATTATTGGCCACTTGTGTAATGCATAAAAGTTTATGTCATATGCATACATTTGGAAGTATGGGAGACGAGGGAAATTACTTCTATGAGGCACTAGGATTTTTAAAAATTTCTCTATCGGACTCACCATTCAATTTCTCGAAAATTAAAAAAAATCAATAATAGCTAAAATGTATTATGCATAACAAATTTTAATGTTACACGGTATTTTTTGAACTTCATGACATGAATTTTCTTTATATTATTTTTTTTTTGGATTTTCTATGATTTATGCGATAGGCTGGAACAACATTGTAAGTGCAATGATATCATTTATAGAGAAATCTAAAACTTCAGCATTCAGAACTCGCAACCACAAAAATATTCATTTGCTAAGTAAGTAAAGTTGATTAAGTTCGACACTTAGCTTTTATACGTAAAACCAAGTGTGTATTGTTATTTCTTGTTAAATTATTGAGAAAAAAAAATTGTAAGAGAAACGATACTGATTATTGAAATAATATTGAGGGTAGCTGCAGATTTCTTCATTAACATGCCGGAAATTTGTTAATCTTGGTTTTCTATCATAAAATCTGTCGAAGAATCTAAAAACGGAGATATGAAATAGAGATCATGTAAATCTAGAGTATCCTGTCAGAAAAATAGACTAAGCATGTAACCCTTTTTTGGTCATAAACACTTTTTACCACTTAGTCATACAGATGATCATTAAATTTAAACGAGCACTTTTTGTCAGAATTTATTCTTTTACAAAGACAGAAGATTTTAGTATTATTTAATATTAGTGCTGTAGCAAAATTCAAAAAACGGTGAAAATTCAGTGAATTTGTGAATTCACATTTTTTTCGACATTTTTCTTGATATATCCATGCACATTAAGAACACAGCTTTGATACGCTTAAACAAGCATATTTCATATGAAATTGTTAAAGAAATAAACAATTTATATAAAAATTGCACTTATGGGCAGTTTAGATATATAATTTATATATAACATATATACAAATCCATAGACAAAGTGCAATAACTACAATGTTGTAGAAAATTACAGCAGAAATACTGACTTTTTGAAGGATAATAAGAATTCTTCTAAATGTTGTATTTTTATAATTTGATTGATTTTTTTTACTATTTCATTAATCTTTTATGAATAATAATTATTTTTAATATATGTGCTATTAAAATTTCAAATTTTGACTAATATATCTAAGTTATCTGAACGAAACATTTAGAAAATATCATACTTACATTGAAATAGCAAGTAGAGCATATTAATAGCAAGTTTCTTGGCTTTATATCTATCATCTATTGTTGTTTGATCAAACAAAATTCACTCTATTATATGGTGTCAATTAATTAAAACAATTTTTAATAGTTATTTATTTAGTGCGAATAAGTGCAAACTCATAAATGAATAACTTAATAGTAGAAATGAATTATCTGATATAAATCTCACATTTTGTCCATCAGAAATACTTTAATTGCATACGCATAACTATTAGTAATACGTCTGGAGTGTCAATTAATAACAATCCCACAACAAGTAAAATTCAGATTTTTATTAAACTTATTTTTTCCTAAAAGTTTTCTCAAATTACTATATATACATATGTGGATAAAATAATAGTAATATTGTAAAAAATTAGATAATTTTTTTTATTTGAGAACCTCTCAAAAGTTCATTCAATTTATCAATTGTTTCAGTTTGATGTATATTCATTTCTGGAGCCTAAAACTTTAGCAATCATGACAATATCATATTCTCTTTCTAACTACGCAATGTAAGGGTATCCTTAAATAAAAATAATATTTACGCGTTTTCGAATGATTCAGTATTTTCAACAGCTACTGCAATCATCTTGTAGGCATTCTCAAATGAAGTGTATCTTGGCATATGTAAAACGTGGAAGCAAGTTGAAGAAGTAGGCAATTTGTCGATCATTGCTCCGTTTGAATCAACTCTGAACTTGAACTGATTCGAAGAACTTGAAGGAGGCAACCTCGCTCTTCCTGTTGTGAACTTGATCAGCGCTGCTCTCTGTTCCGGAGTGAATTTCTGTATGACTTGCAAGAAAATTGTCTGTTGGTCATCTGAAATTCCCTCGAATTTAACAATTTTCGCCAGTTCTTCGTAAGAACACTCTGGATCTCCGCAAGCACTGAATTCCAATGTGTCTGGGTCCAATGAACTTGGAACTCCTGTTTTAATATTCTGCATGAATCCAATTCTGACCCAGTTCATGTATTTCCGGAGTTCATTTATTCTGAACTCGTTTGACAAAGCAATAAATTCATTCGCATTTGCCAATGTCACCTTTGAAGATCTTCCGAGTTGATTCAAAGAGTTTTCTTGACCTAAAGAGTCTTTTACAACGAAATTGAGGTTGAACTGTTTGCTGAATTCCTCTTCAGACATTCCAGAGTTGATAGACTCCTTGATACTTTCCATCGTGTTCTTGTAGTTGACGTCAATTTCGTAGATATCTTCAATAGTAATTTTGTTTGAAACCAAAAATCTCCAAACAACAGGAGCGAAATCAAATTCCTGGACTAATCCTGTCCTGATAACTAACAAAAGCAGAGCTCCAACCATCATGTACAGTTTGTCATTGTCTCTCAGGCTGTTGTTTGTTGGCACAAATATGAATTTATCCCTGTAATATCCAACTTGAGAGATAGAATTCGGTGTTGGACAAACTATTCCGCAGTTTGGATTCCTCAGATCCAGACTTAGTTCTGTGACTAATTCTCTCGCCAAACCACCCATATCTATACCTCTTTCGTTTGTGAAAGAAACCTTCCACGGCTGATCTGATCCATTTTTGAGTTTGTCTATAGTTACACTTCTGAAGATTTGGTAGATGATGGAGCACCTTATGTCCTTCTCTGTTCCTTCCCTCAGTTTTCTTGCCATGTCTCTGTTGATGCTGATTTGTGGAACTGAATTATCGTTGTTGGCTCTGACAATATCCAGGAAAGATCTGAGCTTGAAAATAGGAGTGATGAAATTGTTGAAGTCATCACCGCCTTTGAGGTAGTCGTGGTTCTTCATCCAGTTGACAATCAACAATGGAATCGATCTACAATACAAAAGAGACATTGGAAATCCAGTCAATTTCGGATTGTTTGCCAAAATTTCTGGATTGAAGTTTAGATCGAGTTCTGCGTTTTGGAATGTTGTTGAAGGAATACATCTCAGGATTGCCATGTCCAAGCTCTTGTTCCATCTCTGGCAGATCATCTTCATGTCGGAAACCAAGTAATCCCTGTATTTCATGATGAATTCGTCGGAATCAACTTTTTCGTTTGTTTGAATAGTGAAGTTCTTCATCGACCAATTTTCGCCTGTACTCAAATTGATGAAGAACTCGTTGTGATTTGCTGTCTGGATTTCGTCCGTCCACTTGACTTTCTTTCCGTCTTTTGTAATAGAACATAAGTAGTCGTATTTGGTGTTACTCTGTTTGAAGACGAATTTGAACTTCTTTGGAACATAATAGCGGAATTTGATTTGAAGAGTTTTTCCATCATCAAGTAATTTCTGGTCGAAAGAAGGTAAATTCATCGCTGCAATCACCCAGAAATTGAGCAAAATATAGAATGGGAAAGATGTTATGTCTTTCGTCATCAAAAGTCTCTTGCACAAGTTAGTGATCTTCACGAAATCTGATTGTGAAGTGAGTTTGAACGGAATCATCTCAATTGGCAAAGAGAAACAGACTTTTGATGTATCTGGGACGTATTTGAACATCTCTTTCTCGCTTGGATTTGAGAATTCTGGGAAGAACTTCTTGATGTAAATGAGAGTTCTTTCCATGAAAATTTCTTTCATTTCCATAATGAAATTGGAGAACTGCTGTGAATTGGTCGGATTCCACTGAATAATGTAGTTCAATCTCTGCAGGAATTCGCCAGAAATATCAATTGTGACTATATGCAAATTCTTTGACAAAAACGCCAAAATGTTTTCTCCAAATGAGTTGAAATAGCTCGAATTAGCAATGATGGAATCAAACAATAAAACATAAAGTTTCTGTCTGTATTTCTGGAGAGTTTCTGGTTTGTAAACTGTCAAATGTAAACTCAAAAATCTGACAAAGTATTTGAAAGAAACAGCCAAATCTACGAACGTTCCGATCAAACTCTCATTTGAGAACTTGCTAAACGGAATCAATACAATGTAGAATTGGTCTTCCATTGCCATTTTGACTGTTACAGTATTGGATTTGATAACTAATACGTTATTTGACAAATTTTGACCATTTACTTGGCAAATTATTTTATTTGTCTGATCTATTCCGCCTCTGATTGCGAACCACGCTGTTACTTCTTGTCTGGAGATTGTCACTTTGCCGTGTTTGAACTGGCTTGACTTGATTACAACAGCGGAGGGATGGGAATCGATGACAGAATGGTAATGGACGTTGTTAAACCTCTGAACAAGAATGTTGAAGTATTTTTCAGTGAATTCTTGTATTTGTTCTGTTTTTTCAACATAATCAATGATTCTGTCAATAGCAGTCTTGTATAGGAACAGCTGTAATGACTTGGGAGGAGTCATTTTGTCGAAGATATCGTAATCAAAGTCAACTAAACATGATGGAATAATCTTGTCATTATACAACAAAAGTGACAAGAAAATTTTGATCAAATCTTCCATCTTTAGATTGAAGAAATTCATGACATAATCAACAGAAACATTTTGGTCATTCAGCATGTTTAAGAACAATAAGTTCTGGCTTTCTATCCTTGCTTTCGATGCATAGCCACATCCGAAGTAATTCAGTGTTTCCGGAGACAAAACTCCCCACCACATTGGAGAAATCGTTGGCAACTGTGTCTTTGGCTTGAAAATGTTGTCTTGTTCAGAAACTTTGATTCTCAAACCGGTTGAATCATCTATTGCAGCTGCTTCTCCCTGTATGTTGCAAACAGTATCAATGACACTGTCAGGGACAACAGAGGCAAAGAGAGATCCGTTGAATGTTGAGTTATCTCTGGCGATGTTCGTGTTGTTGAATGAAATCGGCTGAGATTTCGGAGGGTTGAGTTTTGCAGTGTTTGCAGAGAATTTTTCGGATAATGTCTCTTTGAGTGTTTCTGCATCATATCTGAGCAATGACTGGAATCTGCTCTCGAATATCTGTGTTGTTAGTCTCAAATCAACAACTGGTGGCAAATCATCTGGTAAAACTACAGATGTTTCTGTTCCAAAGAATTTATGAGATGCAGATTTTTCTGGCAAATAGAAATTGTAGCTGACTTCGCTTTCTCCGTGGCATTGTATGATGAAACTGAATGAAAGGCTCTTTGTCATGATTGTCTCTATTGGAGATTTGTCATCTCCATTGTAGACTGTTGCCAACTTCATCAACGGATCGAGTTGGATGATGAACTTTGTTTGCGTGTCAAGTGTTGTTTGAATAACTTTGTTTGACAGGATATTTACTCTGTCATCTTTGTATTCAACGAAGAAAGAATCTCCATCGCCTTCTTCGACTGAGAGATTGATCAATCCGATTATGCAGTAGGCGCCTTTCGATGTTCGTTTGAATGTCATCAAACTAGGTCTGTTTTGCTGCAATGTTTGTGTCATGAAACAGTGAATTCCGGCTTTGCATGTAACTTTGTTTTTCTCGATGGAATATCTCGTTTTACTTACAACATCAGAAGGAGAATGATAAGTAAATTGCAGCTCTTTAGAGTTCTTAGTAAAGAATCCTTCTGTATCGGATGATAAATGATGTCTTAATACTTTTCTGAAATATGCTAAATCTGATGAAAAAGTGACATATTTCAATTCAGAATTTTTGACAACCTGAGTGAATTGTTTCAAGAAACCAGAATTTGTCATGTAAACATTGAAACTGTTGAGAATATAATAAGCCAAACATTCTTTCGGAATTGTTTTCTGTGTGTACATCATGTTTTCTTTGAAATAAGGGTTCAAAGCATCGTAATTTTGATACAAATCACTTGTGAAAGGAAGAATTGACATTGGAATGATGTTTGGACCATAGTGGATCTTTACGAATTGTGAATTGTTGGAAAATGGCATCTTCCATGCGTAATAGAAGTTGTTCTTGGCATCGAAGTGAACCATGTAATAGATCTGGTTCGTGTTTGTGTCTTTGATGAAAGAGAACCTTCTTGTTGCTTCGATTATATTTGATAAAATTGAAAAGACACTGAAAAGATATTTTTCAGATGTAAACTTTTCAAATTTTTGGAAATTCTCTTTAGCTTTCTCTTGTCTGTTTTTATCTGGTGAATTGTAGTCCAATATGAAGGTGATGATTTCATTTATCAATTCATCTTTCTGCTTCAATAAATTCCTTATTATATGGATAAACTGAGCGCATCCATTCAACAAAACGCCGACAGATCTGACGTAACTTGTTGCAAACTGGTTTTCGTCATGGAATAAAGGATAATCTTTGAAGAAAAGAATTGGTTTTCCGCTTGAAATATCTCCTATTTTGCCGAAAATAATCGCCAATGTTTTAATTTTGTCTGTTTCTGTTTTGAGCAAATCCTGCATCAAAACAGCTGCGGAGTGATAATCAGCTGGATTTCCTCTGATGAAAATGTCTTTGATGCTATCAATTGTCATAGGAATATGGCCGCTGAATGAATGAACTAATGTCATCAAACTCAATGGAACGTTTTAGATGTTGTTCTCAGGGAAAATGTGAGAAGTGATGTGACCAACTACATCCAAACTTTGAAGTTTCGGATTTTCTTTGATCATAACAAAAATGTATAAAGTGCAGAGTGACAAAACACGTGTGTAAATGGGATTGTTCTCCATTTTTGTCACTTTTTGAATTATTTGAGAAAGTTTGTTCAAAACAAAATCTTTGTCTTTCCTGGCAATCGCTTGTAAAATGTTGAAAATGAATGTTGCGATTGTCAAAACAGCTGCAGGCTCATTTTGGAGCTCAAACATGTACTGTATTGATCTCTCAAGAATTGCTTCGATGACAGGAGACTTAAATTCGCCTGTTTCTGGAAGAGTTTCGAAAAATTGAATGAAAAAGTCACTTTTCTTGAAAATGTCAAAAGAACTAATCGTTGTTTCTTTGAATTTGTTTGATATGATGAGATCAGACAGCAAAGCTATTGATGTAGAGATGTATCCCTTTGCCTCATTTGCCTTCATCATCATTGAATACAAATCTTCCAAAGTAGACATAGAACAAATCAAATTTGTCACTTTCTTCAAATTTTCTGAGAACAAATCTTGATTTTCTTCAACATTGAATTTCAGTGATGGTTCGATATTCAACAAGAATATGCATTTCTTCATGTAGCTCTCCAAGTAAATATCGAAGTTTTCATCAATTTTATCTGAAAGAAAACCATTTTGTATCTTCAAGGTGTTTGAATTTTGTTTTTGCTGCTTCAAAGTTCTCCTTGTTTTGTAGATCATTTCCATCATCTGTTTGAAATACAGTGAAATATTTGGTTTTTTATTGGATTTCAATGCATCAATCAACTCCAAAACGTTGTCAATCATTCCGAGTTGTTTGATGAAGCAGCTGAAAGTAACTCTTTCTATGTGTCTGTCTTCATCTGTCATTCTTTTGTTCATTGGATTTGGACATTTCTTGTATAAATAATCCATTAACATTTTTACTTGTTCTTTTTCTTCTTTGTTTATCAATTCAAATATAAATGTATCTTGTTTCGATTCTGCTTCTTTCTTTTCTTAAAATATCTTCGGATACAAATTGTTGATTGTTTCAGGACTTATATTCTTTTTCAGTGCAGAATGAATCAACCAAGTGAAATCTTTGACTAAAGAGATTTCTTCACCACCAAACAACAAACTAGAAATCAATTGTATGTAAAGGAAATAAACTTCCAAAAGAACAACAAAATTCTGGTTGAATTCGTTCAAATTGTTTGGAAGATTTACTTTCAGTTTCGATGTCATTGTTACAAACAAAGGCTGCAAATACGACATGAAAAGTTTGGAAATATAAGAAAACTTGATGAATGGCTGAGATAATGACATCCATTTCCTGAATAATAAAATGAATTTCGGATCAGGATTATCACAAACCATCATCTGTTCCAACAAAATTGTTGAGAATTTGATGTAAGAATCCAAAAGTTTCTTGTCAGATTCACTGATATTTCCTGCTTTCGAAAATACTTTGTTCATTCCGTACATCAACTCACTGAGGAACTTGCTGATGAACCACTCAGCACCGTTGTCATTTGAGTCCTTCGCCATATTTGCGATCATTTTCGTGAAGAAAAACTCAACCAATCTCGAATCGAAAAACTTTATGAAGAAATCATTGTCCATCATTTGTGTCAAAGCGAAATCAGTTGTAAATGGATCGCGTGTTGTAAGACAAACAATCAATGTATCATTGGCAATGTTTAAATCCAAAGGACACAATCTTTTCGCAGTGATGATGAACACGTAAATAATTGTCTGTCGAATTGAAGAAAAAGCAGTATCAGTCAGATAATTCCTCAAATCAGTGAGGTATCTGAGTGGAAGAGGAGCCATTCCGGACAACTGGTAATGGTTTTCGATGCTTATTCCGGCAAGTAACAGATAAGTCTGCATAGACAACAATGAATCTTGTGTTGTCCATTTTTCAGAAAACTTTCCATTTTTGACTGATTCCGAAATGTTTTTGATTGCTTCGAATATCCAATCAATATATGTTGGATCGTTGACCAAATACTCATAATGGTATGGAGCGTGCGATTTAGGGAAATCAATCCATAAATAGCCAGCAAGATGTGACAACATAAACAAATCTTTCGAATAAGTGAATCTTCCAATAGAAACTGGATCGGAATTGCATTTCTTGATCGAATTGTCGAGATCAAACTGCTCCGGATTGATTCCAGTGAGCCACAATGGAGATGGACCGAGGTGGATGTGCTTCTCAATCGTTTTTTCGGATCTGATGTACATTGCTCTCTCAAACGGGTCAATAACGATGCCGGAGATGTAGTACTTGAATTCAGTGCGGAAATCACCAAGTATAGAACCATCTACCAGTGAATAATAGTGGCCACCGAAGCTTGGATACTTGATATCTTTTTCATAATTTCCGAGATATATGATTGTGCCATCTGTATAGAGACGGATGGTGTCTGTGAGGATTGTTTGGGGACTCGAAGAACTTAGTTTTGTCTGATTCTTGAGTTCGTTTGTGAATCTCAAGAGATCTGGTTTGGAAAAGTGCTCCATTTTCGAATGTGAAGACATGTATTGATTTTTGTGATACGCAATATATGTATTTCGTGTCTAAACACATGAATTTGGAAAAATTCTTTGGAATTGGGATGGAAGTGACTTGGTTAGTCTTTAAATCCATGGCTGTGAGGCTTTCACCTCCTGTTGAAAGTATTAAAACATTATTTGAAACAGCCATTGCGTTTACTTTTTTAATATCTCATTTGGATCGTTTTTCTTCATATCTAGAGAGTATAATTCGTCATTTTTGGTAATAAATAGCAAATTTCCATTCCAATATGCTAATGGTTTTGGATTCCCTGAAATGTACAAAATATCATCAGTAAGACTGGATTTTAATGTAATTTTATCGAAGAATCCGAAGTAATTATTGAAATTTGTTGAGTTTGCGATCTTAGAATTTGAAAATATGTTCAAATTATAAGTATTAGATTCTTTTCGTGTGTGATCCGAAATAAGTTTAGATAATGCAAGAGCTCTGACGAAGGAATGCCTAATTCCAAAGCCTAAATCTATAATAGGAATTAAATCATTAACAGATGAGTAATCTCTGATTCTGTGGCCTACATTATTGAATACTTCATTAAGTACTGGACCGAAACAGAGTTCCGAAACGAAAGAAAAAACTGCAGAAATATTGGATCCATTGTTAATAAAATTTGGTAATTGATATTCTTTTTTAATGCAATTTAATATAATTTCGGCTCTGCGTTTGTCGTATTTGCTGACATCGCTTTTTTGAACTTGATATAGAAAATCTTGTTGATCTAAAATATTTACTGTACTGAATCATTAACTGTTGGAATAATGGCTTTGAATATGTTGGAACTTGGATAATTGGTAAAATTATATTGGAAAAAGTTTCGCTGTACGAGTTTGTGTTAGTCAATACTATCGGATCTTGGATTATGTCCACTAGCATTTCTAAATAAAAGTCATTAATTTCTTTTTGAGCTTGTGGATCATCAAAAATCTGAGTCTGAAAAGGATTTTCGAAGATTTTATTGGTAACATCAACGTCAATCAATGGGAGAGATTCAGACGCATAATAGGTGGAAATTGGACTTGACTGTTGACCACCCATTATTCAAATTAAAAAAATCTGTCAAATTTAGTTCAGAAAAAACCGAATTTACAACGTCATGTAACTTATTTCAGAGATTTGATAATGTTGATATTATGATTATTCAAGATTTTTCATTTATTAATTAATACGCATTTTGATCGATTTTAATTGAAAATTGAATGATTGGCGGGCAATATAATAAATTAAATTTTTATTGAAATATCGGCCGAGTACTTGGAAGATCGCATTTAATAAGTGATTAATTCATAAATGTGGTCTGGAGCTTTACAAAAGAAGATATGCAAGACTTAGGGTATGATTTAAAAAAGATATATGTCAATGAAATATCAAATAAACTTTTTAATGTGCGAATAAACATTTGTTCGCGCGCAAAGCTATAGCTAACATACATTTATTTCTTTGCAAATAATTGCTCCATAGTTCTAGGTGCCAATTCTGCTGCTGTCTTGCCCCAGCAATTTGCAGCGTCTGTTTTGACATTGGGGAATGTCAAAATATACTTTACAAGCTCTGCATTGCCTTTCTTTGCGGCAATAAGAAGTGGGCTCTCTTTGTTTTCATCGTAAAAGTTAATGCGGCCGCCATCTGTAAGAGTCTGACGGAAGAGGCGAATATCATTGGATTCGGCAGCTCTAACCATGGCATAGTTAACTTCCTTGGCAAGCTGTTCCTTCTTAATGCGGGGAAGGATGTAATTGTATAGTTCGATTCTTCTATAATAAGTTGCGAGTCGTAATGTGCCTTTAAATGAAATTCCTGATTTTGTAACAAAGTCTATCATCTTCTGAGATCCTCCTGCAACTGCATATGCTGACAACGTTGTTGAATTTGCGCCTCTGCTTAACATAAGTTTGACACACTCAACAGAGCCATAAAAAGCAGCATATTCGGCAACTTGTGGGGACCATTGAATAAACTGTACTGGTGTAAAGGCGTTTTCTGGGATTCTGTAGGTGAAATCGAGTTTGTTTGATTTAAGATATTCGTCGAGGGCTTTAACATTATCTGTAGCAATGAGGTATTCAGCTGACGATTTGGTGAATCCGAACTCTGTAAGCTCCTTTAAAATCTTGAAATTATTGGCTTCTAAGCCAGCCCAGCCTTCCTGATACTGTGTCAATATTGGCTCAGTAACCTTGTCTTTGAGGGCGTTGGCCTTTAGCTCAGCGTAATACTCTTTGTCTGAAACAAGAATTTCTGGCGCGAAATAGCAAAAACATAAAAATTGGAAATTAGGTTTGTTGCGAATAAATCTCTTGATTTGTACGACAAGATCCCAAATTTCAATTACCTTTTCAGTAATCAATTTTTTGAGGAAGAATAAGTATGGAACAATGCCATGAATATCGTATTCAATTTCGAGTGCGAGGGAAGACATCATTATTGTTGAAAATATTGTGCCAATTGCGTTTGTTTGTGCTTGTCTTGACTTTAAAAGTTTCAACATTTGGACAAGAGCGGTCAAATCAGAGCGCAATGGGACAATTTTAATTAATTCGTTAACAAGGATTGGTGCAAGGTCTCTTTGCTTTGAATATTGGGAAGCAAAAATGAGATTTACTGTTCTTTCGATGTTAGTTTCATTTAAATCTGAAAACCATTCCTGAATTTTCATTGCTTCAACACCTTCACGATGAAGAGGTGGTATCTCCGACAAGCTTACCATTTTGAATTTTGTTTGAGCGTGAGTTTACGAAACGTCAGAAGTTTTCAAATGAATTACTAAATAAATATTGATGAATATCAATAGTCAAATTCAACGATATAAAAATGTTAAAAGTTGTGAGCACGTAGAAAAATTGACAACTCGGATAAGAATTGAACTAATGACATATCTGGGAAGGTTATGTTGTCTTTAAGTTGCTTTCAATCCAAAACTTCTGGAATTGATTCTAATTGAAGATGAGAATTTTAAAAAATTGGTTCTTTGATATCATTAAGATGGCAAAATATTTATTTCGATGAGTAGAATTAATGTATGATGGAGATGCATGAATAATTCGAAATTAGGTTAAAAACATTCTGAAAAATTAAATGTTTTTTAAATCTCATTATTAAAATAAGCAATTTAGTCTATAATTGGCATGGATCAATTAGTAAATGTTGATATTATTTGTAATAGTAAACGGCTCTCAAATTGTGGGGTAAAAGCGGTTATTTTGATTTCCCCTGGCCACTCAAAATGCTTCCAGTCACTCCAGGCTCTCTTAAGATTGATGGTCAACGCCAGCAAGGCGAAAACGTTCGCGTTCAGAACGTTCGTGCTGCCATGGCTGTTGCTAACGTCGTTCGCTCCTCATTAGGCCCAATCGGTCTCGACAAGATGCTTGTCGATGATATTGGTGAAGTCACAATCACAAACGATGGTGCTACCATTCTCAACCACCTTGATGTTCAGCATCCAGCTGGCAAAGTTCTCATCCAACTTTCTGAACTTCAAGATCGTGAAGTCGGTGATGGCACAACAACAGTTGTTCTTCTTGCTGCCGAACTCTTACGTCTTGGCCAAGATTTAATCAACAAGAAAGTCCACGCAAACACAATTATTACTGGCTATCGTGCCGCCGCTAAGAAGGCAATCGCTTTCCTCAAGAAGAGCTGCGCAGTCTCCAATGACAACCTTGATCGCGAAATTCTCTTGAAAGTCGCTAAGACATCCATGAACTCAAAGATTCTCAACGCTTACTCCGATTTCTTCGGCAACATGGTTGTTGACGCATGCCTTGCTGTCAAGACACCAGCTGGCAAGTGCCCAACAAACCGTGTCAACATCGTAAAGTCCCTCGGCAAATCCCTCCCAGAATCCACAATCGTTACAGCCGGCGTCGCTCTCAACGCAACACGCGCTACAGAAGCATTCCCACGCCGCCTTGAGAAGGTCAAAGTCGCCGTCTTAGATTTCGGTCTCCAGAGAACACGTCTTCCAATGGGCATCCAGTTCCGCCTCCACGACGCCTCCAAGCTCGAAGCCATCCAGCAGGAGGAAGTCAACGCCGCAGAACGCGCTGTTCAGGCAATTCTCAAGGCCGGAGCAAATGTCATTGTTACATCAAAGACAATCGATGAGGCATCACTCAAGCCACTCGTCAAGGCCGGTGCCATCGGTATTCGCCACGTTTCCGATGCAGAAATTGCTCATCTTGCCAGATCTACAGGTGCTACCGTTGTTTCACAGCTCATCAGCGAAGATGGTGGCGAAACATTCGATCCAGCATGGCTCGGTGAAGCAGAACTCATCGAACAGGTTCCAGTCGGGGACAACCAGATGACAATCTTCAGAGGATGCGCCAAGGAGAACTCTGCTTCTATTGTCCTCCGCGGTCCAAACACATTCACACTCGAAGAAGCCAACCGTTCTCTTCGCGATGCCTTATTCGCCGTCAAGAGAGTCATCGAGTCAAAGCACATCGTTGCTGGCGGTGGCGCTGTCGAAGCTGCCCTTTCTGTCTACCTCTCACAGATTGCCAAGGACTACGAAGGCAAGGAACAGGTCGCCATGCTCAAGTTTGGCGAAGCACTCCTTGTCATTCCAAAGATCCTCGCAAACAACGCTGCACTCGATTCAATCGACTTGGTCGCCAAACTCCGCGCTGTTCACTACGACGCACAGCAGAAGGGAGAGAAGTGCTTCGCTGCACTCGACTTAGTCAACGGAAAGATCCGCGACGGAATGAAGGACGGCGTCATCGAACCAGGTATGTCTAAGGTAAAGTCAATCCAGTTCGCTACAGAAGCCGCCATCACAATTCTCAGAATCGATGACCTCATCAAGGTTACACCTGAGAAGAAGCCAGATAGAAACGAAGAAGAGTAAAATATATGTAGATTTACTACGATATTAATCAAATTTGTATTTTTTTCGATATCCTTTATATTAAACGACATAATATCATATCTATTTATAGTGTAAATGATTGAATTTTAACATAAAATTATTTTATTCTCTATTTTATAAAAATAACAGGTGTAAAGGATTTTTGTTGATAGAATTAAAACTTATTTGGAGACTGTGTCTTTCTTTTCTGCTTGGAATTTTGAAAAATCGATTCCTGATAATTTGATTTCTTCAAAATCAGGAATTCTAATTGAGTGACTTTTTTCTTCTTTTGTATCTTGTTTTTGTTTAGGTGCCGCTTGAGTTACAGGTACTTTTGACAATGTATTTGGTTTTGGTGTAGGTTTAGCGCCAAGGCCTGATGGCTTTTTCTCATTATCACTGTTAAGGAAGTTAAAGATGATTGAATCCTTTGGAGCAAGAGTCATATCTCCTTTATTCAGAGCCATCCTTAAATGTTTGTCACTTTTTAGGAAAAGGATTTTAGTATAAAACCAAAATCGAGGAATTATGATGTTGGTATGTTGATTGTTCCATTGTACAATAGCAAACATGTAGGGTTATGTGCAAGGTATATGTTAATATAGTAAAAGCATCTATTTATTTAAAACATTGTGTTGGATAGCCTTCTTTCATTTTTTCCAAAAAAGGAATCATTTTTCCTCTTTAGTTTGGGGTTAACAAAAATAAAATGGGGACATCGGTAGTTCAAATTCAACTTACTCGAGTTTTTTATCTTTACTTCAAAAATAAATGAAATTTCGATTTGAAGAAGACTTTGTTTTTTCAAAGGTTGTAAAACTCTTAACCTTAAAAAAATTTGGACCCCCTGGAGGAATCCTGATCGAGCAAGTTTGGAGTCTCCCTCCAGGTGAGGAACATGCAAACGAGAGAAGTGTTTAACACTTCATAAAGTATCTTATGGATATGGTTAGATATATAGTTCTACTTAATGGAAAGAATTAAATTGCGTTAAAGTAAAAAATGGAGTTATGAACTCATTTCGATATAAGATGCTTCATTATCATATATAGTAAATGTTTTTATTCAAATTAAGCTTAGTTAGATTTTAATTAAAAATTGGCAATTCCGATTCGCTTTTATTTTGGAGGGTATATGCGTATCCTGAAGCTGGTAAAGTGGTTCGATGGGTTTGCAAATCTGTCTGTACAATTTTTCAAAACGATTTGTAATTTCCGTTTGAATAGATAATTAGTATAGCTTGTAATGTCAGTAAAGTCAGTTTGCCTTAGTAAATGAAAATAAAGTTGATTCAAGTTGATTAATCTTGATTTCGGTGTTAATTGAATCAGGAATTAACAGATTCAGCAATTGTTTTGAATTTTGGAAGATAGGCGCACTAAATTATGGTTTGTAAAAACATTATACTATGTTTTTCTAATGAGGAAAGCTTTGTTGATAGCAATTCGTAAAATGAGGAAAAAGTACGTTAAACTTTACATGGCAAATTTTGAAAAGCTTGGGAAATAAAAATAGCCAATATTAAGTAAATTAATATCTAATATATAAATAAAGAATATTAAAGTAAAAGAATTTCAAAATTATATAATTCCTATTAAAATCGAATAGTTTAGAGTCAATTTACAGGAGCACTCATAAACATGAGCGTGACTAAGAAATTAAAAGTTAAATTTAGTCTGAAATTTTGTATATATTACACAATTAATACAAGATAATACTGTCAGTGATTTTGAATGGGTATTTTAACTTTGAGTGGCCACATTAAATTTTTGAGGTCGATATTTTTGGCCTATTTTAAAATATTTAGAATGACCATTCAGCCAGGGCGCTTATAGAAGCATCAGATAATGGGTGGTCGGATAGCTCAAAACGTGACAAAGTTGTCCAAAATAATATTTTTAAAGATAAATCTAAAATTTCTTTTATACAAATAGTGATAAGTTAGAATATTAAGTTTGAGTGAGATTTTTGAAAAATTTCCTAAAAGTGATTTTGGGAAGCCAAAATTATAATAAATATTAATAAAATCTAATTTAAACGCTAAATCAAAATAAAAAATATAAGGTAATTTTCGTGGGTTAAAAATCAAAATTACATTCTTGATTTTTATTTAATATTTATATTCCTGTAGTTAAATGAAATAAATTTATCCATATCATTTGAGGAGAATTGCATGAATTAGAAAATTGGCGGGGTTTAGCAATCTTAAATTCTCTTTTATAGAAATATTTGAATAGATTATAGCTCAGCTGGATAACATCCCTATCAAGTTCGATTCTAGTTTTTGTTATTATTTTTTTCCTTTTCCCTTCCTAAGCGAAATTTTAAGGGGTAAAGTTGTGAAATCCAAAGGTACATTCACTAGGCGATAACAGTAAAATGGGATGAAAATAGGATAAATAGCATCCCTATATAGTGCCTAACAATATTTATACGGGCCAAAAAAATTTGGCTAGAGATTTGGCGAGTTATAAAACTTAGAAAATTGAGAGGGATTTTTATTTTTGAATTTTTTTGGAAAGTTAAAATTGCGATTAAAAATCGATTTCCAGGAGAACTAAGCATCTCATCATATATTTAAATCGATAAAAATATTAAATAATAGTTGAATAGTATAACAACGTGAAATTATGGCTGAATCTACAGAAAAAATGAACATATTTGACATTTTTGAAAATTCATACGTTAGATGGTGACAGACTCATAAACTATACTTTAGCTAAGATTGATATATGGTTTCAACAACACATGGTTAAAATCGTAAAAATATTTTAGATTTCAAAAAGATATATATGGTAATATAATGGAACAAAGTCAACAAATAGCATGTTAAATATGTTATAATTAACTTTTTATTAGATCCAATAGTAGATATCGAATGGTTTCCAGCTTTATGGTTAAATATTTTCTTTTCGAGCTTCTCTTTAACTGTTGTATTAAGGTTGTAAATTTTTGATGCTAGAAACTATGGAATCTTCTTTGCTGCTGCATTTTTCTTGAGAGTTCTTGCAATTTCGAATAGATCTGCGCATTGTATGAAATGGAGGCTTTAAAATATCTTGAAAACAGAATAGGACTGCTTTTCCAAAGGAATGCTTACTTGTAAATCAGAGAGTTTCAAAAGTGAGAGCAAGATTATCATCATAACTTTCGATTTTGCTGCGAAAAAGGAAGACAAGTAATTAACAAATCATTTACTGTTGTTCATCAAAAGAAGAAAACTTTGATAACAACTAATGATGATAAAATCAAGCTATCTTTTAATATTTTAAATTGATAAGACATTCAAAATATTTGAATGGTTTAAAATATTTTCTTTTAATTTCTATAAGATATTATCATGATTATATAATAAAATTTAAATTTTTATTCAAAAAGGCAATATTTCAAACTTTTAATTTCAAAAATCTTAATTCTGCAATAAGTGTATTTAATTGTAGCAAATTTAATGATCCTTCGTCATGCTTAGCAATTTGGAACTCATAAATTAATGATTTCTTCAAGTAAAATTCTGCATTATTTCAAAAGTCAATAATTCTCTAGTAACTTTTCTTCAAACCCTAACCATTATATTATATGTATAATGGAGAATAATTGCAAAGAAAGATAGCCGAATTTACTGGGTAGTTCTTGTGATGCGAAATAATTGCAAATTAACACCTAGTTTTAACAGCATCAATCTCTTTTTGCTCTCATTTAAATGCATTCGCACACTTTAATTTTGAAATATAAGAGTTTTGGAAATTATCAAATTTATCTGCTCAAATACTATAGATCTTCATAAGTGTTAATAGAATCATTAGCCTTACATATAGTGTTTAATATAATGATGCACATTATACTGGGATTCATTCCTTATTCATCTAGTTATTATAAGATTTACAACCCCATGAAAATTTAAAATTTTGTCAAAAATAGTGAATGTACCTTTTTAAATCCATACATATACTTATGTTAATGTATAATATATGTAACTTCTGATATTATATGCTGAATCTCAAAAAAATATTTATTTGATTTTCATAAATTTCGACAAAAAAATGTTCTAAATACTATATATATTTTATATGCAAACTGAAACGTCCCTATTATAGACTTTGCCAATTTAGGTCCATGAAAATTCAATATAGCACACTAAAGCCGCAATACCCATTCAAAATCACTGACAGTAAGTAATTGGCTCATTTATAAGATTAAGTCAAACAGTTTAATGTCATATGTATTTTTATTTTAAAATTTGAGTGGTTAATGAGCTATATTTATAATGCTAGCATAAGTATCGAAAAATAATAAATAATTAAATATTCGAAGCATTAGATTTACCATAAAAAGTGATATTGTATAATAATAGGAGCAATCTGATGCAAAGAATAGCTTAAACTCAACAATTAATTTTCCAAAAATTGTGGGGAAATCATCATATACCTAAAATATTTTGAAAAGCTCTGTCTCCAGATAGCTTAATGGATATTGCATGATAAATATAATAAAAAGTACATAGTTCGAATAATTACATCTTTGCTTTTTTCTTTTTTTCAATTAAATTTGAATATGTTTTATTTTTCAAGAGAAATGAGAGAATTCTTGTCTATTAACGCTGGAGAAGACTCTGCTTCTAATGAGTGTTATAATACATAATGTTGTAGTATGATACTTTCTCACCAGCAATGCAAAATTCTATATTTCATTTAAATTATTTTTAATTATTTCAGTTAATTCGATTTTTGCAAAGGCACTTAGTAATATCATGCTAAATTTGTCCATTTCATATAACAAATATGAACAAGATAAGCATTTTAACACTTGCCAATATTTTTTTCATGTTTTGATAACTCAATATGCAATGCCTGTTAATATCTTAAATATTAAGTTCATTTTTACTTAGAATGAATGTTATCCTAGCAAATTAAGCAAAATTATATTCTAATTATTGGAAATAGAATTTAGTTTTATAGAGATTTATTAATAACATCAAATACATGCATTCTTTATAATCATGAACCAGTAATAAATATCATCGATAAGCAAATGTTATTCAATATTTATAAGAATCTCATAAATCTTTCTGGAATTTATATAGTTACTTAATAAGTAAAAATTTCTCAGCAATACATGTCTCTTATCTCCGATAAAAGATGAATGATAAATATTATAATGCTTATCCAAAACTTTTATCTCAGTTTTGATTTTGCCAAAAGCTTGCACATTGTGTATTAAGCAACTAGTTTTATGAAAAGATATTAACAATATCGACCTAGAACTAAAAATCCAATGATTCTAAGTGAAAAAGAAAAAAACTTAGTACCATGGTATTCGAACTACATTCCTTCAGTTTACCAGTTTATTCCACTAAGCTAAATCTGACACGTAAACTTTTTTTAAAACTTTTTGTATATGATCCTTCCCCACCCGGACTGAATTTAGCTAATTTCGAATTCCATAGGGGTTTTACTAATATAAATATACTCTATTGACAAAACCAAAACATATCCTCTATTTCAAATTCGCATAAATTCTTCTACACCGCTATTTATTTTTAAAATCAACATTTTTTTGAAATTTTTCGAAACTCAAACTTAAAATTGAATGCGTTTTTCACGATCTCAAAACACAGCAGACAGATTCGAAAAAAATATCAGCCATTTGTTTTAGAATCATCTAATGACCTTATCTCCAAAATTAGAAGCAAATCGGAATTGGGAATCTTAGTTTTACAACCTTTGTTTTTTCTTTACATCCCACAAATTTTTTTTTGCAGAGAATGAGTTCTTCTTACTCGTATAGGCTTTTCCAGCAAGAAGGACCTCTCAGAACTGCATCATCTATGTCTAAAAATAGAAGCCTAACGCAATCATCTAATTTAAGTACGCTAAATTCTGCAAGAAGAACTAAATCTAGGTCAATTTTATCTCAAGATGAAGAAACAGTCGCTCAAAATCAGATAAACAAGCTGCAATGCGAAATAACATCACTTCGTAGCGAAGTAGATATGCTGAAAGATAATTTGCGATGGACAGAACAAAAATTATCTGCAATAAATGGTGATTTTTATGGTGCATCAGTAGCTCAACAGTACGAAACAACTGATGTTGCCATGAGATCTGTCCAAAAATCCAAAGCTGAAGAAATAACGAATTTTAAAAAAGAATCTAAAATTTTGCAAGCGCAACTCAACACGTATGAGAGTATGTACTCGGATTCCAGCATGAAAGTATTACGAAAAGACGTGGCAAAGCAGCGACAACTTAAAAAATCAGATGAAAAAATTTGCGAAGACAACAAAGAAAAGATTAAAGAGATCAAAGAGCGTATAAAAACGCTATCAAATCAAGATATTAACAAAAAGATTGAAGAACAATCGAAAAGAATTTCCGCATTACGAGATAGAGTAAATTCTCAAGTACAGAGACATCGTAATCTCAAAATGCTTGCAGAATTATTATCTAATAAAGACTCTAATATGGATGATTCTCTTATCGATAGTTTTATCCATGGATCTCAAACAGAAAACGATGTTCATGAATTAACAAAGCAATTATCAGACTGCCAAAGCACCTTAAAGACAAAAGAGTTAGAACTAAAGGATTTAGACCTACAGACACAATTAGTAGCGAAACAAGACGAATTAGAACGAAGAACACAAGCTTTAGAAAAAATGATGCAACAATCAACAATATTAGACAATATCTTTGATGAAACTGAGAAACTATGCATTGGACCATTGTCAAAACGTCCTTCTCGATCGAAAACTTCCGATCTTATTAAAAATAAATATCCGAAAGCGACAGGAGTAAGTATCGAGAAGATAGATGACAAGCACTACGTATTTGTAGGATTCCAAGATGCTGGAGAAGCCCAAAAAGCTGCGGAATCAATCAAAAAAGAAAAATTATTTGGAGATAACGTTAAAGTAACAATAAACAAGGTAGAAGACAGTAGTTTGAGTAGTATACTTAAGGAAAAGCCTGCTCAATTCAACGGCTCTTTCACTGGCCAGATAAATGAAATAAATGAACAGCCGAAACAGAGTTTAATCAGTTCCATCAAGTCAGACATACAGAAACTAGAGAAAGGAAACAACAACACTGACTCATTCGATGACTTTGAGAGTGAAAAAGAGAAAAAGCAAACAAACACAAAGCCAAAAGAACTAATTATATCAAAACTCACTGATAAGAACCAAAACACATCGAAAGGATTCGAAGAACTGACTAATTCCGACAAACCACTGATTTCCAAAAGTCTGTTGATTGATCAGCCGCAGAATTCTCCATCGAGTGGAATTCCCCTGCAGAGAAGAAGCAGAACATCAAGCAGAATCATGACTTCTGCTGAGATTGCGAAGATGGATTCTTTGCCCAGTGAAACTTATTCTGAAGGAAAGAAAGAGAAAGAAGAAGAGAAAAAGGAAGAATCAAAACAAGAGAAGAAAGAAGAGTCAGAAGTATCAGATGGATTCGCTGATAGTAGTGATGAAAGCAAGGATTTGAACGAAGAAGAAAAACCAAAGAAAGATGAATTTCTTGAATCATCTTCTTCAAAGAAATCTAAATCCAAAGAGAACTTTGACTCATTCAGCGAAAGTAGCAAAGAAAAATCAGTCAAAGAAGAAAAGAAATCTTCTTCATCTGAGAAAGAAAAAGAATTTTCTGAATCTGAAAAACAAGAAAAGAAATTATCAGAACATGAGGAAGAAAAGAAATTTGAATTTGATAAAGAAAAGAATGAATTCTCTTCAGATAAAGAATCAAAGAAATCTTCTTCATCAGATAAACAAGAAAATTCATCAGACAAAGAATTTTCTGATTCAGAAAAGAAAGAAGAAGAAGAAAAGAAGTTATCAGATAAACAAAAGAATTCTGATGTAAATAAACCAGAATCAGAAAAAGAATCAAAGAAATCATCAGAACACGAAGAAGAAAAGAAATCAGAATCAGATAAAAAGAGTGAAAATTCTTCACAACATGAATCAAAACAAGAAAATGAAGAAAAGAAATCTAATTCTGAAAAAGATCCTTTCTCTGATGAATTCAACCAATCTGAATCAGAAAAAGAAAAGAAAGAAAACTCTGAAAAAGAAGAAAATCAAAAATCAGAGAAAGAGAAATCTATTTCAGATGATTTTGCATCAGAAAGAAGTAAAGAAAAAGAAAATTCATTTGAAAAAGAAGAGAAACAAAATGAAGAAGAAAAACCACCACAGTTATCAATTGTTTCTTCAGTAAACAAAGCTTTGAATGAAAATGAATCACCAGAGAAAGAAGAAGAGAAAGAGTTTGATTCATTTAATGAAGAAGAACAAAAGAAAGAAGAAGAAAAACCATTGTTAGGATTAAGTAACGTAATTAAAGATACATTAACTAAACCAGTCGAAGAAGAAGAGAAGAAAGAAGAAATTCCTCAAGAAAAATCTAATGAAGATTCACAAAAAGAAAAAGAATTTGATGCTTTCAATGAAGAAGAAAACAAATCAGAAGAAAAACCAATGTTAGGATTAGGAAACATATTAAAAGATACATTAACAAATCAAAATGAAGAAGAACAGCAAAAAGAGAAAGAAATAGTTGAAGAAAAATCTCCTGAAGAAGAACAAAAAGAAAATGATTTTGATTCATTTGAAGAAGAAATCAAGACAGAAGAAAAGAAGGAACAAGATGAAGATAATAAACCATTGTTAGGACTAGGAAGCATCCTCAAAAACACTTTAGCAAATCCAGAAGAAGAGAAGAAAGAAACTGTTGAAGAAAAATCAGTTGATGAAGAACCAAAAGAAAATAATGAAAGAAATGAATCTGAAAAAGAAAAAGAAATTGCAAAAGATGAAAGTGAAAAAGTTGAAGAAAAATCTCAACAAAATGAAGAAGAATCACAAAAACCAGATGAAAAAGAAGAAGAAAAACCTTTACTCCCTCTAGGAAACATTTTAAAGAATAATCTTTCTGCAGAAAATGAAGAAGTTAAAGAAGAAAATCAAAATAAAGAAATTCCAAAAGAAGAAGAACAAAAAGAAATTCTAAATGAAGAAAAAACAGAAAATTCAAATGAAGACAATGAAACGAAAGAAGAACAAAAAGAAAATGAAGAAACACAAGAAAAACCATCACTTGGACTTGGTTCAATGTTTAAGAGTGCTTTGTCTGCTGAACCTGAAAATAAACAAGAAGAAAAACCTGATGATGATGAACAGAAAGAAGAAGAAAATCATCCTAAAGAAGAATCAATTGAAGAAGAACCTAAAGAACAAGAAAACAAAGACAATTCATTTGAAGAAGAAAATAAATCAAATGAAGAAGTAAAAGAAGAACAAGCTCCAAAAGAAGATTCTGAACATCAAAAAGAAGAGAAACCAAATGATGAAGAGGAAAAGATAGATCAAAGTCCACTTGTAATTGGTTCTCTAATCAAAAACGTTTTGTTGCCAACAGAAGAAAGAGAAATTAAACAAGATGAAGAGAAAGAAAAAGAAGACAATTTTGAAGATGATTTCGAATCTCCAGAGAAAGAGAAAGAAGCATCTAAAAATGAAGCAGATTTAGTTGGAATGACAACAGGTTCATACTATACAACAAACAGTGTGAATGCGATGTCAGTTGATTTAAACTGCACTCCAGAAGCTGTTGATGACTCTCCAAATCCAAATCTTCAAGAATTCAATTTAGAAGCAATTGAAGATGATTTAGTTGAAGAATACAACGAACAAGAAAAAGAAAGACAATCTCTTCTCGCAGAGGAAGAAGAAGAAAAACAAGAGCAAAATGAAGAAGAAAATAAAGATGATGTCGAATTAAACAATGAAGAAAAGAAAGAAGAAAATGATTTTGAAATTAATAATGAAGAAGAAAATCAAAACAAAGAAAACAATGAAACAGAACAAACTAAAGAAGAAAACAAAGATGGAGATGATTTGGATGATTTTGGTTCAAATAATGACAAAGAAAAACCAAAAGAAGAAGAAAGTAAAAACGAAAACTTAGATGCATTTCAATCAAATGAAGAAAAAAAAGAAGAAGAAAAGAAAGATGAAATTGAATTAAAAGAAAAAGAAGAAAATCAAAATGAAGAAAAAAAGAAGAATGATGAACAAGAGGATGTTTTTGAGTCAGAGCCAAAAGATAAGTCAATGCTCAATGAAATAACAAACAGTGAAGAGAAACTGATACAAGAAGAAGTGAAATCAGTGAGAAGTGTTGGATTCGACCACGAACTTCGTTCTGTTCCTTATGGAAGTAGAAACTTTGAGAATTTGAGATCTGATGGATCAATTCCTGTTTCAAACTTCGAAAGCTCCCTCCATGACTCATCAAACAAACAGAAACAAGCTGTTGAAGACCACTCTCTTCAAGAATTTGAATCTGATATTTAATATATTGAATTTTTATTGTATTTTAAAATAAATCATGTTATGTTATACTATTATTTAAACATAAATTTTTAGAATAATGATGAATTTTAAAAAAATTAAAATAATTTTCTATCAAACATAAATACAAACATTTATTTCTTTTCCATATTAGACAGGAATATCTTTGCATAATGTTCATAAGCAGGATAAGACAAAAGATTCTTGAAAAATTTAATAAGTTCTTCATTATGAAACAGAGCTTTGCACTGACTGTACTGAGACAATGTAGATGTCACCTGTATCGCAATTCCAGCCAATTCTCTCTCTTGAAGTGCAGATTCAATAGATTTCGCAACAGTGACCAATTCTTCAGTGAAACAAAGCTTTCCTACTGCCTCAGCCACTGCCAGTGCACATCTCTTCGCTCTGAACGATCCGCTCAATGCAGCACCGAAAAATCGATGCAAAATTTTCAAATTCGAAATTTGTGTCACTTTTTGTTTATTTTTTGTCCAAACCGGGATAATTATTGAAATTGCGTCGAATGCGTCATCACCGGGAACGTCTAGGACATGAGACAAAATACTCAGCACACAGTCATTTTGTTCCAGGATTGTCTCTCTTGCGTTTTCTTGGCTCAGCAAAACCAGAAAAAGTCGACAAACTTCTGTCGGCAATTTCTCAACGAATTTGGACCATTCTGTTCTCTTCGCGAGAAATGATGATCCCATTTTTGTTTCCGCAATCCTTAAGAAGTAAATCCAACTTCTCGGACTGTATTCCAAACAATTCAGCAAATTATTGTATAAATCAGTGGGAGGAGGGTTCGGAGTCAGTCTGGCGATCAATGCCAAGCATGCATCTCTCGTTATTTCGTTATTTAGATCATCTAAAAACAACTTATTATATTCAATTTGGATATCTTCGAGTAACTTCGAAATTGCGACGTATGCGCATGCTCTTGTCCTTGGTATTGGGCTTTCCATCATTTTCAGAAGAATCTTTTTGATTTTCTCCGCATCTTTCTGTGAAACATCCAAATTTGATGTCGCAACGTTCATAAGAAGGCTCAGATAGAGATAGCCGCAGTTGTTCGTGAACATGAACTCCGATATATTGATCAGAACATGAATGATAAAGAAAATGTCGCCTTTTTTCTCACATTTCAAAAAGAATGAGATAATTACAATCATTTTCTCTGGTCTGAGCTTGCAGAGTTCCGTGACCTTGGCTGTTATTGTGTTGTTGACAATATCAGGGTACTCTGTCATCAAAATTGTGAAAGATGAAATAACATCATCAACAGAACCTTCTTTTAGAGGGATGTCCTCAAAGTACTTAGCGTCTAAGAATAGTTTGGCAAAATTAGAGTTCCTCTTCATCAATAAATTGCATGATTTAGCAATAGATGAAATTTTTTCAGGTGTCAAATTTTTTTTCGAAAAATTTTTTGAAAGAGGAGTGTAAAAATCGAAAAACTGAGCGGATTCGATTGTCTCTGAGTAGTAAGTGAGGTACCTCTCGAACAGGGGACTCTGGAAATTCGATAAAACAGTGGAAGGAGGGTCAGATGAAATTTGATTTTTTTCTCCTTTGGAAAGAACAGGAGTTTGTGATGTTTCCTCCATGAAATTGATCAGTAAGTGCGTTAGTTCATTCGATCCTGCCTCAATCCTTTGTTTCTCACCTCTTTGCTGCGATTCAATTTTGATATGTTCGACAAACTTCGAAATCTTCTTCGGATCGGTGCCAGGAAACGCGACTCGGCCTGAACAAAACTCCTGGTATATCGCTTCGAAAGTAGGACGATTCGATGGCTCCTGATCCCAACAATTTCTGATTAATTTTCTTAAATTTTCTGGAGTTCTGTCAGAAAAGTCGGGGCGATCACCGCGATCGACCACTCTTTGAAATATCTCTGTAATACTCAATTCGTTGAATGGTTTCGTCAATTCCGACATTTCGTATAAAATCATAGCGAAAGAATAGACATCTACCTTCTTGTCGTACTTCGTTGATGATATTAGTTCAGGCGCCATGTATTGGGGAGTTCCAATTCCTGCTGTTTGCTGGTGATTCGCTGATTCTGTTCGAGATATGCCAAAATCGATAATTGCTGGTAATTTATTCGCATTTAACAGGACATTTGCTGTTTTTAGGTCTCTGTGTATAATATTATTTGCGTGTAACTCCATCATGCCGTTCGCAATTCCCATTGCAATCATTGTGAGTTGTGTAGGCGAAAGAGGGTCTTTCTTTGATGCTGGGCGTAATGCTTTGTCTAATGTGCCTCCAGGCATGTATTCTGTAATGATTGTGTAAGGTGGTTCAATAGTAAATCCAACTAACGGGATTAAAAACATATTATCGCATTTTAACATTGTTTCGATCTCGCTTACGTATCTTTTGAACTTCTGACCTTCAATTCTGCTTGAAAATATCTGTTTGGATGCGCAATAACGTTGAGTGCTGATTTGAACCGCTTTTCTCACTTCTCCGAACCCACCTTTTCCTATCACGCCACCGAAAATGAACTCGCTCAAATGGACAACAAAGCCACTGCCCTTTTCCGTCAGCGAGTTCAAAGAGCGCTCAATCATTTTTTTTTTGTAAACACAAAATTTCAATATGCGATAGGGTCATTCAAATTTTAATGTCATCAATCAATAACGAAAATAAAATGTCCTGTTTGAGAATATTATGATTTCATAATAAGGGTTTCGTTTTGCTAAAATTGTCACTTTTATAGCATATTTGTTTTTGGATGTTTTGCGAAACCAAAAAAAAAAAAAAACTATGATATACAATGTGTGTGTAAAGAAAATACTTTATTTACTAGTTAAAAAATCATTTGGTATTGATCAAGTTATTTTTTCTGGATAAGATATTATATGGATAATTGGATAGAAAATACAATTATATAATCTTGTACCTGGTTTAATTAAGCTAATTGTCATCAGAAACTTGTAATTTTTATGAATTTCAGATTTTCTTTTCATTACTGCTTTTCTTAATAGGTCAAGTTCTTATTTACGTTATAAAGTATGATATTTACAAATATCAAGTTATCATGTTTTTTGAGAAATTATGAGAAACAAACAAAAATGAAAAAGATAGGAATAGCAATGAATAGTGATGTGGGTATAGAAAATGTAAGAGATATGAATGCAAAGCAATCAGTATTTAGGATATTGACCATAGATTTCGAAAAAAAAATGCTGCATATTGAGCGAAAACTATGATTATATTATAAGGCTGTCATTTAAAGCATAATGAAACTATTCCCTTTTCATTTTAATCGAATAAGATAGTAAAGATTTTTGAATTAGCTAGAAACTGATGAGATATTTTCACAAATCAGATTTTTAATCTCTATAATGCATAATTCACTCAATATCTCAATTTTGATATTGCGAGATATTTTTGCTATCGGTTTCGCAATTTTGACACAATAGCAAGAGGGTTCTATAAGCATTATTATCAACGTAGAATCTGAATATCATATCAGAAAATGTCGCAAATCTGACATTTACCTGACCAAATAGCAAAAATAATTGAATACTTTTCGCAAAAACTTTAAAAATCGATAAAAATATGAAATATAGATATTAAAGAGACTTTTTATATAATATTCATAAAGATTTTCCAAAAATATGATACCGCAAAATTAAAAAAGTGACGCCTTGAGTGGAGTCAAAGGTCGAAATTGCTAGCTAAATGTTTTTTTAGCGAAATTGCGTATTGTACGTTTTTTCGCAAAACGAAACCCTTATTCATAATAGAAATTTCGAAATTAATTTTTTCATAAGAACATAAAGTATAGTTTTATTGAGAAGGAGTAATGGAGGTTGTCACTTGAGGCTTAGTATCCTCAATTGAGGCCTTCATGTCAGAATATATCTGTGAAAGTGTATTTGAAAAGCTGACTGTTGTAGCTCCGTATGTCGAATAGCTTTGCTTCATTCTGCGATCACGAAATGCGTTAAATTTCTTCTTTTCTTCTATATAAGACTTAATTGCAGTCTTAAGATTTTCAATTGCCTGTTTCTTCTGTTCCCTGCACTCTTCAACATATGCTTCCATCTTTTGTACTTTCGACGAGTTCTTTGATTTCTCAATTTCAAGTTTCTGTTTAGCTAAATCAAGTGCTTCTGTAGTTCTCTTTAAATTTGCATGTGCTTCACTTGAGCGTGCAGACGAACGAACAACCACAAGAAATCTTTCTTGGATATCATTCAAATCTTCAATAGCTCTCGATTGTGCTTCAACATATTTATATTCTTGGAAGAAAGCTTTTCCATATATTGACATTATCTTGCTTAATAGATCCTTGCATTCAGGGACTTCTTTCTCTAGCATTGACCTTAAGTTATCAGTCATTCTTCTTTCGTATGCGAGTGTTTCAATTGTGTGCTGATGTTGTGCTCTTGTTGCTTCGATAACTGTATTAAAGTTGGATGTAATTTGACCTTTTCTTTGATTGAGCATAAAGGAATCTATTAAATTATCAATCATGATCTGATATGGATTTGTCACTTTTAATTAATGTCAAGCATGTTTGAAATCATCAAAACCCTGATGCACATCTGGCTTAGAATGATCTATGAAAAATTCCCATTTTCAATGTGTCATGAAAAAAAAAGGTTTTGAAATTTAAAAATGAAATATCATATTAAATTATTGTACTATTATTACTAGAGATGCAAATAATAAGGATTCCACTCATTTTTATAGGAGATTGAAATTGAAATTGGTTCCGGAATTGATTTCAGACATGTACTAACCTATACTTCGTTACTGAAAGTACGTCTGGTTAAAGACAGCGGAAATTCAACTTTGGCAAGCGAAAGATTAAAAAAAAAAATATTAATTTAAATTGATTCATAATACAAACAATTTATTTAAATGATCATGGAGCAGCCGCAGCTTCATCCGACTCTGCAGGTCGTTCAATATATTTCATGTAACATGAAGCATAAACAATACCCGAAATACCAATGCAAATGAGAACTAGTACTGTTGCAGAAACTATAAGTTGTCCAAGAGTGTTAAGATCAAAATAAGAATCAACTTTTGAAAGGCAGGAATCATATGATTCGCAATTTACGAATTTCTTCCACTGAGTAAGATTTATATTATTTGGCTCCTCTTGTAGAAGTGTTTTTGTTAATTTTTTATACTTTTTCACATTTGCTGGTCTAGCTAGATAAATATCGAAACACATTAGCATCATAGCTGTGACGACGGTCATAACAGTAAGTGTTGCAAGGCATGTATGAAATTTAAAGGCGAAACCTAAGAAATATAACATTGCTAATAAGAAAAAGAAAACGAAGATAACGCCAAAAGATAGTACTGATAATGCAATTAAAATCTTAAAATTAAGATCTCCGGCAATGAAAACATAAAAGTCGCTAATCGCTCTTGAAGCGATGACTGCATTCCATATTCCACTAACAAAAAACGCAAGAAAGAATAGCTGACTTGATCGGTTTAAGCATTTGATGCTACTACTGAGTTGTTCTCTATTCTTTTCGGGATCATTTGGCGAAGCATTCATTTATTTTTGAATTTGAATAAAGGTTATTAAAAATCATCAAAAAGAGGGTAAATATTCATTACATTTGAATAAAATAGCTGCATCCAAAATACATAATTGAGTGGTGACCGGAATTATTTCAAAGCACTTTTAATTTGAATACTTTACAACAATAAAAATAAAATAATCTTGATCGACAATGAACTCTGCATGGCCAAAAGAAAACCCACGATAGACTCAAAAAAATGATGCTTAATAAATGACGAATATATCATCATGGATAAAATGAATAGTTTGAGCGCTTGTGAGCTAAAATTTATTTATTGTCTTTATTTGTTTTGACATGTGAGCAGAATGCAGGATACAAAGTTATCTCGATGCAAGGGAAGCTATCAATTTTTGAATTACTTTATCCATATATCCGTCCTTATAAAAAGATATATATTTCAACTAGTGCATATCGACCAAGTGTGACTTTTTATATGGTAACTCGAATCGTCGTATTTATGTTCCTTCTTCAACTTCAAATTTTTTCAATTTTGACTTAGGTGTTATATTATTCAAGCAATTCAGGGATATGAATTTGATTGTTAGAAAACTTATTTGAAAATAATGATATTTTATGTAGAACACATTTCTAAATAAGATCAAAAAAAAATTAACCCTATCACTGAACGCCATCGAAAGAACTGGTCCTAAACGAATTGAGAATAGACTTGCCAAAACGAAATTCAATTCTTACTTTATCCTCAAAAGCTTGTTATGCGATCAGTTCGGGACTGATTCTAGTGTTTTCAAAAAATTTTTAAAAGAGAATGCTCTCTATGAAGAATAAACGAAATTAATTTTGTTAAACGTAGCTGATTCAGAGTAGGTGACAAAAGTGCATACTCTTAAATTAACCTTAAATGTTGATTTTTCGATATTTTCAGTATTAACCTTATTGTAAATTTTTCCGGTGATAAATTTATCACACTGAGGTTATTTTTCCGGTGAGATTTTTAACCTTGATTTAATGAAATTAATATATATAAATTTTATTATTTTTAATTTCGAATGAGTATAATAAAATATTTTTTTATATCGTCATAACTCTCATCACTGTTGTGATTCCAAATGCGATTATTAAGGTTCAAGTCGCTAATGTTTTGAATGAAGATAGAGCAGTAAGAATTCTTACAAGGGCAGGTAATCAGATTGTTGAGCAAAGAGCTTCAAAACACGATGAATGTTTGAAATTAATTCAACACATTTTGGAAATTGTCGAAAGCCGAAGGATTGAACCTAATGTCCTTATTCCATCTTTGAAGGCAATATTAAATTTGGCACAAAGAAGTTTAAAGGAAGAGTAAGCAAGATTAGATAATTTGGACTTTTTTTAAAATTAATGAATAAACAGTATATTTTTGAAGTGTAAGCTTATTTACCTGAAGCTATATTACTTAATATAACATTCAAAGTATTATTGCTATTTATTGGAGAACAAATTTATGTAATTTTCACATGAAAATTGATAAATTTGTATTTCCTTATGATAATCAATTTTTGTATTTGTAGAGAGTCTCCCTGCATGATATCAAGACTTGGTTATTAGTCTTTATCTATTTTTGAAAATTGTATTGTAAATTGTAAGAATTTCTGAATACTACTACTATAAAATATAATTGCTTATCAATGTATATTCTCCCTGCATGATATCAAGACTTGGCTATTAGTCTTTATCCATTTTTGAAAATTGTATTGTAAATTGTAAGAATTTCTGAATACTACTACTATAAAATATAATTGCTTATCAATGTATATTCTCCCTGCATGATATCAAGACTTGGCTATTAGTCTTTATCCATTTTTGAAAATTGTATTGTAAATTGTAAGAATTTCTGAATACTACTACTATAAAATATAATTGCTTATCAATGTATATTCTCCCTGCATGATATCAAGACTTGGCTATAAGTCTTTATCCATTTTTGAAAATTGTATTGTAAATTGTAAGAATTTCTGAATACTACTACTATAAAATATAATTGCTTATCAATGTATATTCTCCCTGTATGATATCAAGACTTGGCTATAAGTCTCTATTCATTATGAGTATGACCCCATTTTTTTTACAAAAAGTGCCGAATTGCAACTTTGTCCCAATCTCAGCTGATTCATTTATTGTCAATTTGGCAAATTTAGTAATGGCTTGTATATTGAAAAAGAAGTAAATTATATATCTCTGTTGAATTTTATATTAAAGCCCACCTATAGATATTTTTGAAAGCAAGAAACTATTTGAAAACAAAATTATTTTGGTTATAATGATAACCATTCCATATGAATCATCTCAGAAACATTGGGTAAGAAGCTACCAAAAAAAATGCTGGTTGAATGAGCATATTTAGGTAAATTCCCAATAGCGTTTCTTTTTCTCTAAACAATTGAGAAGTTTACACAGATTTCAATTATTTCAAAATAGGTTTTGAGAGCCGAAATTTGACAAAATAAATTCAGTTAATATTTAATACCTTATTTCTACGATAAAAAATTCTAATTGGGAAAATTTTTTGGCAAACCCAAATTTTAGCTAAAAGTGACAGGGAAAAAAACGTTTAGTATTAAAAAAAAAGACCGATGAGAGCTTCGTTCGAAATATAGAGGGAACTGAGAATGCGCAACCATTCTCAGGGAATATTGGATGCTATTCCCGTTCCCTCTGTATGGAAAATTGAGGTTTTCAAAGGGAGTTAAAATAATATCAAATTTATACTAATTTACTTCAAAATACAAAAGTATTTGACAGCTAAAATTAGTTACTTTAGCAAGCCTATCAATACCCTTTTACGATTATTGCTACTTTTTCGAAATAAAAGTAAAAACAAATTTATACTAATTTACTTCAAAATACAAAAGTATTTGACAGCTAAAATTAGTTACTTTAGCAAGCCTATCAATACCCTTTTACGATTATTGCTACTTTTTCGAAATAAAAGTAAAAACAAATTTATACTAATTTACTTCAAAATACAAAAGTATTTGACAGCTAAAATTAGTTACTTTAGCAAGCCTATCAATACCCTTTTACGATTATTGCTACTTTTTCGAAATAAAATAAATTTATTATCAAAAACCTTTTTTTCTTAGTAAAAATAAACGAAATTTTTTACCTTATGAACTTTTGATGGAAATATGCAAATTTAAAATAATAAAGAAAGCCGCGAGCGAAGCGATCGGCTTAGTTCGAAGATTTTGATTCAAATCTTTGCTGATCTGTAATTCGCGGAAGCCGCGAGCGAAGCGATCGGCTTAGGTCTAAGATTTTGATTCAAATCTTTGCTTATATTCCTTAAATTCTTTATGAAACTCGCAACAGTTCCATAAAAAATTTTAAATTCTAAACTGTCGAAATTACCGATCGGTAATCACACCCTTCACGGGTGTGTCACTTTTTACAAGTGTGTCACTTTTAGCTAAAATTACCCCTACTCGTCATCGAATTTAGGTTAAAACAATTTTGATTCAAAATGGGCATTGAATTTTTTGTATGAATATTAAAAATTAATATACTCCTATATTACTTTCATTTTAACGATTTTAATTTGAACTTTCAGTTCTCTTCTCAAATTTGAATTTAATAAAAATGCATGGTCACGATACTCCAATAGTGCGCAAATGCAATTGCGGAAATATCGAAGTTTCAGGCAATCACTTTACTAGGATTTGGAAAACAGGTTTAAGTGAAACTCTTCAGCAAGTCATTGGCCATAACCCAGACCCATTAATCCAAATTAGATCAAGTGGCGTCCTAATATACAATCCTAATAGCACATCAATGCAGCGCGTTTCAGATACACAGTGTATCATTCAATGTTCCAAATGTAAGGACTCAGTACTTGTAATTTTGGGCCGTGGAAACGCGTTCGCTCAATTCAAAAGAAAAGGAACAGCTCATGTTGATGGTTTCAGTTCTGCTATTCCAGTCCAAATTGGAACAGCCCCAAACTCAATACCTCGGTTATTGAGAAACTTAATCTCATTCAATGAAATACATGAAGATACTCTTGCACAAAATAATGACGAAGATGATGAAGATGCTATATCTCCAGTTCCTCACTCTACAAATTTGTTGCAAGATGATGATAATGATGATGACTTTGATATTATGTTTTCTAATACAAAAGAAGCTGTCGTTGGATCATACACTGAATCCTCGATGGCTATGACTTTCTTTTAATTTATTTTAATATTATCTTATTTTTTTGTTAAAACTCTAAAAAATCTATTCATATACTAATTGGCGATAACAAGTGTAAACGAAAAATACAGTTAGTGGCCCACTATTCAATTTTCATCAGTTGGACCAAAAATCAATTACTGCTTTGAAGGCAAATACTAATTATACAATTAATCAACAAATGAAATTGAATACGGAAAGGAGCCTCTTACTGTAAAATTTTATCAAAATTTTAAATACGATAGTTTTATTAAAAATACAAAATAAAAAAGCATTAACATGAGCATCCCGAAGGCCTGCCTACTTCAGAATTATCCAATTCACGTGATTGTATTTGATTTTGTTTCTTTGCCCATTTAGAATTGGCTAATTCACTAGCAACATGCTTAAATAGCTCTTGAACGCCTTCGCCGGATAATGCAGATGTAGGATGAATAATGTATCCGTGAGCTTTCGCCCATTGCTCTGCTACTGAAAACGTTATTTCTTGATTAGGAAGATCGCATTTATTAGCTGCAACAGCAATAATTGTTTCTGTTCCTGCAACATCTGTGAAAGAATCTATCCAGCTTTGAAGGTTTACAAAAGAGTTTTTAGAAGTTAAATCAAAAACTGCGACAACACCGGCTGCTTTCCTGAAATATATCGGTCCTAAGGAACGAAATCTTTCTTGTCCAGCTGTATCCCATATTTGCATTTCAATTTTCCTATCATTTTCTTCATAAGAATATAATTGATAATTGGCTCCAACAGTACTGGGCTCTGTTTTGTTAAAATTATGCAATACGAGTTGATTCAAAAGTGATGTTTTACCAACAGAAGAATCTCCGACGAGTACAATTCGGAGATGTCCTGGATCTTCCACTTGCATTCAATTTAAATCCACAAAATGTTATCGTTTGAAATTTCAATTGGAGAAAAAGCGTCAGATTTTGGAATATGAAAAATTGTAATCTGTAATTAAAAATCAATTTTCAAGAAGATAAAAAGATGGTTGACAAATTTCAGTCACACATAAACAAAAAAATGGTTCCGCTGGGGCTCGAACCCAAGACCTTAGCGTTATCAGCACTACGCTCTACCTACTGAGCTACGAAACCTTGCGATTGCCATTAATTTTTTGCACTTAAAATGAAAATTCTGAACAATATCTCGATTTTTTGAGAGTTTTTTTTAGAATTAGAAATCGGAAGTATTATTAGGCCTAATTTTATCCTTTGCTATGTAATAACTGTTTGTTTCCTTCTCATACTCCTTTCAAGAAGAGTAGATCCTTCATTAATCAAACTTCCTTATTCGATTCCAAAAATTTATTATGGCATCATTGTTGTTTCGCCTCATAATTTAACAAGACTTTACACTGCATATAGATATTGGGGCAGTCAAGTCGAGCAAATATCTCCATCAAGTAATTACACTTTTTATAGTTTAATTGATCCTAAAATACCAAACGTTAAATATTACAAACAAAATCAATCAAATGTAATTCGATGTTTCAGTTATGTGTACTATTTTATTAATATGCTTGAAACCTTCCTTCAGCAAAATGAAATTAATTGGTTAATTCGTACAACAGATGATGTTCACATCGATCAGTTCGATATGATAAAATACATGAACGATTTAGAATCTATGTACAATCCGATCAATGATACTGTCATAAGAGGCCATTTTATTGAACCTTTTTACCTTCATGGTGGTCCTGGATGGATAATGTCACGGAAAGCCTGTGTACTAACTCTGAGATACATTAAACAAAAAATTAAGCAATCTAAATTATATAATGGAGGAGATGACATATTTTTAGGATATATCTTTAAAAAAATCTTTAAGAAATCAAGAAAAATTCACTCTTATGCTATAAATGGCGCTCCATTAAGTACTGAAGCCAAAAAACGTTTGGCAGCTAGAGATTTTCGAAATCTTCCTGATTGTCCAGAAAATGTCATGAATCATTTCCGAAATATTGTTATAAATCATGCAGGCGACAACTCTTTAGATGTAATTACAAAAAGGCATATATTCAACAAAATAATTCCAGATGATGTTTATTTGTTTGTTCCTCCAGAGAGAACTGGAGAGGCAGAACTTTGCTACTCCAAAAACGCCACTATTCCTATTATTTGACCATAATTTAATTTTTATCTCAAATATTTAAAAGAATTAAGACTAAATAATCATACTTTATTCATTACAAATATAATACATAAATGAAAATCCGAATAAATTTCATAATAAACAAAAACAAAAATTAAAGTTGTTCTTGCTCTTCAATCATTGCTGTTGTCTGATTGATAATCTCATGTACATCCTTACTCTTAAGCAATCCAATCCTACTGAGGTATCTATACCTAAGAAATACTGTTGACCAAACAATTGCGTTTCCAGCAAAGCAGTAAATCAAAAACTTCAGAACTAATCTGAAGATACTCATGAACTTAGTGTCGTATTTGACCTCTAAACTCTTACTACTCCAATGGGAACCGTCAAATGAAATTGTGACCTTTGAAGAGCCTCCATTTTTAGCAGGAACCTCGCATCTGATACTTCCTTTGCTAATAACACGTCCCAGATGTACTGTTTTGCCAACTTTGCAATAAGCAGATTGAGGAGTAAAATCTGTTGATTTGTAATAGACATCGATGGTATTTAATGACAAAGCGTTCAGTACTGTTGGGTTTACGCGTGTTATTTGTGGTTCTGGAGCAACACATTCTGTAATTCCATCTCCAATTAAACCTCCAAAGCATTTACACTCTTCATTGACCATCCTGGCTGCTCTGTGGCATGGAGATGCTTGTTCTTCTGCCTTTTTTGTAATATTGAAGATGTTTTTCGCTGGTAAAGTTTCATTTAAATCTTTCTTTTGGAGTAAAGGTACTTTTCTGATGGTTTTGAAGTTGTGGAATGCTTCTTCAATGTTGTTCTTCTTTAATGCTGATTCTTCTTCGTTCTTTACTTTGATTTCTGCTTTGATATATCCAGTTTGAGCTCTTTTCTCACTTTCTGAGAATGTTTGGTTAGGAGGTGTCTGTTGTGTCCTTTTGGATCTCTCTTCCCTCATCTTTTTCTTATCCATGTTGCTGTGGAACATGTTATTGTCGTCTATAAAGTGCATTTCAGCATTATTGTATGTTTTGACAGGTTCAGGTGTCTCTATAGGAGCTGGGAAGGTTTCGTATGTAATATCGTAGTCAGATTCGTTTCCTTCTGGGATTGTAAAATTAGGAGTTGTAATTTCGATGTAATCTTCTACATAGTTCTGGGGATTCATGAAGTCAAGGTCTTGACTGATGTTTTTCTTTACTTTCATTCTGTAGATTGGTCTTGGTGACCTTGTAGGGACTGGTGTTGGTTTTGGAGTTCTTGTAGGCCTGGGAGTCTGTTTAGGTGTTGGCATTGGTGTAGGTAATGGTGTTCGTGCAGGTGTAGCTGTTCTTGTTGGAGGAGGGATATCTGCATAATCAGAAATTTGTTTGTTTTCTGGTCTTAGTTTGTTCATTTTTGATATGTAATCTGGTGTCATTGTTGGAAATGGCGTTTGCGTTGGAAATGGCGTAGGTTCTGGAGTTCTTTCTGGTAATAACGCGTTTGAGGTTTTAACTGCGCGAAATCTTGGAGTCATTCTTCCGAGATTTATCTGCCCTTTTATTGTTGGTTGAGGAGTGTTGACATCATCTGAATCATCTGAATCTTTACTGTTTTGTGAATTATGATCACGATTAGATCTGTTTCCATTAGAATAATCTGATGAAGATTGGATGCTCCCGAGTATAAAAAATATCAGAAACATCCAATAATCAAAATGAAATATTGGGTCTTTCACCAATCATCCCCCTAATTGAAAAATCAATCATTCTAATAAGTATGGATCTATGCTAAGAATTGAAATACAAAATTAAACGTTTACTAATTTTAAAAATTGCAATGAAATTATTGAAAAATAATCTTGAATTTCAAGATCATGATGAATTTTTGGTCGTACACTGATTGATAATGTAAAAATACATGAATTGGATTTTCCAAAAAAATCACAAAATTGGTTTTTGATTATAAAAATTGATAAATTTGTTCTTATTTTTCTTTTTTTCGAATTTTTTTGGAAATTTTATTCCAAGATTTCATTTAAATTTAGAGGAAGCTTAGTTTACCTAGCGAATTTCTGCAGTTGTGCCATAATCTGATTATGTTTTTATTGAATATCATTCGAAATATACGATCTTTTTGATGTTTGGTTATATGTTCATGATTGTTTTAAATTTTTAGTCCAATGTTTCTTACTAAAGTGGTATAGATCTATTTTCTATAACAAGTTTTATAAATAAACGTACACCAAGATGATTCCCCAATCAGTCCTGAGATCTATAATGGAACTCAGGACTCAGGTTAACAACCTAGAAGCCGAAAGGGTTGCATTACAAGATGAAATTCAACAATTAAACAAAAAAATCAAATATAATCAAAAACAGTTAAAAATTCAATCTCCAATCATTGGTGTTACAGATGTAATGGCAAAAATAAATTATACCATTGAAAATAACCTCAATGATATTCGTCGAGCAAAAATTCATAAAAAATTATTGAATCGAGAACTAAATACAATTAAAAAACAGCTTTCAGAAGATCAAACATTTGAAAAAATCGATCCAAATGAAATACTGACAAGTGAAAATCTTGCCAAACAATACTATATCCTATTAAAAGAAATGTTTGCTGCTCCTCCATTCCCTGATGAAAACCTTATCTATCGCGCTAATTGGCGAGTTGCAAATTCAAAACCTCACGATGTCGATACACAATTTCGAGATATTATCGAAAATCTACATAAATTTGCAGAACCATTCGAGTCTTTAGATATCGAGCAGAAGAGATTTATTGTTAAGCAAGCAGGTTTTGCCAAAAAAGCTATGAACATGATTATCAAGGATTTCATACAGCTAGATAAGCAAGAATCTCTGAATATAGATGTTCCACACGTTACATATGAAAAAGTTCAGTGTGCAAATGATTTTGCATATCTGAAATATGCAATCGATAGAATCTTTCGCTAACTATTCAAATAACACATTGTGGCATTTGGATTGCTTTGTTTGTAAATGTATTATTATAGAAAACTGCAATTTTTTGAAAAATCTATAAAAGCACTATACTTCCATGGATTAATATCTTTATATACAAACAAATAATAGTAATATATTATGTAGGCTTGGTTTGCTGGAAAGGAATTACTTCTTCATAGTTTTTCCTACGTGATATAAATGAATAAACTCGTGTTAGTGAAACCAAAACGAGCACCACTACAATCAAATATATAATGACCTTGAAAATATTGATTGTAGGAACATCTACGTAGTCAATTTGGAAAATTTCGTGAGAAACATTAAGAGCATTAAAAGAAAGTGATATTAGTATTCCATCTGTTTTGAATACAGGGGCAACGCATTCATATATTTGGTCATTAAGTTTATTAGATTTGATTATTATATCCTTGAAATGACAATAAACAATTTCGTAACCTCCTTCATTATTAGTTACGGTAACATTAAGACTGCATTGCTTACCTCTTTGACATGTTCGAGGTGTGATTATTTTAATTATCGGAATTTTAATTAGACATGAAGATCCAACATATCCAGGAATGCATACACATTTTCCAGGATATGTACAATATGAATTTTCAAAACATTCTTCTAAACACCTATAACATCCATCACTTTCTATGGAATCTGCCTTGTATCCTTTTTTACAAACGCATAAATTAGTTGTGTCATCAAGTTCTGTATTCATTGATGGACATTTGCCTTTCTTAGGATAGTAACTTAAATTTCTGGGTAAAAATTCATATGAATTATCATCGATTTCGATAGTATTATATATTGAAAGAGGTGCAATATCATTCCCACTGAGAGATATCGTATCATCTCTGATGTTTTTCGAAGCAAGCAAAAAAACAGAAATCAACATTGGATTTCGTTTCTTCGAAAATGACAGTATTTGATGACATACTTTATAATTTATCATATATTACTATTCAATACTCTAAAACATCAGGAATAGTACTCGATACAGAATGATTTATTAATACTAATTCATTGAATTAAACCACAAATACAGAACAAATTCATGCAGAAAAATAGATCCATGAACTGAAGAGTCTCAGCTTTTAATGGCAAATTTAATTTTGTTTTTGTCTAAAAAATACTAGCCTTATTAACTCCGCAACAAACCATGTCGTATAATAACATATCATTTTTAGTTAATTCTTAAAAAATTATTAACAAATAACGCATTTCTTCTTCGCCTTATTGACTAAATAAGGAGAAATACTAATAATGAAACCAGTTGGATCATTGTTGAATTCTGGATTGGGGATAACTCCCTCTGGTTTTACATCCATCCACTGGTAAGGGCTTGGAGTATTATTGAACATTGGTTCAAGTGTCTTTCTGATCGCATCGTAATTAGGTGCATCTGCATACTGCAGTCCTTGAATGTGGCGAGCGATTTGAACAAATCCTTCGCCAAGTGGAGCGACAAGGCTCTCTAATGTATGCTGTTTCTTAATCGTGTTGAAATCTATATCATTGGATTTGCCACACCAAGGAAGTTCTATGCCGGCAAGATCTAAAATTGAATATATCAAAGAAATCAAATCATCACGCCTGGATAAATCCATGTGGTCGTATGCATTACTTGAAGCATAAAGCATAGAGCCCATTGCAGCTGCATTCTCTCTTGCTTCAAGATGATTGCCATTATTATCTAAGTAAACTTTGGAAATTCCAAAATCTATTAAGCAAATTGGCCTATTTCCTTTTGGTCTGACGACAAAGTTTTGCGGCTTGATATCGCGATGGACATAACCCTTTGAATGCAAAACTTCGACAAGGCAGAAAAGATTGTAAGCTAATCTCGGAATATATTCCATGGCGAACTTTTTCTCTGGTAAATGTTGAGCAATATCAAAAAGATTTGCGCCGCATAATTCCATTGCGCAATAAAAGTTATTTTGATCAGTACCATCGATCTTGAATAAAGGTGCTATCTCTGTTCCTTTTAGTTTCTTTAATACTTGCGCTTCAAACCGAAGTGTTTGCCTCTGAGATGAAGTTGGTTCTAACTTCAAAGCGTATAATAAATCATCTTCAGTTGATTGGCACAGCCAAATATTGCCAAATCCACCATCGCCTATCTTAGAAATGAGCTTGAAGAACCCAACGAGATCTCCTTTGTTCATTTTTGCCACTTTTAAATTTTTTTTTGGATCACATAAAATTTTAATTTTGAAGTTACAAATGGTTTCATTACCTAAAGATAAATCCTAATTTTAAAATTTTTCGATAAATAAAAAAAAATGCTTTCGTTATTGTTTTGGCAATCTCTCTCTCATCATCATAAAAGATATAAAAAACCAAGGGGTAGCTTTGATGCTGGATCTGGGAGTTATTATGAGAATGGTATTTCTGGAACAGTTACAAGTGAATCAAGATCTTACGAACATGACAAAATAAAGATATGCGAAATGCTTAATTCAACGGAGTTAAAGTACCTTGGAATACCGGACACTACAAAAGAGGACTTAAATAGAACATCAAGACTTTTTAACATTCTTGGTGATTATAATATCTTCATTTCATTCGTTGCAATTTGCTCTTACAATCATCAATGCAACAAAAACACGAGTCAGAGTGATAATGATCACTTTAGAGCAGCAGGTTTTCTAAATCTGAAAGGAAATGATCTATATTCTAATTTCCAACAGATGGTGAAAGATCCAAACGTATTACCACTAGGTGCTCCGCTCATTGACGAAAAATATCCTTGGACTTCTGCAATTTACATTTGGAATTCCAATTACATCTCAGATTTCTGTCGTGATAATCCGAATATTATTAAGGTCGCAAAACAACTTATACCTGTTGAAGATGAAGGAAAATTACAAAAAATTTATGATGATTTAAATGAAATGATTAGAATCAAAGAGTTTGATCGTCGCAAACTTGCTTGTAGTTAGAAGCTCTCATGTTTAATTATCATATTACGAAATTCCATTTTCTTTATTGGGAATGGCATTTGATTACATTACAATCCTTATTGAACTGTTCACTGTTTGATAAAATACTTGCTACAAGTAATACCACATCAAAATTTTGTTTTACTTAATAAAATGTTAGAATTTTAGTTATGAAAATGTACTTCTTGCATTAAAACCTATACATACATGATGTGTAGAAGACATAAAACAATTACATTTTGCTATTATCATATTTCAATTCCATATTGAATGATCTTGATGGAATAGTAAAGGTATCTCATTGGTAATTGTAGTGCTTAAGAGTAGTACTTTCTAATCTTCAAATTAAGAATCGAAGTATAATTTACACTTCAAAATTGGCCGATTATTATTAAAAAAACAAAAAATAATTTTTTTGTGAGCGAGAGGGAAAAAAAAAATTATCTAAATGTGGGGGTCTGCGCCAGGTTTACTTGCGCTTTTAACAGAGAAAAATCCGAACTTCCAAATCAAAGGTATTAGGGAGTTGGAGAATATTGTTAACAATGAATGGCCCCAAATTGCAGATAAAATTGATTTAATTCTCGATTTAGCCAAAAATACAGAATTTCCAGCACACGAACAAGCAGCACGTTTAGCATCGAAAATCTACTACAACTTAGGCGATTTCAACAAAGCAGTCGAATTTGCAATTTGCGCTGGAGCTACATTCGATCCTACATTGAAAGACGAATATACGCAAAAAGTCAGTTCACAATGCATTCAGTCATACATCAAATTAATTGAACAGCAAGAAAAGCCAAATCAACAATTATTCATTATTGTAAAGCAAGTTTTGCAGCATTTACTTGACGAGAAGAGATATTCTTCATGTCTCTGCCTTGCCATCGAAACGAGATTCCTTGATTACGTCCATCTTTGCCTTGAACAGAAGCCAAAGCTTGTAGAGAAGACTATTTCCATCGTGCAGAACATAATTATCGATAGCGAGTATCGCCAAGTTGTCCTTAGGAAGATCACTGACTTAGCTTGCAAGCATTGCGACACATTCCAGATTGCCCAGCTCTATTACAACCTTCGGGATCCAGATATGATTGCAGACTTACTTACCCAGCTCAGAAAGTCCTCCAATACCGATAACTGGCTGATGGCCTATCAAATCGCCTTTGACCTTGCAGAGAATGCCAATCAGAAGCTCAGATCGATCATTATCAGCCTTCTTCCACCAGATCTACCAGACTTGAAGTCGATTCTTACCCGAAATATGCTTCTCAAATTTTATCTCGATTTCCTCTTCCAGAACAACCACACAGACATCCAAATCATCGTCAACCTCAAAGAAAACCTCAAAACTACTAAGATGCTCATACATTCCTCAGTTGTTTGCGCGTATTCTCTCATGTTTGCAGGAACAGGCGACGACAACTTCTACAGAAGCAACATTACGTGGTTTGGCAGTGGCCGTAAGTGGGCGCAGTTCATCACCATTGCCGGTGTCGGCGCCATCCACATCGGCCACCTCCAGTCCGCTCTCCAGATTTTGGAGCCGTTCCTCCACAACGACACTCCTCCTTATCCGTACGGCGCCGCCCTCTACGCGCTCGGAATCATCTACGCGAACTACTCCTGGGACAGGAAAGTGATAGAGACAGTGAAAGAGCCAATCATCAAACAGAAGAGCTCCATCATCAAACAGAAGAGCTCCATCATCAGAAACGGCGGATGTCTCGCTCTCGGACTCATCGCAATGGGATCTCGCGAGCAGGAGTACGCCTCCATCGTCAGGGATGTGATCAACGACGACATTCCGGAGCCAGGCGAGGCAGCGGGATACGCGTACGGCATGATCATGCTCGGTGTCGGTCCTTGCCAGGAACTGGAGGAACTCGTCAGAGTGGCTGAGAACAACGACCACGAGAAGATTGCACGAGGCCTTGCGATGTGTTTCGCGTTCATGATGTACGGAAAGCAGGACAGCGCTGAGACACTCATTGCTGCTCTTCTCAATCACCAGAAGCCAATCCTCAGAGAGTCAGCCGCGTGGGTCACAGCACTCGCTTACGTCGGGACAGCTTCGAATGTCGCACTGGAGAGACTGCTTCACCTTGCTGTCTCTGATGTCAATCCAGACGTGAGGAGAGCGGCTGTGATTGGCGTCGGATTTGTCCTCTCAAGGCATCCTTCGAAAGTTCCTTCAATGCTAGACTTGCTCGCCAAATCATACCATTCACACGTCAGGTCTGGCGCTGCTCTTGCTGTTGGCATTGCATGCGCTGGCACTGGAATGGCCGATGCGATTGAAGTGTTGAAGCCACTGCTTGAAGACTTGGAAGATTTCGTTAAGCAGCACGCGATGATTGCCATGGCCATGGTGTTGCAGCAGCAGAGCGACAGAGAGGTTCCTTACGCGAAGGAGTTCAGGAGGTACTTGAGAAAACTCACAACAAGGAACACATCAGAGATACAGGTATTCGGTGTTTCTGTTGCATACGGAATTCTCAACGCTGGAGGAAGAAATGTCGCAATTTCATGCAACACGTTGAGAGGAGAGAATTCAACACTCGCAACTGTTGCAATGGCTTTGTTCTGCAACTACTTCTACTGGCTGCCTCTCACTCTGATGCTTCCTCTCGCATTCCATCCAACAGCTGTGATTGGTTTGGATAAATCTCTCAAGGTTGTTCCGTGGGAAATCTACTGCAACAAACCTGCTTCTCTGTTCGCTTATCCACCTCCTTTCGAGAGTGAAACAGAGTCTCTGAAGGAGAGAGAGGTTGTGGAATTGTCAATCTCAAGAAAGACACAGGAACAGAAGGAAAACAAGAAGGAGGAGAAGAAGGAAGTCGACGAAAAAGAACCTTCTTACGTAATTCTGAAAAATCAGTCGAGAGTTACTTTGAGACAATTGAAACACCTCGATTTCGGTTACTGCGAGAAATATACTCCTGTGACTGGAGAAGTGTTCCACGGATTCGTTATGCTCAAGGAAAATCCTGAGGAAGAAGAGGAAGAAGATAATATTTTAGATCTCGATTAACTTTTTTTATATTTTTTTTATATATTAAAAAGTGGCATATAAATTCTGTTTAAAATTACAAACATATTATTTCTTGATCTATAAAAGAGTGAATATGTTAATATTTATAACCTTCTCTTTATCAAGAAACTCTGAGATTCAGATTTTTCTCTTCTTCAACATGAAGCAATATTAAATAGTGAAAAATTCATTTCAGTTCTTGCTAAAATTGCAAAGCTCATTATCATAATCATACTAATAGAATACATTTGATGGTGATGGATATAAAGGATAAATGCAATTAGCTAACACTCAATCAATTATTAAGAAAAAACTAATGTCTATTTTTTTCGAAAAAGCAAAAAAAATAACAAATAATTTTATAATTTTTCGATCTCTTGCAAAACAGTTCCTGCAGCTTCTGTCAAGAACGGCTTATCCGAATTGATCGATACATCTAACAATTTTCTTACATACGGTCTATTAAGCATTACATTGACTCTTCTTCCGAATTTCTTGATAATTCCCTCGAGAAGGAGAACTCCCTCGTACAGGACATTTCCATCTACGACGTCAAATGTGAAAATCTGTTCGAAAACTTTGTAAAATTTGTGAACACATTTGTCGCCTCCAGGGATATCGGCCAAAATAGGAACGATCGACTGGTAGCAGTTGAGAATGCCAAGGAAATGGTCTTCTTCGAGGTACATCGAGTGCATCGCCTGATCTAGGTCCGAAAGAAGTCGATCCAGCCACGCGTGGCACTGCGGAACAGTCTTAAGAGCAACTTCTCCGAGAGCTGAGAAGACTGCGCTCCTGTCCTGCTGGGCAATCATATCTCTGTGGATATCGTCGAAGAGCATGTCGACAATTTGCATGTCAATATTCTCTCCGAGAGATCCGAATGAAGAATAGATGTCGCCAACGAGAACTGCTGCTGGTGAAATAAATTCAGCGGAAGGAAGTCGCTGGAAAATGATTCCAATGACGACATCCAAGTACTGAGAGAAGTCTCCTTGTATCGCGCGGGCTATAGCTCCGATTGCTGGAAGAATTTCTGCTGTCAATGCAGAATTCAACATTGGAAGAAGGTTTAGAAGCATTTCCATGAGTCGGGTAGAATGGTTAACCATTGCATGGCCCATATTCATAACAGTGGCCTGTATCGTCGAAATTAACCAGATAAATAACGCGATCGAGTCCTTGGAATTAGCTCCCGAAGAAATTAATTGGTCAACGTTGTTCATCATCGTAACGAGCAAACTACCGTACGAGTCAACAAGCGACATCGGTGTTTGCGCGATGAGCCGATTAATTGCTCCGTAAGCTGCGGCGATGCTTTCCTGCCCAAAGTGCGTGGCTGTCCTAAGGAAAATTTCTGCCAGGGTGTCGAAGTTCGCGGCCAAAATCGTAGATTCTTCCTCCGGCGAAAAATTCCCGAAAACGTTGCCAAGCAGCCAGCAACTTCTTGTATATAGTGCCTGCGAGCTCTCCATGACGTTTGTGACCTTCGTTAATATCAATACGAATCTTTCTTCGTCTTGCGAGAGGTCAGGGATCTGTTCGCACATTACACCGAGCGACCACATTGCGATGTTGACTATGGCCGAGTTCGGATCGTCAAGGAGAGACACGAAAACTTGGAATGTCTCCAAAATCGTATTTGTATCGATGAAACAGTCCATTCTAGACGAGCAAAGAAGGAAAAAAGCCGCTGCATACCTCAAACGCCAGTCCGGATCTGAGATATTTTCTTTCACAAAATTAATCAGAGGTTCCAAGCAATCTTCGCCCACTGCCTGCGACAGAGCCAGCAGACAGTTGAAGGCGGCGCTTCCTGGATCGTTCTCTAGGTCGGAATCTATCTCGAGAGGGTCGAATGAAGCAATTATTGTCGCCAGAGGCTCAAAGAAGGAAGCAAACGCATGGCGTGAGTATAATCTATCGTTAGCATTGTATTTTTTTTGTTTGCTCTTCTCAACTTTGGCAATAATTTGCCAAAGAGTGCAAGATTCGATAATTCTGTTTTCATTTTCGGATTCCATGTCCGATTGCGTGATTGTAAAAATATTTTCCATGTATTCCTCGAATAATGAGAAATAATTCTCGTATAATTTCTGTAAAATTCTATATCCATCTAAAACTAAGTCTTCGTGCTGAGTGTAATCGAAAACAACGCGTATAAAGTCGAGCTTCGACTGTTGAAATGAGAATACTCTATAAAAGAACGAAGTTGCGTTAACAAAAGCATTGACAACGATTTTGAGGGTTGCAGGGGAATCTGGATTGCGCATTATATTGAGAAATAGGTTAAATATCGAAAGAACTAAATTATACAGCATTGTTATTTGCGAATTAAACCCCGATGAACTTAAAGTGACAATATTCTCTACAAAATACTCTATAGTCATCAGGGCGGCATTTCTAGTATTCTCTGAGTGGTTGTCTGAAGCAATTTGTATTAATTCATTAAATTGATCGATATATTGATTTTTTGAAATTTCAACTGCATAAAAAACGCCTAATAGTATGGAAGCTTGTTGCGTAAGATCAGGAGAACCCTCAAATATTGCGTTTGTAGCAGCAACCCTGAGGTTCTCGTGCACAGAATGATCAAATTGGAACCAATAATCGACAAATTTTCTCAGAGCGTTCAAGTCCTTGGGAACAATTTCTTTGTAAAGGAAAACTGCACATACTTTTCGTGTTATTTCTGGATTTGAGGGAGATCCAAGGTGATTTATTAATGCTATCACAAAAGCAACGGGATCTTGCTCTTTAAACTCTATCAGTTTCTTCGTGGCAGTATAATCCGTAGAATAATACTGTTCCAGAAGAACTTCTATATTATAATCCATGAAAACTCTCTACAATAAAAAAAAAATTAATATTTAGCGGTTGTCATTGAGCCTCAAAATTTTCAATGAAAGTGTTGGACCCTACCTTTGTATTCTATCGTCTTTTCCCCATCACCCAAATCGGAAAAATTATAATACAAAAAATATAATATTTCATGTAAATATTTTAAATACGACTTAAGGGTGCACCCGTATGTACGTTTATTTGAGAGGAGGAGGATTACCCTCTCAATTTTGAGGGATTCGTTAGTTTATTTTCTCGATGAATATGCAATAAAATTTGATTTTTACCTTATCAATATACTTCATATAATATACACATGTTCATGTAAAAACTTTGTTCCAAAATCCTCAGGAATTAAGGGATTTTTGAATTTTAAGAAATTTTTTCGAATTTTTTCGAAAAAAAATATTTTCAGAACAGCTTTAACGGCTAAGATTTAGGAACAATGTTAAGTATCAAAAAGAAAGGAGGTCTGATATAGACAACATATATCGTTGAAGGTTGAAAAAATCTCTAATATTTGAGCCCAAAATTTCAAATTTTAATTTTTTGAAAAAAGAGGCCACCCGTATGTACGTTTATTTGAGAGGAGGAGGATTATATTTTTGAAAGGGTGAAACATTATGAATATGTTAATTATATAATAATATGTATTATTATAAAAAAGAAAAAATAAAGCACGTTAAAATTTTTCTTTCTTGATTTTTTACAAAATCTACTTAGAATTATGCAAAATATGACTAAATAATTATAAATTTCAAGTTAAATTTTAATTTTGATAAATAATTTAAATTTCAAAATATCAAGTTCAGTTCGACTATGTATGTAGTAATTCCTCAATAAAGTGCCAAAACCCTATTAAAATATATGAACATTTTCAACATTTTAATGTTTTTATTTAAAAATTTGATGGAATATGAGCTTCAAACAATTATTATGTAAATAAAAATAATTAAATATATGTATTTATTCGTATTACAACCGTAGTAAGTCGATTCTTCCTTTCTTCTACTGAGTTTTGAATTTGATTTCGAATTGTAAAGAGATTCAAAGGGAAAATACTAGCGGATAAAAACTACCTCCATGAAAGGGTCATAATGGAGTCAAGTTGTATTTTTTGATATTTTTTGCTTTTCGAGCCTAAATAGGTAGCCAAGATAATGCCTAAAAATAAGGTTCTAAATTCTGAAGTTTACATGATCCTCTCGTGTGCACCCTTAATGCAAATGAAAAGCATAAGATTTCATTTTTGAAAAAATAATTCAAAAAGATTTCATGAAATAATAGTTAGAAAATTAATAAACAATAGGTTTATATATTATATTTGATATTAGATTTGATTTATTCTTAAAATTTCAAATCTTTCATATTGAGTTTTTCTCAAATAGAATTGGGAATCATCTTTGTATCTTCCAAAACACAAAAAAGTAATAGGAATTGTAAATAATATTATTTATTGATGGATAATTATACAACAAATTAAAATCAATACATGGAATTAGAAAGTAATTAACTGTATTGGATTAAATTAAATACATAAACTCTATTTGTTCGCCGACTTTACTCTATCTAATATTTGTTTATATTCCTTTTCTATTTTCTTAAGCTCAACGCTTATGAGAACATGTGGTCTGTATTTTAAGTCTATTTTTGAATCAATTTCTTGAATGATTTCATCAATTTCCTGAATGAGTTTCATAAAATCTGAAATTTTTAGATTTTTACCGTAATTTTCTATATCTCTTGATAAAATTTCTCCGCATGATTTTGATGCTTGTTCGCATTCTTTTGATTTTTGCTTTAAAGTTTCGTTTTTCTCTTCCAGTTTTTCTAATTCAAGCTCCTCTATTTTGATTCTGTTTTCCCATTCATCTAGCATTGACTCGGCCACTTCGAGCTTTTTTAATATCTCATCCGTCGAGCTGCTTTGATCCATTTTTGACTGAAAAAAAAATTTTTGGAAAAGAGAGAAGACATTGATTTTTTGTTTCTAATAATTTCACCACATGATTGCAGATCAAATAAGAAACCAAATTTACCTTAATTTTTTAGTTTCTTTGAAGATTTTATTTCATTGATGAAATTATTAAAGCAATTAGCCCAATCAAATAAATATTGATAAACTCCCATACAAAGGGAGTATGTGAAACATATTATTTCATTCTACTTATTTCTGATAATTTTTAGCATAAAAAAATGGAAATCACTGAATGCCCATTTAACTTCGAGTATGATGGTGAACCTTTTGAATTTAAGCTTTCAAAATCACCCCATTTGGTCAAGGGGATGTATTGGATTCCAAAAGACCGAAAACCAACAAAAATTGTTATTTATGTTCATGGTTTAAATTCAATGCTAGTTTCTGAGCGCGACAGTGTTCCAGTATACCTAGAAAGAGGCTTTGCATACTTCACATCCGATCATATTGGACACTGAAAATCAGAAGGCGATGCATTGTGTTGCAATGTTGATGAAATAATAGAAGAAACACTTTATGTAGTTAGCTATGCTCATAAAATGTTCCCTTCTTTACCTATTTACTTAAAAGGACACTCACTTGGTGGTTTAGTTGTTTTATCTTGCGGTTTATTCCATTCTGAAGAGCTAATTAACAACAACATCAAAGGAATTATTGCTATAGCTCCATACATCTCAAGTTGCCCGAAGATACCAATTACTTTATACGAATCTGTTTTTATTTATTTAACCAGTATATTTGCTCCATTAATGAAATTACCAACAGGAAAGACTACATATCCTGATGACATTCCAAGGCAATTCGCTGACTGGATCCTTTCACACGCTCGTGCAAAAGATTACATAACTCCAAGACTTCTCGCTTCATGCCTCCAACAAATATCAAAAGTACTTCCAGCAGCTGAGAAGTGGCCAGAGTCAATTCCACTTCTATTTACTCAAGGAATGAAAGATGATATGGTTGATCCATACATTAATTTGGACTGGGCCTGCAGAGTTCTTAAGGTTCATCCAGATAAAATTGAAATTCATACATACGAAAAGGCAACTCATCAAATAACAAGATGCCCTTACCGCGGAGAACAATTCCGCCATATATTTAACTGGATATCCACATTAGAAAGCAAATAATTTAATTATCTGCTCATTTTTCTTTTATTTTGTTAAATTAAAAAATTTAATTTGATATTACTTGATCATGAGGAAAGAAAGATATTTTCTTCGCAATGCAAGCATTTTTTAGTGAAGCACAGTAACAATTGAGTCTTTTTTGTTCTCGTATTTTAAAAAATCACAGAATGCAACAAAACACTGTTCATCACATGCATCAGTTGTCTTTATCTCAATTAGAATCGCTCCATTAATATATGAATCTTTTTTTTGATCCATCAAAATATACATCCCCTATTTTTTTGATTTATTCCCCCTTATTTTTATTTTTAAAGTTGTTTTTCCTTTCTTTTTTACTACAACAGAGTCTTTCTGAAATTTCAACAACAGTATCAGACGACGAGCTAATTATTCGAGGATCTGGTGAAATAACAAAAGCTTTAATTGATTCAATTGAAGAAAAATACTCGAAATTATCAGTTCAATGCAGTGAATGCTCAATTTCGGAGAATTCATTCACATCAAACACTAATCTAGTTTCCATTTCGATCTTAGAAGGAGTTAAATCTATTGGAAAAAGCTCATTTCAAAATTGTCGCTCACTTTCGATTGTTAACATTTCACAGAATCTAGAAGACATTTTCGAATATGCATTTTCGAACTGCGAAGTACTAAAAACAGTCATTTTACCCGAAAAAATAAATCAAATTGGAAAAAATTGTTTTGAAAATTGCAAAATGCTCAAAAGCATAACATTACCATCAAGCATACAAACAATTGAAGCAGACACATTCTCTAATTGCATCAATCTTGAAAAAATAATTTTCCCAGAAAATTTAACTGAAATTTCAGAATATTCCTTTAGCAATTGCGAAAAAATCCAATTACTAGAATTCCCTATCAATCTTAAAAAGATTGGAGCAAACGCTTTCTACGCAAACACAAAATTAACTAAAATTATTTTACCTCAATCTCTTTCTCGCATTGGAGAGAGATGTTTCATGTTATGTAACAACCTCGTGTCAATAAAATCGACAGGAACCTCTACAATTAACTCAGTTTTAATTATCGAAAGAAATGCGTTTTCAAACTGCGATTCTTTAACAGAAGTAGATCTCCCGAGTAATCTAAACACAATAGGACATTACGCATTCACAAAATGCACATCTTTGGCAAAGATTTCGTTGCCATCTTCATTATGCGTTATACAAGACCACGGATTCTCATTCTGCAGTAATTTAGAGACAATAGAGATGCCAAGCAGCATTGCTGTTGTTTCAAATTATGCGTTTTATCTTTGTATTAAGTTAAAGTCAATTTCTTTCCCAGAATCATTCACAACCATTGGAGAAGGAGTATTCAGTGGCTGTGAATCACTCGAAACAGCCGTATTTCCTGAAAAATTCACAAGATTTCCCTTTTTATTATTCAATCGTTGCAGCAAACTCAATAATTTCCATTTCCCAGCAACCCTTACATACATAGGAAAGTGGTGTTTCCAGTATTGCGACTCTTTGGAGAAAGTAATTTTGGATGATTCTGTTTCTATGTTAGGAATTGGTTGTTTTGGGTTCTGCTCTTCATTAAAAGAAGTGTCTTTGCCCAAAAACATTACTACAATACCAGACGAAGCGTTTACGAGTTGTTCTACCTTAGAAGTGATTTCTTTTCCTGATTCCGTCGAAGAAATTGGCTCTATGTCATTCTATGGCTGTGACGGACTTACTTCTATCAAGCTCCCTGCGGCGCTTGTTAATCTGTCGACAGATGCATTTCTAAAAGCATCAAATGTCAAAACCGTCAAAATTTCCCATCAAAACCATAATTTTTATGTTGAAAACAGCATTCTTAGGAATTCCAAGCGTTTAATATACATGCCACCGAAATCAACAGCTACAGAACTCACTCTGAATAACATAGAAATTGGTGCAAATTGTTTCGCTGATTGTATTAACCTTAAATCAGCGGTTTTGACAAATTGTAAAAATATTGAAGAGAGATGTTTTTACGACTGTTCAAATCTAGAAACAGTAACAATATCATGTCCATTAGTCACAGAATTCTCTGATGAACTGTTTTGTGGAACGAAATTATCAGAAATAGAAATTCCAAAATCAATTTTAATAATTGGAAATGGAGTTTTCAAAAATTGTAAATATTTACAAAAAGTGACATTCCAAAGTGAAGTGACATCAATTGGTGACTATTGTTTTACCAATTGCATCAAACTAATAACAGTTAATTTGCCACAAACAGTCAGAACCATTGGAATTGAGTGTTTCCATGGAAGTGGACTGACAGAAATTGCTTTACCAACCAGATTGGAATTTTTGTCTAAAGGAATGTTCATTGACTGTCTCAGTTTGTCTGATGTTGTAATTGGCCAGAAAGTGTATGTTTTCAACGATTTCTGTTTCAGTGGCTGTGAGAAACTGTCTAAAATATCTATTCCTGAGTTTCTAGAAGAGATTAAACAGTCTTGTTTCAGTGGCTGTTCATCTTTATCAAAAATTGTTTTGACAAACACAGTCAAAAAGATACAGACATGGGCATTCAGAGATTGCAGCAGTTTGAGGGAAATCGTGATGCCAAAAGTAGAAAAAATAGGACCAAACTGTTTCGATTCTTGCACGAAATTATTAACAATCATAATTCCTTCATCTTGTTCAGCAATTTTGCAAAATACATTTTGGGGTTGTACTAGTTTACAAAATGTCACGTTTTATGGAAATATTGACTCAATTTCTGAATCCAGTTTTGAGAATTGTTTCAGTTTGAAGACTGTTATTTTCATGTCTGATTTGCAGAGCTTGGATGTAGACAGCTTTTTAAACTGCAACAGTCTGAAAGATATTTATTACTGCGGAAGAATAAATGTCAAAACTGACTTTTTCAATGAAAACGTGACAGTTCATTTGAGTGGTGATTCACCAGTGAATTCATTTGGAATATGCAATGTTCTCAAGGATGGAAACACTGTCTGCAAGATGCCACAGCCAACATCAGTTCCAGAACCAACATCAAGCGGAAACAAGAAGAGAAGGATTGTTTTGATTACTTTGATTTCTATTTCTTCTTTGTTACTTATTTCTATTGTTGTTTTCTCTGTTATTTTGTGCAGAAACAAGAGGAAATTCAGAGAAACACTAACAGAATCTCTTTTGTCTGTATCAAAAGAGCCATAAGACTAAAGATATAATTAGTATAAATATATTCTTTTTCTATAAATAATAAAGAATAAGATAGACAGATAAGTTTATTTATATCATTTCTTGTATGAGGTTGTTATCCTCTAATTTATACATAATTCTGTATCTTCTGAGAGAAATAACAAAAACAGTTAAGCTACAAAGAAAATTAAGAAGATCTTGAATGTTGTAAGAATGAAGAATCAAAAGTGGATTTGATTTGGAGTATTTAGAGAACAATGCTGCAGATCCAATGAGTGCAGATACTTTAACTAAAGGACAAATCGATGCCAAAACTCCTCTGTTAAAAACAATTGCTAAAGCAATGAACATCTGAATAAATGGCTCTAGCAGTGATGTATAGAATGGAATTCTGGATATTTTTGGAACATATGAAACCATTAATTCGTCATTTATCCAAATCTTCATAATTGTATACGGAGAAATGACCATTATCAATGATATTGTTACTACAGCTATTAATGGTAACAATAAACTCCAAGCAACAACTTCTATTGCACGATTTGTATTCTTTTTGTGTAAAGCATAAGTAGCTGAAGGAATCAACCCAGCCAAGCCATTGTTTATGCATACGACCATGATCTGGAACACTTTCATTGTTGTAGAGTAAACAGAACAAATTTTTGCAGAATTTCCTGTGTCCAAAGTACTTCTTTTGAGCAGCATTGAGAAGAGTATTGGCGACAAACATCCAAATGCTGTGGTATTAAGCGAAGGAAGCATCAATTTGATTAACGACCAAAAATGCGAAGAAGGTTTTCGGAGAAAAGCCGACCATTTTGGAGTAACCATCGAGAAAGCGTGCGATATAAAGAGAATGAATAAGACTGTAGATACAATGCTTGGCCCAGAAGCAAAGGCAAAGCCAATCCACTTGAGATCAAGTTGAAATGCGTAAATTAGAAGGGGATCTGATGAAAGAGATATAGTCATAACCATTAAGAGCATTATATATGATACAATTGATCGACCTGAAGCTAATAAAACTCCAGTACATAAATGCAAAGTAGAAACAAAAAGAGGAAGAAAAGAAATAGGTAACAGGTAACTTCTTCCATCATCTAGTAACGAATCTGGTATTCCCATCTTCGAAATTAATGGTTTTGTGATTGATAAAATTATTGTTGTCATAAAAGCAGCATATATCAAATTGAATCTGAACACTTCTACAAATAACTCGTTTATAGCTTGTTTATCATGCTTTGCAAAGAGTTCACTAAACTTTTTTGTGATACCTTGGAATTCGCAACTACTAAAGCTAGCAACAAGCATGCGTATGATTCCAGTTATACTAACTACAGTAATTCCATTTGTTCCGTAGCCTTTTTTAATGAAATACAAGTCGACCGAATCTTGAAATGCATGAATTAATGCAAAAATAAAGCCAGGCATGTTTAGTCTCATGGCAATTATGAATGGAGAATGTTGTCCTAACAGAACATCTTCTTTACTTACAACTGGATTCAGATTTGACTCATCATTCATTCAAAATTTTTTTTCTGAATAATCTCAAAATTTAAGAGTGAATATTCTCATCTTCCATTCATTCAAATATCTGACTATCGGCGTGCAGCGCCAATTAAAATTAACACTAATTGAAGTAAAAAACACGTAAGTATGAGTAACTTAGAGGGAAACCATCGGATTTTTAACATAATTCCTTCTAATTCTTGAAGCTCAATGGAAAAAAAATTTTGCGATTTGAATATTATGATGAAAGTAAAGCTTTAAGGAAACTCAAATGCATTGGTTATGGAGAACAGATACTTTTGGATAAATGGAAGAAGAATATAAAAAATAGATCGAAATATTATTCATTTATTACAAAAAAATAATACTATTATATCATAAAAACCATAGTAAATAAAAATGTGAACACAACATTAGTCTGTCTTTCCCATAACAGATTCAATTTTTTCCATCAAGAAAACAGCCTTTTCTTTGATGCTCTGCTGCGTGCGGTCGTTATCTGTTAGTTGCTCCAGTGCGTTGTGGAGATCCTCCCACTGATCCTCCGAAATCAGAGAACTGTCAGCTTCTCCGAGCGAAACAGCGAGAGAGAACTTCTGAATGACATCCAGACAGGACAGAACTGTTGCAGTGACTCCGCAGTTGAGCATTTCGATGATTAAATCAACGACATCTGATCTCATCAGCGAAACCATGCTTTCTGTAGATAGATGGATAATGTAAGTAGCGAGGAAGTAAACAACTTCCTTCTTGGTATCGTATTGTTCGGTCATTGCAACTTCTATCGCTGAATCAATGAAAGATGAATCAAAGAAGGGCATAATGAGGTTTGGAACGTTCGTAACGAGGTTTGAGAAGACGAAGAAGACATCGCCGCAATGTGGAGTCGCTGTAAGTGGTGTTAAGTGCTGAATTAAGTCGAGGTTGAACATTTGTTGAATATGTGAAGGATGTGAGGCGCAAAGGTTGCCAATAAGAGGTAGAACACTTGATACAAGGTCTGGGTTCTCAAGCATTGCGATAATTGAAGGAACAATGCCACTATCAAAGATATCCATGATAACTTCAGGGAGATGGGTTGTAATTGAGACAAATGCATTGAGAATTGAGCATACAGCTGCTGGATATGGCAAACTGAGCAAATCTGAAAGAGGTTTGACAGCATCGGATAAAATATTTGAATCAATGGGTTCTGAGGAATAAAATACTGATGCAATTGACTTGCAAGCATCAACAGCAACTGTTTCATCTGCTGCTTCTTGAGCAATTGACATTAATGTTGTATGAATTCCAAATGTAAGAACAGAATCGCGAGCGTACACTGAGGCATCGCAAAGAACTTTGATGAGAAGAATTGCGTTGCAGGCAAGAGTAGGATTATCACATGTTAAGTAATCCATAACATTTCCGGTTCCTACGATGCCGTTATCGATATAAGCTTCTTTCATGTTATCGGCCAGAGGAAATAGTGCAGCAAGGATGTTGATTAAATCGACTATTGTCGCCTCTGGGAAATCTGCAGCGAATGCAGCGTTCAAAGAGTCGCAGACCTGACGTGAGGTTGCAAGAGGTGTCAGGAGCTTTGGAGAAGCTGCTGCAGTAGTTAAAATATTTGCAGAAAACTCTCTAATTTTTGATGCATTCCCGGATTGCAAAATTTGAACGGCAACCTCCGGATTTAAGAAGGGATAGCGAGATGGATCAAAAAGTAATGTTCGACCTGGGTTGTTTCCGCGTTTGCCGAACACTCCTGCAATAGTCGGTCGATTAGATCGCCGCAAAGTGAGAGAACGAGTTGATCTTTCTTGTGCAAGTTCTACAGAGTAACATGTGAGATCAGCACCAGTCGTTTGGAGCTTCTTGAAGCTGCTGAAATCTGTCTTCTGAGTCATTTTGAAAAAATATAATCGTTTTAGTGTTAATTCTGAATTATGAAATAATCAGAATTAGTTGTTCATTTTAGAAAACGAGATTAGAAATTGACGATGAAGATCTCAAAATTTAACACATTTTGTCACTTTTTTGCATTCTATGGGTTTATAAATCAATTCAATAAAACTATTTTACTTTATTCTCCACTGATCTGAATAACGATTATATGCTTCGTTATTACTACCAGCCTCGAATTTGCCTCCCGCAATGATTTTATTCGATAAAATGTTCAACTTTTTATCCAAAATTATACAAAGCGGAAATTCAGTATTCGGGCTTGAATTAGTCTTTGTCTATTTGAATCTTTCCGTATTTACTTTGTACAGACATCTACTTTTTACTTTTTAGGTAAAATCTATTAAAAATATGTTATTTAAATATAAATTTGGTCTAGTTAGCTCCATGCTGTTTATAATGATTCTATTTATATCTAACTTCATAAGCTTAAATGTAATCTATCTATTTCCTAAAATTCGTACACTATATATGTTTTTCTAAGAGTCATATGTATAACCTTAATGAAATTTCATCAATAATTCCTAATGTTAGTCTATATTTTCTAATCCCAATGACTTAGTTCATAATTTTCGATAAAATTATGTTACATTTCAAGATTTGTAGAAAATCTTCAATAGAAACAATAAATATTTCAATGCAACAAATATATTTCCACCAATATCTCCCTATTTAAAAGAATCTCATAATACTATATAAAAGTGACAGTTTCCTATGAGCTCAAGCATACGTGTAGTAGATCAAAAGATATACTTGAAGATGGACAAAGAAACTCAAATATTTTCCGGATACACCGAACTGTCACTCGATCGTAGCACAGAATTCAATCCGCGTGTTATTTTCTTGAATGCACGGGAAATGCAGATCGAAAAGGTACTTATTAACAAGATGGAAGAGGTGAAATTCGATTACATCGACACTCACGCAGCTCTTGAAATGAAAGCAGGAGCATCAGGACCATTGGTCCGAGATTCTTCACATTTTGCTCGTGTTTGCAAAGATGTTCTTGATTCTCCCGAGCTTGTTATCCAATGCAATCGGGAACTTCCATACGTCCTTAGCATCTTTTTCACAATAAACAAAGATTCAACAGCAATTGTTCGTAAAGACGGTATTATCTGGACAAATAACCTTCTAGATGGTCCATCAGCATGGTTCCCATGCATAGATGGTCTCGGACAGCGCACACATTACTCTCTAGACATAACTTTTCCAAAAACTTATATTTGTGTTGGTCCTGGCAAGGATCAGCTCGTTGCAACAGATGAATCAGAAGATACAAACACAGTACGTTTCGCAATCCCCTTCACTGTCCAGCCAAAAGCCATTGGATTCGCTTTAGGAGATTTTAAATCGACATCTGTCATAAATCAGAGCGAAATATCGATTCAATACTACTCCAAAACCAACGACGAAAGCTTCTCACATACCATGGCTCCATTTCCAGAGCTTCTTGCCGAAATTGCCGAACAATTTCTTGATCAAGACAACATCATCACTTCCCTCTCAGTTGTTTACGTTCCAAGCTTACAGGAAATACACTCATTCCCAGGCCTCATACTCTATCCATCCAACTACGTTGTTTCAGACGGAAATGCCGCAGTTTGGGTCCAAATTGTTCCAAGGATTTACGAGGCCCTGATTGGCCAGTTCGTCTACTTCCTTCTTCCAGTCATAAAACCAGACGAAGAGTGGATCCAGCATGGTTTGGTCAGGTATTTCGCGGATTTCTTCTGCGGCAACCGCTACAAGACAAGCTTTTCACTCGAGAGGCGCTGGAATGACATGAACTACCTCGCAGCGGAGGATATCCACCCGTCAGTTGTCCTCAGCGCGTTGGATCCAGCAACTGGGTACCCATTTAGGGACGAATACCTCAGAATCAAGGCAAAACTTCTCATAAATATGTTAGCGACAAGCATGAACAACGATTCTACACTACTATTATTACTTCGACCTACTTTGAAAAATTCTCTTTCAAATTCAAGCGGAACAGCCGACAAATTCGAAAAGAGTGTACAGCAATTCTGCTCCCTGATCAATTTCAGGAACTTCAAAGCTCAGTGGCTCGCCAAAAACGGAATTCCTTATTTCACTTTCAATTTCCAAGCAGATGCACGTAACAGACAGATGAAATTCGTTCTATACCAGACACCATCGTGCAAGACCACAGAAGCCGACATCTTCACCGGCCATCTTCTTGTCCAATTGCGAGATCTCGAACAACCACACGAATTCAAGTTCCCTGTCGAAACACAGCTTGTCCAGCAGCAGATGAAGTACTACGCCCACAAGCCAAAGAAGAAAAAGACAAAGTACGAGTTCGTGAACGGCGAGCAAGTTGAAATTTCTATCCACCACTCCATTCTCTGGGTTGCGATTGATCCAGACCACACCTGGCTGATGAGAGTCCGTCCCCGCCTTCCCCAGTTCATGGTGCACAACATGCTCGACCTTGTGCGCGATGTTTATTCGCAGCATGAGACATTATCATCACTGGAAGAGTGGATAAAGAACAAAGACCCTCAACAGTGGCTGAAGAGTTTCCTTGAGAACAACAAGATCTTCTACGGTGTCAGAGGACACGCAGCGAGAACACTGGCTCTGTTTGCCACTCCTGATGATGTAGAGAACACAAACATGAGTACACTGATTTCCTGGTACAAAGCAGAGTTCTTTTCCAACGACAAACCGAAACAGAACAACTTCCAAGACTTGCAGAAACACTTCGTACAGCTAGAAGTGATCAAATCAATGTCAGTCATCAGGAACAACCAGGGCTACACTCCGAGAGAGATTGCAGAATTATTAATCCAGATTCTCGACCAAAACGACAACAACGGAAATCAGTACTCCGACGACAACTTCAGAGTGGAAATTGCTCTGGCTCTTGGAAGAGTCTTTTCGGACAACGCTGACATAATGAAGAGAGTGGAGCAGATACTTGTTAGCAGAGTTAGAGGAAGCCACACAAATGGCGGATTCTGCAACCATCTCTTCTCTGCGTTCTACACTGCAATCACTTCTGTTTTGCTGAAGAAATACGATCCAGAGAATCCAAATGGAATAATCAGCTCGGAAGACCACAAACTGACTGTTGACGAGATCAGAATGATTATATTCGATGACTCACCGTATTTGGAGTGCAAGGGAACTCTGTTCAAGTGTTTGCTGTTCTTCGCATTGATGGATTACAAAATTTCTTTCTCTCAGCTGTTTTCTGACGTCAAAAAACTCGCTTCTTCCAATGACAAGAAGGATGTTGCTGCTGTCTGTCTGAAGGAGATGTACAGGTTTGTGTTAAACACTCTTCCAATTGGAGCGAAAGACAAGTTCGAGTGCTACCTTTTCTTCAGACCGAACAAGATGACGAAGGAGGAAGTGATAAAGAGAATGACAATGAGAGAGAAATCACTGGAAATTGCTGAAACAATGTGGTCTATAATGACTGTTGATGCAAAATACCACTCTGTACTTAGATCAGAAGCACTCAGAGCGTACACAACTTTGTACGGAAAGGACACACCACTGCCTTTCTTGGAGAGAGAAGTGAAGAAACCTGAGGAAATTTTCGCTTCTTCTGGATACTCAAAGACAATGTTCAAGATTGAGATGAAGAGACAAAGAGAACAAATGGACAAACAATTGCCAAAGGTAGGAAATGGTACAGAACCTCCATTCAATAATAGACCAATGTTTTAATTTTCTTTTCTTTGTAATTTTTTTTATAATGTTTAATTTTTTTTTGATCTCCCTTTCTTTTTGATAAATTTTTATAATATAATGTTGGAAAAATACTTATAACTTTTTTAACAAACATATTACCCAGATTTGCTTTACTTTTACCACCTCTCGAAGGCTGGGGACACCGCCTATCGTTGGGAGTAGCTATTAAATAGAACCACCAAGGGCATTTTTCGAACTGCCGGTGTAGTGGAAACATCTGACATAATCATGCGTTATGCTAAGGTTTGATTCCGATTTAGCCAATTTTTTTCTTTTTTGGATCATGAATTTTTTTTTGGGTCACTATAAGATTGTTTCATGTTCTAAATCTGCTGCATATGTAATCTATTTTTATTTACCTATTTTTAAAAATCTATTGGATTGCCAAATTTGAATATATTTAAAATCATAAAAATCCAAAAAAACTATAAATATATGTTTTATGCATAGTGCCGATACTCAAATATCAGATTACTTAGATCCATGAATAATATCCGAATTTTTTTTCTTAAAATTAAACTTCAAAACTTCTTGCAATCTTATTCTTCATCAATTGTAAATTTTTAAAACCATTTTTTAAAATAATTTTGCGTAAATTTTATTCTCATGTTGTTTTAATCGAAAATTGATACATTTTCAAAAAAATAATATTGACTTATGAAATTCATTTTTAAGGTGAAATAGTATTGTTTTTATTAAAGTATATGAATAATATATAAAAAATTAATGAATAATATAAGCAGATTTTTAGTTTACAAAACAAATATGAGCAATGCAATTTCAAACTTTTGCTGGCAATTTCGATATTGCTCAAGTTTGTAGTATTTGTGATACCTATAACATCGGCTTAATCAAAATTCGATTTTTCTTATGAGTTATTGAGAAAATTTGATTGCAATGAGAAGGATTTCGACGTTTTTGATAAACTAAGAGCTGAGCTTTAGGGGTTCAGTTCATTTATGGCTGTAGTTTGATGCGTAGATCTCTTTTTTATTGTAAATTCTTTCAGCATGGAGATCGAGAATGAATCTTTTGAGAACTTTATGAGTTTTTACACCCGTAAAGAGGTCCTTCGAGGAAAGATAGTCCAGACTACATGAAGATGTGGGTTAACCAAAAAAATCCGATGGTTTCCCCATATTCATGTAGATCTTCGAAAAAATGAGCACCAAAAAAGCCAAAAAAATAGGCTTTTTATTGGATTTGTACACTAGATCAATAATCTATTTAGGATCTGACACTCTTTTTAGCCAGAGATATGAGGTCCTTTCTAGGAAAACGATCTATTCATCCATAAAAAAAATGAATTATCGTTTTCCCCAGAAATTACATGGGGAGTGGTAAAAGTAAAGCAAATCTGGGTACAACTTTTTTGATTGTTAACTAATTATTGATTGTTAACAATCATAATTATTGATTTTCATGATAACCAACAGCTATATCATATTGAACTATTAGAAATTCAATTGATACATTAGTATTTCAGCAATAGATTTATATGTGATTGTTATCAACATCAATTAATATAGTTTTATCACTATTAGAGTGTAATTAATACACATTACTACAAAACATTATCACATGCTTATATTATCCATTAAACTCAGATAAATTAATAGGTAATTTTTCAAATAAAAATTAATTTAAATAAGAAGTGAAGCTGATTAACAAATATTTAATACAACAATGTCGAAGTTAATAAGTACAACTAAAATTTTATTGGCTTTGAAGAATATTCTTCGTCAAATTCTCGTCTTTACCACAAGCTTCAAATAACTGCAAGACATTCATCATTGAGTATCCCTGATCGTGTAATCTATTAATTGCATCTCTTTCTGATGAAGAATACCCTGCTAAAATGGCGTCAATCTGATCTTGCAAAATATAAGTAGGATCTGAGTTAGAATCTTGTGATTTTGTCTGCTGCTGTGGCTGTGGTGGTGGAGCATTGTCTGTTGATGTTTGACCAAATATGTAATTAATAGCTTTTGTAACATCGTATCCTGTCTTTCTAAGTGCCTCTGTTGAAGACTTTTCGTCAAGTCCCATGTCAGTTAGCTGGGAAACAAGTTCTTTGAAGTTAGACGGATCTGTTTGTTCTGGAGGAGCAGGTGGTGGAATACTGGATGTATTAGTACTTTGATCTCTTAAAGATGTAGTTTTAACAGTTGGAGGAGTATATGTGGAAATCTTGGGAGGAGGCGGTGGAGGAATAGAAGATTGTTTCGTTTTTTGGGTGACAACCGTTGGTAAAATAGCGTGAAAATCTTCCTTTTGAGTTTTTTGTTTAGTTTCTGGTGCTGGTTTCGGAGGAGGAGCTGTAATTTCCGCTTCGAATTTTTCTTGATTGTCAAGCTTCGTTGCAGTCATTGTAGTGAATATAGGAAAGATCTTGACATCTTTGGCTAATGATGGACTTACTCTTTGGTCCGGATATTCGCAGAATTTTTGATTTACATCGATTTTTTGTTTAACTAAGTCAATAAAGAGATAAAGTTCATGATTTTCAATGACAGTGGCAAGGCAATCATTACCATCGACTTCAATATAGCTGGCATCTTTGTACTCCCCTTTTAATTTAAGGATGTACATCAAAATGTTTTTTTTATTTTGAGTTTGAGGCAAAAAGATCTTTCAATATTTCTTCAGTATGAAATGGAAGAAAATTTTTCTATAAAAGATGTTGTAAATTATAAGGGAGAGATCTCCCTGACTTGGTCTTCTATTTTTACTTAAAATTGTTCGGAAAATATCAAGATAACAGTCAAAATTAATTGGATTTTTTTATCAAAAGCTTTATTCAAGTGTTTTCTATTAAAATGCTATTAATGATACTTTCACGTTGTTCTATTTTTCTTTCAAACGGATCTAGTTTTATGTTTCATAAGAATATATCGAATGGGTATGCAAAGAATGCTAAATGCATTTGAAAACCATGCTATTATGCTATGTATTCTGTTCATGTTCAATGATATCGATTGATTCCATATATGAAATGAAAAATTTAATTAAATTACGATAAAATCAGGATAAATATGCATGAAATCATCATAAAATTCAATGTTAATTTCAAATTAACGTAATACTGACATATCTCTATCTGAAATTTTCAAAATTTTCTCGTTATAAATTCAGAGGAATCAAATAACTAAAGTAATGTCGCAGGAACAACGCTTGCGAAGAAGTTTAAAACAGATACAAACAAAGATCTTAAGCCTTGGACCAACAAATAAAGCCAGATGGACTGTTTTTAGTACAAATTCTGATATGTCTGTTGCACAATTTGCACGTAGAATGGCAACCTACGGAATTATGCTAACTTCAGCAGATGTAACAGCTATGTGGAAACTTTCAGGCTTAAATTCTCAACAATTAACGTTTAAAGACTTCGAAAATTTACTTAAAGCAGATATTCCTTCATCACCGACTTCGTCTCCTTCAAAACAAAAGAAAGATTCACCAATTCCCCGACCAAAACTTGCAGGACCAGTGATTGATGATAATGATGACGTTCAAACACCAACATCAACTGCAATTGACAATATTCAAGCAATGCTATGCAGTTGCAGACGTGCGCTGCTAATGAAATGCTTAGATAACGATCCGAAAACAACTGGAAGAATTTCAAAGAAACAGTTTATAGATAATTGTTTATGGTTTGGTACATCAGATCAAGATACCGTTACAAGCATTACTAACTCTCTTGATGAAGATCATACAGGATTTGTTAATTATATGGCTTTTGTTGACTTTTTGTGCGGAATGAGCACAGAAACAGAGTCATCATCAGTTGTACGATCAAGTGTAGCTTCATCAAATGAAATGTATCAGCAAAAATCGCAATCTCCGCCTCCACAACAAAGTTCACCGAAAGAACTTCCAAAAATACCTCCAACCCCTCCAAGAATATATTCACCAAGATCATATGATACATTTGCTTCTCCATCGAAGCTTGTTGCCGAAAATTCTGAAGAAGATACTTTTGATTTACCATCTAGTACTTCTCAGTACCAGAAAGATGAACTTATCTTTGGCGAATATGCAACTCGTCGCATTGGTGGCTCAGCCGAAAACTTAGGACCAAGAAGAAACTTAGATCCAACCATATTTGGCTCTAAACCATCATATGACCCTGTTCCACGCCAAAGACTGCTATCAGCTGATGAAGTCCGTAACGCAGAAGTGGTCGGAAACCTTCCTCCTGGAAAAGCTGTTGAATTAATCTCTCAAAAAGTATTCAAATTCTTCCACACATCAAAACAAGCCTTTTCTAAGTGGAGACAAGACGATCTTCTATCAGCAGATGATCTCCGCGATGGTTTGGCCAGAGATTGCGGAGTGAAGTTCCCTCGCGAGGACATTGCATTCATTGTGCAGCACTACGGTGGACCAATGAATATTTCTACGTTCGCCAGAATGCTTTCTGATGGAAACCGCCTCACAGAATTAAATCGCAGTCCAAATGGAAGAGTTAGAGAGACAGAAGACGAAGAAATGATAAATGATATAGCAGGACAGATAAGGAGAGATGGCTGGGAAGATATAGTTTTGAGATGTTCAACAGCTGAAGAGTTATCAAACGGATTCCTTGAATACGGCGTTAAAGTAACTCCTGAAGTTCTTCACACTCTGGAGTCTAAATACGGCAAAACAGGATTAATTGACGCTCTGAGACTCAGAACAAGATAATTTATTTTTAATTTATACATATATAGATATATTTTGTTTTATATAATAAAAAATAGAAATGTTTTAGTTCTATAAACCATCAAATATAACATTATTTATTTTAAAATTAATAATATTTTTAACAACATACTCTTTCGTTTTTGGCATTATTCTTGTCTTGGTCAGATAGCTTAACTTCATCAACAATTTCGTATTCAACCTTTAAACTTTGTATCGCGCTTAAAACTAAATCTAAACCCATTCCATTATATGCACTAACTCCTATACACTCTAAACCATCATGATGAGCTTCTTGACATAACGTGTCGTAAGTTAATTTGTGAGTTTCTAAATCCATTTTGTTTAAAAGTACTTTTATTTTAGCAGATGGTTCATCTCTACTAATAGTATCCAACCAAAATTTGTATCCATTCAGTGATGTTGGAAAATCTGTTGAGCAAACAATAAATATTAAATTTGCACCGCGAAAAACAAGTGGTGCAACTGATCTGAATCTCTCTTGACCTGCTGTATCCCATAATATAAATGATTTATCGCCTATTTTTAATTGATGACTTAAAGGTCCGATTGTTGGATCAAAATCGAAATTTTGATCAGCGTGATTTTGATTAACGAGTGAATTAATAATTGTGGTTTTGCCTACAGATGCGTCTCCTATGAAAACTACCTTCGCTACATAAGATTCTATTTTAGACATTTCAAATTAAATTTTTTTGGAAAAATACAACGAAAAAATTGAATTTCAATGTCACGTTTAGGATCCTAAAATTTTGATTGCAAAAATGTTAATTATAAGACATGCAATAATTTTTAATTTGCCTGATTTTGAAAGTTTTATTCAATGGATGTTATGTCACTTTTCGAGCATTTTCCAAAACATGGATTCTACCTACACAAATAGCTTAGAATCCCAAATATCCAGTGAAAATCCAGATAAACCATCACAAGTATTAGAGTACATGACGTTTTTCCCTACGTTTATGAACATATTGAATACTTTGACTGGCCCAGAAGTTTTAAGTGTCAGTAATTCAATGACATTGATCGGTTTAGTTTATTCAATATCTATGATGGTCGGAACAACAATTTTATCTTATCTAGGAACTATCATTGTTCTAAAATTACGTGAATCAGTTGATGCTGAATCCATTAACGAGTTGGCAACAAAGATCGTTGGAAAATGGTGCGGAAATGCTTATTCTATATTAACATTATGCTTTACTTACTCGTGCCAAGTAGCATATTTATTTATTGGTGCAGATTCCATTATTAAATGGGCAGACTTACTAGGACTTCATGGTTGGGATCATGGAATGAAGAGAGCCTTATTGGTTCTTATTTATGCCTTAGTTTTACCTGTATTATTAACAATCCCACGTGAACTTAAGATTTTAAGTATTGTCTCCACAGGAGCTATTTTATGCCAAGTTCTTTATGTCTCTGGAATGATTTACGAAGCAATCAGAATCTTTCCATCTAAAGGAATTGATCCATCTTGCGAATCATACATTGGAGGCCTCGTTTTCTTCAATGCTTTTGCTATATACTCCATGCTTTACGCATTCCCATCTGTTGTTTTGCCTCTTGTCAGGTATTATCACCCAGATATGAGAAAGAGATACTTTTTGATCGGTTCTTCATTCGTCGCATGCTTCTCTATTACTATTATACCAGGAACAATCGGTTATTTGTTGTTCGGAGCAGGAACAAATCAAATTGTTATTTCTTCTTTCCCCAATAACGATATATTCATGCAGATTGTTCGTGTTGGCTTCTTCATCGTTGTTAATGCATCGTTTGCTGTCGTTTCCATTACAGTTATGCAAGATATTAGTTCAATTTGCTACAAAGTCCAGAATCCAGCAGATTTACCATTCTGGAAGCGTTTGTCAGCATTAATTATATCTAACGCACCTCCTGTCATCATTGCGATGTTTATGTTAGAAATTCGACCAGCTTTTGAAGTTGGAGGAGCATTTGGCGGCTGTCTTTCTAATTTCTTTGTTCCTCCTCTTCTTTACGTCATTCTGAGTAAGAAGAAATGGTACACTCCACTAAATATTCTAATGCTGATGTTCTCTCTCTTCGGACTGGTTTCGGCAATCATCGCTACTTATCAGGCTGTTGTTGATGCAATGCATCCTGACAGTTAAACTCTATTCTATTCACTACTTTCGTTATTTATTTAGAATAAATGTCATATTTGCGTGAATATTTTTTCTGTCTCAATTAATAATAATATTATTAGAAGTTTTACATCTTTAGATTTAATGATTCAGTTGGGAATAAATTTGAATTCGAAACACAATAAGTGGACAAAGAGTTCTGAATAGAAAAATATAATCTTTCAACTCATGCAACACAGATTAAAATATGTCTTTTCTGTTTGAAAGTCGAAGTTATGGAAGCGAATTTATTTTCAATTCTTACTAAAACACACTGGAATTATAATTCCATCTGAATGAGTTGGTCAAAAATATGCTTTGATAGTTAATAAAAACATGGTACAAACAATAATATTTATAAAATTAAAAATGAGCAAACAAACGCTCGATATGTCTAGTATTAGTGATCTGCTTTATGTAGCCATCATCATAAAGTTTCTTTGGTGGTCTAAACGCAGCTCTTCTCATCTCAGGAATTATATTTTCTTCAATTTGTCTTTTTATATATTGAGAATCAGAAACATCTGATTCATTAATTGCAAACAAATCACTTAAACAATCAATAATGCCGACAAAGATAGAGTCAATATCTTTCAATGTCATAGAGTTATATAAACCAACAAGAAAAGTCGGAATATGAGAAAGAAGTGGTAAATATCCAGGAACAACAATTGGAAGAGAAATCAATGAAAATTCTTCATCAATTTCGATTTTGAAGTTAACTAAAAGATAGTTCCTGTACTTCTCTATTATTTTATAGTCAATATCTATAATGCTATCATTGTAGTTTTTCATTTCTTCATATATAGTTTTGATGTCAATTTTTCTGTCAAAAACAAAAACTCCAAAATTTCCAACGAATTCCAAAGAAATTTGTCTGAAGAATTCTTTCGTTATCTGGTGGAGATCAATGATATAAAGAGCCTCAGAGACATCCACAAGAATATACTTGAGGCCAATAAAACCAACAAGTTTCATTGCAACAATAAAATTTGAAAGTTGTTTGCATTCAACTAATTTTATGTCACCTTTTAAAGCTTCGATGAATTTCTTATCATGACTTTCATCATTTGTTAATTCTTTTTTCGGTTTAGTTGCTTTATCTTTTGATATCATAAGGAATCTCTCAAGTGTCAAGAAATCATGTTTCTTCTCTATTTTCTTTGGCTTGAATTTGATTTCTTTGAACAATCTTTTTCTTCTTTCGACCAACATCTCTTTTGTTGCATCGTTTTCATCAAATTCATCAAGAAAATGGGCTTCGACATCTTTCTGTTTCTCTTCTGACTCAATTTCCAATTTAGTTTTCACATAAGAATTTTTTCTCAAAGGAGGAATTTCGTCGTGAACTTCCTCCGAATTTGTAAAGTTCACAATTTTAGTTTTTTCTTCTCTCTTTGAATAAAGTACTTTTAGATGCTGTTCTACCTTAGATAGTATGACATTTGCAATAAATTTCTCTCTTGCAATAAGCACAGTCTTTTTTGCTGGATGAACATTGACATCTAAGTTTTGAGATGAAATTTTCAACAAAACAATGAAGAAAGGAATAACTCCTGGCTTTGTATATTGATCATATAGCTTAGTTATTCCACGCTTAATAGTATCGTTGTGTACAAGCCTTCCATTTACGAAAACTCCATTGATTTTCATCATTTTCTTCTTTGGAGAGCCAAGAAATATAGCTGCTGATGCAGTTTTGGTAATTTCGAAATCTAATCTTGTTGTATCTTGATAAGAAAACAATGATCTGAGGACATCTTCGTGTGTTGCCATTCCAGAAGATCTGATTTTATCTTTGTCATCAACAAACAGTGAAAATGCAACGTTTGGCATCGCAACACAGTATTTAAGCATCAAGAATATGACTTTTCTGTTTCTGAGTCGAAAATTTGGAAGAGAATTTAATCTCTGTTGATTTCCGAGGAAAATATTTTGTGCAGTTATGGTTGTCCCTTTTGTGCAAGTACAACTTTGTAGTTCTCCTATAAGGTCTCCGTTGTAATAATTTCCTAAAGTTCCGAGAGTTGTGTCTTTTTGATTTGTCTTGATAGAAAGATTACTGATGCATGATATTGAGAAAAGTGCTTCTCCTCTGAATCCGAATGTTTGCAATTCGGCAATATCTTTATATGAAGTTATTTTTGAAGTAGTATGACGCTTGCAAACAAGTTCCATATCTTCATCACTGATACCACATCCATTATCTGATACCTCAATGAGGGTGGTACCGCCTCCTTTAAAAATTATTGAAATTCTATCAGCACCAGAGTCTAGTGCATTTTCTAGTAGCTCCTTGAAGACATTTATTGGGCCATGAATAACTTCTCCAGCTGCAATTCTTTTAATGACTGTTTCATCCAGCTGATGAATTATACGCTGCCCAATCAAAATAATTTTATTGAACCAAGATTGGTCATTCAACATACACTATCAGCAAAAAGGATAGAATCAAAGTATTGCATCATCATTGCCGAGTAATGTTGCGATTTATTTTAGAGAAATGCTATTTTCTTTGTTCTATTCCATAAATATCAATGTTAACAAGAATTGTGATTATTTGCATGATAGGTTATATAAAACAAAGGATTTCTCAGGAAAATCATCCAAGGAATCAGATTTTTATTTGGATTCTGATCATATCTGCCTCAGGTATGATGAAATATGAAATAATTTTGAAAATATCAGAATTCCAATTCTATCGTTCAAATTTTTTTACATTATGAAAAAGAGTCCATCAATTCCACAGCTCTTAAATAAGAATGTTCAATTCATTGCCAATCCAATTTGCTGGGTATTCTATGCTTTCCTTTTCTTTGCAGTCCGTGTTATTTTAGCAGGCATGGGAATTTCAACAGCTGCAGCTTGGACATTAGTCAATTTCATTCACGGTGCAGTTTCATTCTCCGTCTTCCATTGGATCAAGGGCACACCATTTATTGATGATCACGGCGCTTATTCTACACAAACATTCTGGGAGCAAATTGATGAATCTGCTATGTTTGACTGGGCTCGTAAGTTCCTTACAATCTTCCCAATCTTCCTTTTATATCTTGCTTTAGATTCTGGAAAATGGGAACTCGCAGTTGCCTGGATTAACCTTCCAGTTACAGCTTTAGTTCTTATTCCAAAGCTTCCATTCATGCATGGAGTTCGTATCTTCGGCATTAACAGCTAAATTAATGCTAATTTACTTTTTGATATATTATTATGCAATTTCTAATTTCATAAAAACAAAATATACTATAAAAATACGAAAACATACCAAATTGTAGCTTCGGTTTTGACTTATACTTTCATATTTTTTATTCGTTTTCATCATTTCTCTAAATTTAAATAAAGAACACTCCAATAAGATGTGCCAATGACAAAGACATTATACCAAATCTAAATATTTCTATTGTTTTAATTAGATTCAATTTTCTTAGAATTTATGCGTTTCAGTTATATTTAACATCATAATTCATCATCACACATTGCAAACGCTGGCTATTTTCAACTAATACATTCATTTTTTAGTAAGTTTTTTTAATCAATTGATCCCGAAAAAATCACAACAATCAATTTTCTCAATATTTAAAGATTCATATACTCGATCCATAACAGAGTTAATCATCATAATTACATCGGTTTTTGTTCTATTCGGAACAAGCAAAAAACAAATTTCCCGACCAGATTTTAATATAACACAAGATAACACTTCGATTATTCCTGATTCAGTCTATATTACTGATATCATATCTTCAGCAGCTGATATTGGAATATTTTTTCAACAAATGAATTTATGGATAAAAGAAGTCAAAGAAAAACCAAATTACTACTTAGAAACAGCAATGATTGAGTCAGTATATGACGCAGTCAAGAATATTGGATTAGATTTCAATTTCACAAAAGGAGTTATCAAAAAATTCAAGACTGAACTAAGTAGTAACCAATTTAATGTACTATTATTTTTTGAATCATTCGAAAGGTTTACAAAATCACAATATCAATGGTTTCTTAGACTGAATCCGTATACTTATTTCAATCCGACAGCTCTCGATAAATTCATTAAAGAGCTAAATCAAAAATATGATCCTTCAATGGATCCAGTTATTAAAGGAGCAGTTTTTGATAAATCAACTACAAGACTCTTGATTTTAAGCGGCGGACTCCTGATTTCTAGAAAAGCTGCTGAGGAGCTTATTTGGCATAGCGGGTTAATGAAAATTAATTGGATGACATCAGGAAAAATTGAAGATTTTTCGACAATTGATTTCATTGAGTCAATTACTTTAGCTTACATGGACACCCATAATTCTAGATTTGCTTCAATGCATCTTGACCAACAAAATTCAGAATTCGTCAAAACAATTAATTTCAACGTTCCACAGTGTTCAGAACAGGTTTTTAACGGCGAGACCACCATTAGTGGCGTTCCAATAAAGGATTTGATAACTTTATCTTACATCAACACTCAATATCTCATGATGGAACTTTATCCTTATGTTAAGTATGCACCAAACAATATATTTTTAGCAACTGATCAAAACCTAACCTATTCGTATATCTGCAATGGCGGAACCAATAATGCAGAGAATTGGAAAGATAGATACGTATAATTATATCTTTATTTTTGTTTGTAACTTAATAAATATCTAACCATACTAGAACTAAGACTATTCGCCTAAGATAATTTTCTATCAGAGCAATTTTTCAACAATTTCGATTCGAAATATCATGAAATAAGCATGATATGGAATCAATGCTACAAAAATAATTCAACAGTATATATCACAAGCTCATTTGTATTTACAATTATTTGATCGCATCAATCGGGATCAAAAAAATTAACAACTTATGAACAATTCCATTTTCCATATTCTTATCTGAGATCTATGGTTGGTGATATATTTCGAAAAAATTCGGTTGAACTCTTCCAAAATTAATTTATGACAAATCTTTGCCCTCTCTGCAATCGCTCTCCAATTTCAATGCAAGTTGGCTGTTGTGATACATGCGGGGAAATGATGAATGGTAAAGTCGGTGACCAAATCACCTCTCAGATTTCGCTTTCATCACCAATTATCCCTTCTGACGTCATAGATAATTGCTCAGTAGCTGTATCTCGTTCATTATCGGGCACTACTTCGTGGTGTTCATCAGACATTAAAAAGAAAAAGTTAAAATATTATGAAGAAATGGGCAATTGGATAGATAATATAGAAGTTTTAGAAAATATTGACATAAATTCGCCACTACCAATCGACAAGAACGAAGCGCCAAAGACAATTCGAGTTGCTACTTATCTTTCATTTTTAATCAATTTATTTCTCTTATTAGCAAAATCAATTGCTATTTCATCCTCGATATCATACACGATCATATCATCATTGGTTGACTCATGTCTCGATTTGATTGCAGGCATGATTATTTCTTGCACTGCCGCCCATTCTAAATTCACTTTAGATGATCTGAAAAAGTACCCATTAGGAAAATCCAGAATTCCTGTCGTAGGAATTCTCGTTTTTTCCATTTTAATGGCCTGCTGCGCTTTATATATTGCAATTCAATGCATAATGAGTCTAATTGAGCACGAACCTTCACCGCCTACAACACATACAGCAATCCATGTTATGTGGTGGACGATTTTTACAAAACTCGCGATGACAATTGTTTACAGCTTGTTAGATCATCCAATTACAGACACTCTCGCCGAAGACCACCGAAATGATGTCCTTACAAACTCATTAGGGCTGTTTATGTACTGGGGCGGCGCTCATTTCTACTGGTGGATGGATTCTGTTGGAGGAATCATACTTTCAGCATTTGTTCTACAATCCTGGGTCCAAACAGCCCTGGAAAATGCGCAAATGCTGATGGGACAGTCAGCTCCAGACGAATTGATCAGATCTATAACTTATGTTGCAGCTTCCCACCATCCGCTTATCATCGGTGTTGAACAGGTCATTGCTTTCCAGGTCGGACCTAATTTCATGGCAGAAGTTCATATAATTTTGCCAGATAACTTGCCACTTCGGATCACTCATCATATCGGCGAAACGCTACAGCTGAAGATAGAAAGAATCCCAGAGATTGAACGCGCTTGGGTTCACATTGACACTGAAACGCATAATGACTGCGAACACGTACTTACAATGCGAACATCAAATAGCATTCCTAGTTTTTCAGACAATTATAATCATTTTCAATCTGTTTGATTTATATAAAAATTGTATTATATTAATTTTATTACTCATAACAAAGAAACCACCAATCAAGTCTAATACATCTCATAAGGGTTCTATCAAAATCAGTATTTAATTAATTTTTTTTATGTAAAGTGTATTTTTATTAGAAATTGATATGGAAGTAATACTGAGAAGTAAGCCATAATATACATTCGAAAAATATCCAATATTTTCTCTGAGTTTTTATTGCAATATTTATTTAAAACAAAGTCCATTTGGATGGTGGTGGTCTTGCTCCACGTGCAATGTTCCAATATGTCAGTCCAATAAAGATAAGGAGCATTACTGAGACGATCAAAGACTGACTGAAGATTGATCCCATTTTTCCGCGGTTAATTGCCAAGGAGATCATGAAGAACCAAGCACCCCATAAAAATATTGGATCTAATTTCATCAGAAAAGTCATACCCATTGTTAACATCATAGTCATTTGATCTGCTGGATCTGGCTGATATTGTGGCTGATGTCTAATCTCTTGTGCTGCTTCGCGTGATATTGTAGGTTGTTCAATTGGCTTTGGCTGTTGCTTTTGATGTTGGCTCATAATATTTTAAAAATTAGAAAGGGGTTTTATCCTTTGGTGGAACCTGTTTTTTTAATCTTAATGTCAAATGATGGAATCAAAGTTATAGTTCACGATGATATATATTATAGTCTTCATTCAGATACACTACAAAGGGATTTTATCAGATCAGCTTCAATTCATATTTCAAAAAATCCAAATTTATATTCTTTTGAAAGCTTACCTGCATTCATACATTATCGACCATTGCCTCCATTATACCAATTTTCATCACCAATAAGAATTAACTGTACAAAAGGTGATGTTCCTCGTTGCCAAAAATGTCACTGTTATTTATCACCATTTGTCCAGATTAATCAACAAATGCATGCATGGTATTGTCCAATATGTAATACCACGAACTCCACAATTCATTTTACGCCTTTATCTGACATGAATGTAAATAAATTTGATAGAGAAGAATTACACAATCTTGTATACGACATTATTCCACCTCGTAACCAGCTGTTAAAGAATGGAGAAGCTCGCTGTTTCCTTTTTATAATTCAAGAAGATTTACTAAATTTTGGTTCTTCTTCGCAAAATAACCTAATTCAAGCACTTGAATCTGCTGTACAGAACTTTAAAGAAAATGATAAAATAGGATTGATCACTTTTTCATCAGTTGTTACTTTATATAACTTAGTTTCATTGAAAGCAATGTCATATTCAGAATTTGACACAGAATTAGTTACAGATCCACTGACACTAGTAAATGCAAGGGAATTTTCTCAAAATTTCATTTCCTGTGTTAAATCAAGATCAAAATTAGACAAAATCTCATCCCCACGTTTGTTTACAGCTCTCCAATGGGCACAGAATTACCTCAAAGGTCTTGGAGGCCGCATTTTACTATTTACAAGTGGAAAATTCGATGAAAAAAATTTAGATTTAATTTCTGATTTCAAATCTGAGAGTATTTCACTTTCTGTGTTTGCACAGACACCAAACTCTCATTTAGATTCATTAGCACTAGCAACAGGAGGCTATTCAACCCATATTTTTGATGATTCTTTGTTATCTTCACTTTTTGGTGTCGAAACAGGATGGGATTCATCAACAGTATTTAGATATGATTCAAGAGTTGCAAAAATAGGACCAATTCTCAGTGGTTTCTCCAACAATTCTGAAGAAGTCCTAAAACACCCCGTAATTGATGAAACCATGTCAATTACTGTACCTCTGAGCATCATTCCAGGTTCATCTGGAGTATTTACATTCCAATTTGCGACAAGATTCACTACAGATCTCGGAGAAAGACTAATTAGAGTTGTAAATGGACAAATGCCAATATCAGACTTTTGTCCAATGCCGTATGATACATCAGCAATTGCTTTGTATATACTAAGACTCAATGCAATGAATATTTTGAAAGATCAAATTTCGTTTACGAAATCTATGCAAGATTTAAAGAAATCTATAACTTTAAAGGACTTACCTCTACTTATATATACTGGAAACATGAGAGAGAAGTCAATGTTGATGAGTTGTTCTGTAGAAAGATTTGGATTTTCAGTTTTAGTGACAGTGTTCGTAGTAAATGAGGTTAATTACTATGTTCTTTGGACACCAAAGAAGGTTGTTGTATATCCAAAGCCAAGTGACCAAGAAATTAAATTAATTCAACAAATCTCACGCCAAAAGGGACTTATTATGACATCAATATATTCACCAGAAACTGTTGAAGAGTTTCAATCTATATCAAGAACGGAACAAGAAGCATTTGATTGGTTCCAAAGATTATGATATAATATTATGTTTGTTTATAATAAAATTTGTTTGTCTATCCTTATACACTTCAAATATTACAACAAATCTATATACAATTGTAAATTTAATTTACGAAACTATAAATTTGTTTTTCAGTATATTATTTTAAAATAATTTGATCGCAATCTAGATACATATCTTCGATGCGAAAGAGTATTCACTTTTTATTAATGCTTCCTTTACTGACAATTTGGTATTCGATTGACCATGATAGCGAAAAAGATTTCTTGAAAATATTTCCAAGTATCACATCTATCATATTCTTTTTCAACCCGTGGTGCGGCCATTGTCAAAGAGCGAGGCCTTTATTTCAAGAATTTGCAAAACAACATGAAAATCTAACAAATTTCGTTATTGCTGAAATTGATTGTATGCACACAGATGTTCTTTGCAAAAGACAAAACGTAAATGGATATCCAACAGTAAAATTAATCGATGAACAAAGAAATATTCACGATCAACTAAACGGAGAGATCTCAGTAAGGTCACTCAATAACTTTTATTGGGAGAAATCTTTAAAACACTTCATAAAATCCGCAAATGATATTGAAATCGCAGAAAAGATTACTAATATAAAACAAACATCAGTTCTAACGTATTACTCCAATCAATATGATGACAAATCAGTTGAAGAATCGTACAAAGAGAAACTTTTAGATCTTCCTAATCCGAAACCGGAAATTTTTATAAAACATGCATCAAAGAGACATATATCAATCGTAAGAGATTCAATCTTCAGCGATCCAATAGAATTACCTTCGAATTACTCTTCTGAAACAATTTCAAATTTTTCTTTGTCTCTTTTACCAGAACTTGATACCAACATAATTAACAGATTCAATAACTCGCAAAGAATCATTCTCACATTCATTTTACCATCATCAAAATATTTATCAGAAATAAAATCGATAAAAAAGACAATTCTACCAATATCTCAATCAGTACAGTTTACATATGCTATTTACGATATTAAAAATCCATTAATTTTTGAGTTAGAAATAAGAAGACCAAGTCAAATCAGTTTGTACGCAATAAACATGCAAACAAACAAATATTTGCAGTACAATGGTAAATTGAATACAAGGAATGTTGCAAAATGGGTTGCTTCAGTAGAATCTTCATTTATTAACGTGAATTTGAGAGATTACATCATATTTGACCATGTAAATGAATGGAAAACAATGTTTATCATATTGACAATGGCAATAGTTCTATATCAGTCATTCAACATAAGAAAGAAGATTTTAAACAACAAATACTACGATGTCCTCACTGATGAATCTGCTGATGTTAGAGATTTGATAATATCTCAACCAGAAATATAATAGTTTTATATTTTTTATTTCTTTTGTTTGTATATAAAAAATTATATGATTTTAAAATGATATCAAAGTGATGAAGTAGATTTCTTATCAATCTTATTAACATAATTCATTCAGAAGAATTCAAAAAATATAGCTAAGTTTTGCAATAATCATTGATATGATTTTATTACGCAAAACTGAATTCTATCAACAAGAATCAAACAGAAGAAACTTATAATAAACTATAACCAAGCATCCATACTTGGGCATGTTATATGAAACAGTAAGAGGAATGTTTAGTATTGGTATTGAAATACAAATTTCTCTCAATACTAACTTGATTTAAATTTTTCATATTCTCTATTATTTTTTCTCATTAAGTGAGAACATTTATTCGGGCTCCTTTTTAATGAATTATACAGAAGGAGACTATGCATATGATTCCTCAAAGTAATATTCCAATCTATTGAATCTATAAAAAAATTGTATAATTTCTCAAAAAAATAACAAATATTTTATATATTTCTAAACAATTGCATGACAACTCATTTCAGACACCCAGTTCTGAGAAGAAGAAATATCACTCCAGTTGAAGTTGAAGTTTGCCTTCAGTGCTGCTATCAGTCCCTCGTTCTGTTTGTCGTTCTTTCCGCACTTAATTATCTTTCTAATTGCCTTTCTTTCGTTTCCTGGCGGAATTTTCTCTGCAACACTCAGAGGAACGTCAATGTTCTTGCAGACAATGGATCCAATGGCCTCAATCGCAAACTTACTGTTGATACTAGTAGAAGCACCAACAATATACTTAATAAGTTTCTTTCTGTACAAATCTTTCGAAATTATGAGAAATCTCGCTGTATAAATCAACGCGCGTGAATATCTGTAATATCCAGGCATGTTGTTGTCGTTCTCAACCAAATCTATCAGAAAAGTGATCAAATTCGAAACCAAATTTTCGCATTTCGCCATGAACAAAGGAGCGGAAGCAAATGTTGCGCACAGCTTGCAGAGGTCCCTGTACTTCTTCTGCTTGCGAAGGCTCTTGATGTACTCGAAGATTTCGCCTTGTTTCGACACAATGTTCGTATTTATCGATTTGTCCAAAAGTCGGGCCATCAAAACCGGAATAATCGGCAATTCTGACTTCATGGCCTTTCCCACGATGTCTATGATCAATTTGCTGTCGGAATTGATCAGGGCGGTGGATCTGTCGGGGAATTTGGTCAGATAGTCGGTGAAGTAGGTCAGGAAGCCTATAAATGTCCTCGGCATGAAAGATGTGGGAGATCTGAAGTAAATTAAGGCTGTTTTCAGGTTGATACAGTCAAGAGCGGCCAATCTAATGTTCCTCATCCATATCTTATGCGAGTGGTAGCTCATGTAGTTGCAGTACCGCTCAAATTGGCAACTCAAAGACAAAATGTCGAGACAAGCTGTTGTCATTATGAAGGAATGGTCCCAGAACTGCATGATGGACATGGAGAACTCGAAAAATGGCTCAACAGCTGACGCGTCCCATAAAATTCTGGAAAATTTTGATAAAACTGTAGGAACCCAACGATCTATTAGGTTATTGTTGAACCTTATGCATAATGTATATGCTGCTTCTACTAAAGATTGATTTTTATCGATATTTCCAACTAATGAATTTAAAAATTTGTAACAAAGCCTTCTAAACGAGGAATCCATGTATGTCTTGATCATAGTATCAACTATTGTGAATATTTCCTTCCTGTTTTCGTTGATACACTCAATTGTTGCCAAAGATCCAGATAAATACAGTCCGCAAACGATCATTGTGTCTGCAAGCTGTCTAAGACCAGCCACATTCTGGTTTAGAGTGTAGTAGCGCGTTCCGTATTGAAAATGGTACATGAATTCCGAAGATTTCAGAAAATGTCTGAAAAGAATGGCAAAAGCGTCCTGCCACGTGCCACAGCTAGTGACTTTGTTGTACAGAGCGTATGCTTCAGCGAACATCGTGTCCAGATCTTGTGTATTCATGTAGACATAAAGTAATAAAAGTAAATCAAACGTATCCAAGAAAATTCGACGATAATTTCCGAGAAAAGTGATGTCGAAACCGGAGTATGAGTAGGCCAAAAGCGAAAATGGCGGTAAATCGTTCTCATTTACGATTTTGCTCATGTCGAAGTTCAAAAAATTGAATAATAATGGGTTAAGACATGACAACTTGACGATATCGGAGAGAAACATGGAGCCTTCTTCTGGTTTTCGCTTGAATGCGGAATTTGCGAGAAATGTCATGATGCTGGACGTAATTACGAGTACTGGGAATTCATTGTTGGTCTTGAGGGACTGGTAGAGCTCGTCAATATAGAATTTGCAGAGAGTAAAAATGGTTTGAAACTGATCATATGGTAAATCAGGGTTGTAGAGTGCTCCAATGTTCAGGTATAGTCCCAACTTGCTGTTTTTTATGTCCGGATAAACAAGTGTTATGAGTTGGATAATTCGAGATGATTTTTCTGGCTGTTGGCATAGTAAATATAGCTGTATGATGTCTATTATGTCGCTTTTCTTGGGATTTTGAGTGGTTGGAGGCAAAATTTTGGCAACAAACTCAGGATTCCAAGTTTCTTCGATATCATAATCAATTGGTGGCGTAATTAACGCAATTTCTTTATTTCTAGCGACAAATTCTTTTATTGCGTCCTCTGTTGCTAATAATCCTTGAATAAGTTTTACTTGGAATTGTAAATGATCTGTAGATTTCGCTAGATCCATATTATCATCTGCCTTACTCTTCTTTCTAATAGATTCGACAAAGTTTCTAAATGAATCAGCCACAAAATAGTCTATTCGTGGATATGTAGTGGACGCATTCATTAAAACTTTATGATTTTGTTTGCTGTTTCAGAGTCAGATTTTGATTCGAAATCAAGGAAAAATGTTTTTGGATATGAAATCAAAGGGTTTTGCTTTTTTGAAATTTCAAAAAAGTGAAATTAAAAAGATCATTGCTTTCTGACCATTTTATTGAAAAACAGAAACAAATACTTTAAAAAACACGATTCATAAAGTTTAATTCGAAAAACATTTGAGATAATCTAAAATTTCCAAAAAAATTTTATTATTTATGAAGATCCAAAAAAATAAATATTTCCTTTTACTCAATAACGACATCTGTAAGGTGAGCGAACTTCTCTGTGAAGGCCTCTGGTGTCATCTTGCCGGCAGCAGCGACGCGGGCGACGAGATCCTTGTTCTCGTAGTCCTTCTTGCTCATGCGCCACATGTAGACACGAGCGACCTTGAATGACTGTGATGTAACATCGACAAGGCGTGTGCGGACACGGCCTGTAGCTGGGTCGAGGAGGTCCTTGAACTGGACTGGCTTGACCTGGCCGTTCTCACGAACGATGAGGGCAGCGGAGTGGCCGTTGAGGAAGGCATCGATAGCACCGTAGCCGAGCTCACGTGTGTAGACAGCATCGAAGGCGACTGGATCAGCGCAACGAAGTTCGTAACCGATCTTCTTTGGTGTGATTCTGATGCCGAGGTTGCCAAGGCGCTTGAGGAGTTCCTCGGAGAGTGAACGAGCGAGTTCAGCATCATCGAGGAGGATGTGGCCGTGTGGATCTGTTGGTGGTTCGCGGTTGCCGAAGAGTCTGTAGAGAGCCTTCTTGGACATCTTGGAAACGAGGCCTTCTGCAAGAACGCAGACACCGTAGTTCTTTCCGTAAGCAAGGCGCTTAAGGATTGTAGCTTCGACGAGTTCGACAACATCTTCGAATTCGATTTCGTCCTGCTTGAATTCTTCTGGGATGAGGCAAAGGTGGGCACCAGAAGCTTCAGCCATGCCGAGAGCAAGGTGACCAGCAGAGCGGCCCATAGCTTCGACAAGGAACCAACGTGGGGCAGACTTGGAGTCAACCATGAGGTTGCGGATGATTTCCATACCAAGGGAGCGAGCTGTGTGGAAACCGAATGTGGACTGGTCAGCTGGGAGTGGAAGATCGTTATCGATTGTCTTTGGGCAGGAGATGACGGAGATCTCGTTGCCGTCCATGCCTTGGGCAACAGAAACAGCAGATGAAGCTGTGTCATCACCACCGATTGTAAGGAAGTAACGAACCTTGAGAGCACGGAGGCACTTACGAACGTTCTCCTGGAGTTCTGTGGACTTACGTGGGTTAGCACGGGATGTCTGGATGATTGTGCCACCCTGGAAGTGGATACGAGAAACGATATCGTATGTAAGGTCGATTGTGTGGGCCTTTACTGTCTCAATATCGCCTGTGCAGAGGTACTTGAAACCTTCCATGAAGCCGATGACCTTCCAGCCAAGTCTGAGAGCATAAAGTGTGGCACCAGCAATGACACCATTGAGGCCTGGAGCTGGACCACCACCGCAGAGGATACCGAGAACAGGAGCTTCTGTGCTCATTTAAAAGTGAAACGAAAAAACAGAATCACAATTTTTTGTATGTCAATATTCAATAGTTTGAATGAGGATTGGTCGCATGCTTTTTCAAACAATATTCGATCTCATTTATAATAAGAATATTTATTTAATGGGAATTTCTCGCATATGTTCGTACATGAGCAAATACTATACCTTTTGCGAATAAAGAATTTTTTCATAAAAAAAATTTTTTAGGAATTAGCATATCGGCGTTTTGCGACATTGCCAAACGCCAGATTTTAACCCGACATATGAGCATAAGCTCGTATATTGGAATAAACTCGACTTATTCCATATTAAAGTTATTATAATAATAAGGCACTTAATGTGCAAATCTAATTGAATTAGAAAATGCACATTAAGTGCCTTTTATTGGAATATGTAATACCACATATGGAATACCGAAATCCGAGCATCAATTAGGAATGAACTAGTGCAAATTTTAGAAATACAGTATTATGTTCAATTCAGGATAAAAATTGTTAGAAATTTATATTTACAAATGAGTAAATAAGTATTTTGTAAAGTTTTCGTTTGATTTTCAAGCTTGTTGGAGAAAATAATGAAAATAATTATTTATTTAAGCAATTTACACTAAAACTTTTTATGGAAATTGCAGTTCTAGCAATGTCTTAGAATTTAATTGTCATTTAAAGTGTGAAATGCATTGATTTGCTAGTGAATGTAAATCGGGAATACAAAATTAATATAAATGAACGAAAAATCTTCTAAGAACATCCTAAAATCAATCACCCTTTGAGTGGCTTTCATAATATATCTAGATGATAAACCAGAAATTGAACCCGCATATGGGTCCCATTCGGATAAATTGTAAACTATTCAAAAATAGTTTACAAAATTAATTTAGGTAATAATAAAATTTTTAATTGAGATAAATTAAAAAAAATCTTAGGAGAATGTTATGGATTTTCTTCATTGAACCATTGTTGTAAACAGAAATTCATCAAAAGTGACACTTCAGAAAAGCTAAAATATTGAATTTTTGGAACTTTTGATAGAGCACGTTTTTAAATATTAATTAAAGTAAATGTATATTTTGTAAAGATTCTTTTTAATAAAAAAATAAAATTTTGAAGAAGAACACAAAATCTTCTGAAAAATAATATCACATAAACTCATATTATTTTCTAATATATAACTATTTTATATAAAAATCAAATTCAATGATCTTAAAAGCGAAGGATAAACCTCAAAATTTACGAATATAATGAGTGGGAATATAATGCTTATCTATCATAAAACCATATGAAATATCAATTTTTGCTTTACGCCTAATTTTTGACGACAATTAGCAAAAAATGTTAAATGTTAACACTCAGTCCATTTGAATATGAAAAATAAAATTGACTTTGATTAAATGTTTTTATTTATCATGCAATTCTTCTTGCGACCAAAGATTTGAATAAAAGTTCAAAAAATAAGATAGCTTAAAAAATAATATACGGTAGTGTTTACTAATAGATGAATAGTATATAAATTCTATTAAAATGGATTTGATCCAAAAAAATATAAAACCAAAAATAATTGTTATAATTTAAGGTCAGGTGAGTGGGGCTTCCAGGGGCTGCGCCCCTTCTAGCCCCTAAGAAATGGACACAAGAACGTAGAGGAGGACCAAACCCCAGCCGACCAGCCGGTGACAAAACCAAAACCGTTGTTATTTACATCATATTAATGGTGTCACTTTTTAAATGTCACTTTTTTGTTTCACTTTTCACAAATTATATATGTTTTCATGTTTTGTCACTTTTCTGTCACTTTTCAGGAAAAAACATTTTTATTATTATATATAAATGAATTTTACAAAACCACCGTTACCGTTCTTTGGAAATAAGAGTAGATGTAAAGATATTCTATTGAGAGAACTTAAGAAACTACCGAATGGTCTAACATTTGTAGATTTGTTCGGTGGAAGTTTCTATATATCCCATTTGTGCCATACAATATTCCCAGACTCAAAGATTATATGCAATGACTTCGACAACTATATGGACCGTCTCAAACATATACCAGACACAAACAATATATTGAAAGAGTTAAAAGAAAAGATACCTATAGGTAAGATGGAACGTATACCATTAGATAAGAAAAATATTGTGAGAGAGGTTTTGAAAAAAGCAGAATATATAGACTGGGATAGTATATCTGCTAGACTATTATATAGTGGTGCTATAAGAGTTCATGACATTGAAACACTTATGTCAAAAGTTTTATATCTTAACTATACAAATGTTTTCAAAGAGAACATAGAAAAATATATTGAGGGTATAGAGTTTGTGAGATGTCATTGGACAGAGTTGTATGAAAAATATAAAGACAAGGAAAATGTTTTCTTTATAGTGGACCCGCCGTTCTATAACACATGCGATTTTCAATACCAAGTAGACTGGACTTTGAGAGACTCTTTAGAAACTTTAGACGTTTTACATAACCATCCATGCTTTTACTTTACATCCGATAAAAGTGGTTTGGAAACCGTTATGAGATGGTTAGAGGACATACATGACTATGAGTTTAGATATGACAAGATAGAATATGAGAGAGGTCCTATAAACTGGAGAAAGTGTCACAATAAAGAAATTTTACTAGTAAGTAAATGTGGTTTGAAATAGGACTACTTGTTTTAGGTTTTTTCCATTGTGTCATTTATTTATTTGACGTGGCAGAAAGGTACAGAGAATATGAAGATGAACCAATGCCTGCAAATGTCCAGTATATGTACTCGTAAGAGATATTTTTATCTAATATTAAATGGACGCACAGAACTTAGCGAATGCACAGCAACCTGGACAACCAAACCCAGAGAATATTCCAAATGAAGTTAGAATACAAACTGCAATGGCAAACTATGGTCAAGTGCCAACAGATGTACAAATGCAAACTGCCATGTCAAATGACGCTGCGTTAGGTTTGCCACCATGGTATGCAAATATGAGATGGAAAGAGTTTTATACAAACCTGAAGTGGGATATAAACAACTTTATGCAGATGACGCGAACACAGGAGTTGACCCAGAATATGTTTTCTACCAGAGGAGAAACAGAATGTATGAGCTCCAGTTAAAGAATGCAATGGAACTCAGAAGGAAACGTAAGAGACTAGGCGGACATTAGATTTTTACATATAGTAAAATGGGTTTCTTTGGAAGAATAGGAAACTTCTTTCGAAATGTTGGAAGAGGTATATGGAATGGAATAAAAACCGTAGGAAGAGGAATTTGGAACGGAGTCAAAAATATTGGTAAAAGAGTAGGTCAGTTCGTTGGTATTATACCTAAAGACCCTGAACCAGAAGAACAAGCTCCTGTTATACAACAGCCTGAACCTGCACCACAGTCTAGTTGGCAACCAAATCCAACACCTCAACCGTATTAAAAAATTATATTTTTACCGTTCGATAG